AACCGCCGTCAACCAGCATTGAACAACTGTGGCTCAGCGCGCGCGGTACAGGCACTCAAGTACCGCACAACCTGCTTATTACTGTAGCCCAAGCTGTGTACCCACCTGGTCACCCGCTCGCCTCCCAAACCCAGCGACGCGAGCACAATGACCTGACTGGCAAAAACACAATATTGATGGCAACAACATAATCAGACAATCGCAAACGACATCCACCATTCACGAGACACGGAACAAGCCCGCCCGAGCCAAAGAGCCTCTCCTGCCCACCACTCACCGACCCATCCTCACCTCTCACAACACTACCAACCTAAACCTCAAGTACATACTCGCAGCCCTAGGACATCACGGTCCCAGCCATGCCAACCCCGGGACATCCCACCAGACGGCAACGGACTCCCCCATCAAACATAAGTTGCCCACCCGCAACATGACGCCATCAGACCTCAGAACGACGCAGGCTAAGACTACGCCACACATGCAGTACAACACCAACACCACCACAAAAAGACCAAGAAACGCGGCGGCCGCCGAAGGGGACCGTAGGGCCAGAGATCGTCATTGGGAAATCCATCCATCCATCCACGACCGCGCCGCAAGGCCACACAGGAGCGTTCTAAATCCGGACTGATAGAGAGGGCTAGGGGCAGGGGGGGCCGGCCGTCCGTCCAGTCTGCGGGCCTCCACCGCGGGCTATCAGTGGTGAGTGGGTACAAGGCCAACTTTGGCCTTGCATCTCATCTAATCATTCCAATGGGCTGGGCTGCCTACACTAGATATATCGAGTTACCCTGATGGCAGGCTGCAGATGTAAATATCCGCCCTGCCTACTGCACTGCAGTGCCGTGTCTACTGCCCGCTTCGCCCCGTGGCGGCAGGAGAAGACCGAGCCGCGCAGCTGGGATGAGACACATCCCTTTTTTGGGCCGGGCTTCCTCCTGTCAGCTGAGGCTGGCCGGTGCATGCTTAGCGCCGGCAGAGTGAAAGGGGACCTGATCTGACCCGCGGGGAACTTGGGGGCGGTGGATGCTGACACGACAGGAAAAAAGGTGGGCAAATGAAAAAGCTTGTTGGCAAACAAGAAAACTTCGTGATGGCACCCGATGGCTTGTTTCAAAAATCACGGCGCCTGCAGTAGTGCCAATTCTGCGTGACAGTGGGTGGACAACGGGGTTTCGAAACGTGGTCGGCAGGGAGAGGTCCGTGTTGTGTTGTGTTATTGCTGGTGAGCCACGCGCTAAGAAGCAACCACTGGGAGGTGATAGCACGAGGACTGTCGACCGTCCAAGCGCTCGACCGCGGCCCTGGGCTTCGTGCCTTTGCCGCTGCGCTCACGACGTCATGAGGGAAATTTGAAAACCTTTCCCAGGGCCAGTCATGTCGGCCTTTAGGAGGAAATAGAGTCTGACGTGAGAAGTAAAGGTCTGCGGGAGATTGACCTGGGGGTAAGCATTAGACATGTGCCACACTGACAGTACCGACAGGGTCAGCGACTTGTCAGCTTATCAGCGGAAGGCGGGGGCGGTTTCTTGGACCAGTTATGGCTATGTGCAGGCATGTGATATCGCAGCACCAGAGCACGTCAACACATAGTCTTACACTACATACGTGGTGTTGCCAGTCAGTACTGCTGCCAGCCGACCACGGAGTAGTTACAATAAGTAGCCAAGCATCGAGCACAGCCGAGATTGTTGTGTCGCGCAGCGATGATGCCTGGCTCGAGTCAAGGCAAGCGCAGGGTTCGAGCGAGGACGGTCTGGGCTGTCTAGCTGTCTGGTACACAACTACAGTGATATTCGCTGAATTTCGGCAGGACTTGGCTCTTCCCACACATCGACCGATAGGGCCCCAGGCGCTGGTCCTTTGGGATTAATTGGGTGCAGATCAGCCAAACTACCTGCAAGACCAGGCCGAAAGAACGATAACACAAGTTACCGGATGGCAGAGAGCAGGCCACGCAGCGCTGATCATCAACGAGCGCCCAGTCTGGCCAGAGTCCAGCCAGGCGCTCGGTTCTGCTGGCCCACTGCCGATCCAGAGCAGCCAACCAAGGGCCTCGGGTGGGGGTAGGCCCTGGGAGGGTCCAGGAACACGGTGACATGGCGCGTGTGAGCCCTTTGATTGAGGATGGGAGTGGTCTCGATGCGGTGCAGGATCGCCAGGAACGCGAAAAGGCTAAAATTTGACGACGGCGATCCTGATTGGGGGCTGATCTCGGCTAAGCGGTATTGGTGACGAATGTTGTTGTGTGCGTACCAGACAGAACATGCAGCAGCCAGCAGCGATAGATAACACAGGCAAATTGGGTTTTTGATGGAGCAAAGGCATGCCCGGCCGTGATGGGTTGGGGGACCAGGCATGCTGGGCATGGCTTCCAAGGTTGTTGGTGTCGGCGGTCGGTGTGAGAGTGCGTGCGTCCGCCCAGATGCCGTGTGTTTTGACACTGTCCTACCGTGGAGCCCGGTGCAAAAAGCATGTGCAGTGGCATGTGCAAGAGCAGCCCGCCGGATACTGTATGTACTGTAGCCAGACCGCAAGAGAAAATGCCTCGTTCCCCAGTCTGTCTGTCAGTCAGTCACTGCCGTACACAGTACCCGTCAGCCCGTCAACCCGTCCCGTCCCCCGTCTCGGGTTGCCCCAATTACGCAACAACGTGGAGGCCCAGCTGAGGCGGCGTGGAGAGATAGATTGCTATGGAAGCATGTTGTGCGACCGCCGGCGCCGGCGAGGACGGGGCAAACGTTAAACAGGGCAGGGGACCCTTTCTCGTCGGGTCGAGGACGAGCAGGCCCAGTCCTGGTCCTGGTGGGAATTGTTCGAGTGTGCAGGACTGACGCTATTATGGGGAAAGCAGCAGAGTTTGAGGAAAAACTGCATGCGGATGGAGAAGATGACGGTGAACGTGCAGATGCGTTGGCATATGCCACGATGCCATAGGGCGAGACCCCTTCGAGAATGACGATGGTGAAGAAAGGTCGAATCAAAAAAGCCTCAGCAAAATTCTTCATGATGTGCCAAGGAAGCACCTGGGCGGCGGTGCGTGCTTGTGCATGGTGGCGAGACTGCCGACAGGTCCGGATGTGGGTGCCCGCGGAGTCGGGGAGACTGGAGACTGGAGACTGACTGGGTAATGGGTGAGTGACGTGTGCACAGGTGCATCGTGGAGGTGGTGATGCTCTCAGTCTGCTGTGCTGTGCTGTGCTGGGAATCTGAGATGGATGACTGCGTGATTTTGTCTTGAGTGCCCGAGTGCCAGAGCGCGCAACTGCCTCGGTGCTGCTGAGAGTTTCTGTCTGTGTGATCTCACTGCAGGCGTGCAGACTGACTGGGCAGCTGGGCTGAGCGAGTGACTTGTTCCTGCAGCGGACCGAGCGAGTACCTACCTTAGCGCCGAGCATGATGCTCCGTAATCTATGCAGGTACGTACATCCACACCAAGTTTTTGTTGCCGACGGCCGTCGTCCCTGCCGTCCCGCGGTCTGATGGCACTTGTCAGCGGCACAGCACGCTGGCTCACGACTCATGACCGAGGTTTGATTGGATGGCTGCCCTGACCAAAAGAACCACCGTCTCGTTCCAATTGTCGGCCGTTTCCATTCCAGTCAATGGCCGTACCAACTAGCCCTACTGGCCGTTTCCATTCTTGCTTGGTGCAACTGGTGCAGCAGCTACTAACCCACGAGTTGGGTTTTTGGTCCGTGTCGAGTCCGTGTTGGCGGCAAGTCAGTCCAGTCCAGTCCAGTCTGCCAGTCAGGTCGGTCCAGTAAACGTGATCTAGAATCTCGGCAGATCTGCACCAGAACAACCGACTGACTGCCAAGACTGCTTTGTGCAAAACTCACGGTCATTCATGTTGGACACTGCTGCGTTGGCCATCCACGCCCATTGCCCACAGCCACAAGCCATCCATCAATCATCACCGCCACTTATCACCACGGCCTGCGGTACTTTCCTTTCTGCCTCACCGCCAGGCCAGGCCTCCCGAGCTTGATTACCACAGTAGGAGCTGCATCGAATCAGGTAGCCAAGGGTAGGCCGAAAAAAGGGGGATTTCATCTGGCGGGTCGGGTTACTCATCTTGTTCTGGCGTGTCCAAGCCAGGTCCCAAGAGAACTGGCGAGAGGCAGTGTGAAGGAAGGCTGTTCCTCGTCCGCAGAATCAGCCAGCCCTGGGCCATCGGGGTGGGGACACAATCCAACTATGGGGAATTTAAAATGGGGACATGAGCATGATGGCCAGGCGAGCCAGGCGATGGGCCATGGCAGACCAGACGATGGCGCCGGGGAACTGGGCCCGCCGACGGTCAGGATCAGGACTCAGCACGGTGGGTGCACAGTCCAGGTGGTGAGCTGTGTGGGCGATATCGTGCCCACGTCCACGTCGTCGTCGTCGTAGTCGTCGTCATGGCCACCGTGGCCGTCATATCCTGCGTTGTACACCGTATGGTGGGTTCTCCTTGTGCTTGTGCTTGTACTGCAGTACTGTGTGCTGCTGTGGTACTATTGCGGGATGGCTGGACAGTTGGCACACAGGCAGACTGGAGGGTCTCCTCTCGTAGGGCACACAATCAGAGGGCAGGTATTATTGGAAAATGATGTCTCACAACAGCCTGTGTTGGTCCAGTCACCATGAGCAGCCAGCCAACGTTGTACCTTTCTTTGTACATACCTTGGCTGCACGCTTGGCCCGTTGGATGATCTTGTACCTAGGCACCTAGGTACGGACTACGGCTGGCAGCGACAACCTGAACGGCAGACTGGCGACTGCGACTGGCGACGAAAAAGAACGGTCGCCGGTCGGGCCTTCTTGGGATGAACCCCAGTGCCCTGATTGGGCAGATGGACCACCCCCGCTAGTCCCAGTTGGAGCAGGCTAAGCCTCGCTATTTCCCCGGCCCGTCTGATCGTTACCTGTTCCTGCCGGTTCCTGATGAAAGATTGAATCGGCCCTGGCCAGGGAGGCAGGGGACGTCGTGCTCTTGCGCAGGGACCCCCTTGTCGCCCCACCCCTGGCTCCATCGTGTCCACCCCTGGCCAGAAGCCCAGAACCCAGCACTTGCTGCAGTTGTGCCTTGGTGTAATTTCCCTCTCTTCCAGTTCTTCCCTCCCAGTTACCTTTTGGTTCTCTAGCGACAGGCCCCTTACCCTTAGCACGCAGCACGTTGGCACACACTACCAACCATGTCCAACGATGGCCAATCTGCCCCGTCCCCACCCTCGGCCGGGTCGTGGCCTCTCGTTTTGTCCTTGTCCTCCGCGCCCCAGTCGAGCCCCCCCGGTCGAGCCCAGACCGTGTCTGTTCATTCATCTTGACTTCATCTCGCCCGTCCCTTCGTCCAAGGTCTCCCCCTCCTTCTTTTCTCCCTCTCCCTCCACCCACCCCACGCTCCTTTAAGCAAAGTCAACACAAAGACCAAAGCCCTCGCTTTTGATCTCTGCCTTCCCGCTGGTGCTCGGTCACTCCCACTCTTTCGTGTTCCTCATTGCATTGCAAGACAATCACACACGTCGACACGAATCCCACATTCTTTTGAATCAACCAAAACCGATCTACACTCCTTCGCACCACGCGCAACCGCAGATCAAGCACGGCATCGTCGACTCGATCCGGCCATACACGTCTCAAACGTCAAAACGTCACTTCTATAAACTAGACAAGAAAAGAACCATTCGAAATGGCTCGTCTCGCAGCTACCCTCCTCCTGCTCGGCGCCCTGGGTGCCTCGGCCCACCCTTCCGGCCACGCCCGCTTCCACAGCAAGCAGCGATCCCAGAACCAGGAGCGTGCCATCGGTGACACTATCAACGCCGTCATCGACGGTGTCGCCGTCTCGTGGGTCCAGACCGAGGACTACGCCCCCAAGGCCACCCCCGCCATCGTCGCCGACAAGCCCGCTGCGGCCCCCGCTGCCGCCCCCGCCGCCGCCAAGCCCGTCGCTGACGTGAAGGTCGCCGCCGCCGCCCCCGCCCCGGCTGCTGCTTCCTCCCCATCGCCCAGCCCCACCCCCGCCGCTGCTCCTGCCGCCCCCAAGGCCCCCGCCAAGTCCTCCCCCTCCACCGGCGAGGGCATCAGCACCTTCACCAGCTTCACCGATCTGTGCAGCGCCGCCAAGAAGCGCGCCACCCTCGACCAGATCAAGTACGCCGGCAACGTCGGCTCCGCCACCGACTACGGCTGCAACAAGGTCCTGCTGGCCAACGCTGACGTCGCCGAGGAGTACAACAACACTGCCAGGTTCCACGGCGCCACCGAGGACCTGTACTGCATGGTCTGGAACAAGATCGGCTCTGACGGTGGTATCAACGGTTTCTTCGGCGCCGACGCCACCACCTTCAAGCTGGCCGCCGGCGCTACCCAGTACGTCGCCTTCGACAAGAACTCCCAGGGTGGCGGTGCTTGCTTCAAGGGCGCCAGCGAGGACGCCGTTGAGAAGACCTCGTACGGCGCCATAGCCGGTACCTGGGCCGAGTGGGACTTCGAGAACCAGAGCAACAACGGCTGGTCTGGCTACGATGCCTCTGCCATTGTCGCCCAGGCCGCCGGCCTTGCTGTCACCGGCATGAAGATCTGCGCCGACAACGCCCCCGACGCCCTCTGCTCCACCATCGGCGCCGGCGGCTCCCACTTCGACAACGCCTACCGCGCTGTTGACGCCGATGCCGACGGAATCGGTGGCCAGGTCTCCGGCCCCATGAAGATCAGCATCGACCTCAGCGATTTCTAAGGAGCGCGCCGCCACCGCTAGCACCTGGTTGGCCATCCACAGCCGGTCAGCTTTTTGGCATACCTTCTTTCAACCCGACGGCTGGTGGTTTGTTCTTCTATCGAGCCATGTATTTTTGACGAGATAACGCAGCGGGTCACCGGTTCTGATTTGGGGAAAAAGATGCTCTTGGGAAAAACCTGGATCTGAGAAAGGACAGCTCTTGTTGAGATCTGTTTCACTTCACATGTATCTTGTCTCTCCCGTTGTCGCATTTATATCCAATACCACAACCCTCTTCCTATGATACCACCAATCCAAGCGCCGCGTCGCGTCATAACGCGCCTTGGAGAAAATTCGTCCGCCTTCTCTTCCTCTTTCTTCTTTCACTCCTGTTGGATGGCAAGGGGGGGCTTGGCCTAGGGCCAGGGACCGATTTATGCAGCGCGCAAAGGGGAGCGGTCCCCACGGGCTTGGTGCTTTCTCGATACAAAGTTGCTGGGATGTTGGGCTTTTTAACTTTTATTGTCTACGGCGTACAAATCTCACACACACCCCATACATTACTTGGCTGGTTGTTGTTGCTCACTATTGTTACTACATTCGAAAGGGAAGCAAAGAGGCAAAGCAAAAGATTTATTCTTGATAGTGTCTATTTTTGATGAGAGTCTACCTGAAGAACGTGCCATGGTCCTGTCTCGTATGTGTGATTGTGATTGATGTGAGGTGATGTGATGTCACACTGACTGGTGACCTGTTGACCAAATGGTACTGTATGTGAGTGATGTCCTCGTAAGGTTTCACGTTATTTGTGTTGGAGATCGATTGGCGTTTCTGTTACATCCGTTTCTGTGTTGTGTGTTCATCCCATCATACATATATGTACATGAGGTGTTTTGAAACGTCCGATGCCCCAAGGCCCGAGGCCGGGTTATATGCTTTGGGTGCTGCCGAGTGCCGCTGCCGGCGGATGGGTACCCTAGGGTATTGATATCACACACACACACACACGCACACACACCGAAAGCCAGACAGCCGGCGTTGAGTGAGTGAGTAGCCTGGTAGCACATGACAACCCAACCCAACCACGCATGCCGTTCGACAATCACATGTGCAAGCAAGAATGGGTGGATACAGGCATGTAAATCTTTCCCGCCCGCAGCGACATGTGCGGTGCGCGAGTTGTGTGTAGGTCCATCTATCGCAGAGCCGAGCGGTCTAGGCCCTGCCACGCGAGACCGCTCACTGCCACTGGATCGTCATTTATTTATTTTTGGACGAGAGACTCGGGGTCCAAGGATTATTTTGTGAGATTTGGCGCTAGGTGGGTAGGTATGTATTTATTTATTTCTGGTGTGGGTTGCGTGGCTGCGTGGCAACGCACGGCTGGGTGGGTGGCGGGTGGGCTGGTGGGGGATTGGCATATTACACCCCAGGGCTGGCATGCCTGCCGGTGTTGCGTGCATTCCAGGCTGGAGGTGCCCTTCTTCTTCACGGCTTGAGGCCTTGGGCCTGCGCCTGGCTTGTTCGAGGTAGGGTTCTTCCAGTTGTGGTGCTGGCTGCGGTAAGCGCAAACTTGAAGGTAGCATTGTTTTTTTTATTTTTTTATTCTTGTTCTTCTGTTTTAAACGAGGACTTCGTTTTGTGGTTTGTATACCTCCCGCTGATGGGAACAATGGATCTGCATTTTAGGATCGTCGCTTGTGTTCTTTTGTTCTGTTCTAAAAATACCTAGTCAATATGCGGATCTTTCGATGATTGGCGATCCTGATCGACTTGGCGTGCGTACTACTATGGACTGTGCGTGAAGCCCACTCGCTCTCGACGTTGCTGCCTGTACGCCTCCTGATCAATGCGTGCTGTAGTTATCCACTCGACATATTCCGTCCGGGCCTTGTGGGGTGTTCGGTCCGGATGATCGCCCGTCTTTTTTGGGGGGAGGGAAGGGGCAGAGGAGGATGTGGGGGGGGGGGGGGCGTGAGGGGGAAAGGCGTGACAGTCGAAATGGAGATGGGCATTGGATACATTATCGCGGGCCACCTCGTCTATCGAGCGCCCGTTGCGGATCGACAGCTGAGGTGGAACTGTTTGCCTGGGCGGGCAGGGCAGGGCGGGGAGAGTCGCCCTGGCTGGCTGATGGATCGATAGATCATTGCTCTCTGCTGGGCCGTTGTGGATGATGGATGGATAGACGGATGGTCGGTCAGGCTCTTGGCGATCCAGTTCTTTTGTCGATCAACCGGTATAAGCGAGCTGTTTGGCGGTGGAGGTCTGTCTGTCTCCCAGAGTGGATTGTCCCCTGAGCGCCCGCTCGGCAGGAAAGAGGCTGTCGAGCCTTTAGAAAAACATTGTCTACCTATTTGTAGGCAGGCTGCTGCGAACATCCCAGTAGGCTCACTTCCGGGATGCTGTGGTGCTGGATGGAATCTTTGTCCAGAGCCTCTGGGCCTGGGAACTTGCAGTGCTGAGACATGTGGGTCGGAGGGGATCTGCTGCCCTGATCTCCCGTCTCGGTTCTAATGTTGCGTTGGACTTTGAGGTTACTGGAGGGCTCGGGGAGAAATTGGCATAATGTTTTCTATCTCACTCCATTTATTGTTTGTGAAAAGCCTGAAGTAGTCCCACCCCGGGTAGCTCCTGAAACATGCCAGTGTGCTGTTTGGAGTTTGCAATACAGAGCTCGACAATAGAAACACAATATAATGTCTGACAAGGTTGCCGATATAACTTATCGCAACCAACCTCTAATATATATGAACCAAAGCAGGGCAAATCGAATAGAGCAAACTAATTAGTTCCCCAACTATAAATTCTCAGGTAGTGGTCGTGCGGGACCTGTTTCGATATGCAAACGAGCGGGACAATAGTGGAGCCTTATGCTCAAGACAGATGTGCATTTTGAACTTGTGTATATATTGACATCCGGCTCTGGCATGGGTCAAGACTAAGCTGCTGGATATCTAACTTGGTATTTGGGGACCCCCTCGGTTCAATGCGTCTCCACCAGGAACACTATGCGGCTGGGAACATGCAGGGGCACCTGGGCACGGAAAGCACTGGCATTCTGAGGGGCCTTGAACGGATACTACAAAATGTGCCTCGGGGGCTGTTTCTTGACCAAGAGTATCAGAAGGGATTAAAGGGGCACTGAGAGTATCCAAGTGTGTGTATCTGGATACCATATTACTGCCTGGTCTCTATTTATTGACAGAGTTGTGTGTAACTATCGGCCAATTACTTTGATCATAATGATGCCACAATGTGATGGGAATGATGTTTTAAAAAGTCTTATATCCAATTGTAATTCTTCCTAGAATCTTCATCCACACTATATTTCCCTGCTGCAAGGAGAGGCACGACTGCTAGCCACACACTATCTTGTCCGGCTAAAAGACCATAATAAGTAATCTGTCTATTAGTTATTCCTAGTAGTATATAAGCACTACACCGTCACTACCCCCCTCTAAGACCTTCTATAGAGCTTAAGGCATGTAGATAGAGAGAGTTTAAGTAGTTTCTAAATAGCGCATTATTAAGTTAGCTTATATATTTATAAGAAGCTTAAAAATTTTAAATAATATAAGTTGTTTAATAATTTAATTAAGTTACTTTATTTATAATTAATATTACTTTTTATAAAAGTATAATTATAATATTTTTAAATTTTAAAAAGATTATTAAATATTAAAGTTTAAATTTATATTTTTAAATTAATTATTATAATAAAAAGTATAACTATTAATTATATATTATTTTATTTATTTAAAAGCTTATAATAATTAATCTATTTATTAATTATTTTTAATAATAAATAAATATTATATTATTACTTTTATTTAATTATTTCTTTTTTATTTTATTATTATAAATTTAAATATTTATAAAAAATTAAATATTTATATTAATTAATTTAAAAATAAAATTAAAATTAAAAGTAAATATTAAATAAAGAATAATATTAATATTAAAAGTTATATATTTATTAATATTTTAAAATTATAATATTATAATAATAATATAAAATATTAATATATAAATTAATTTTATATACTTTATTATATAAATAATATTTTTAAAATAGTTCTTATAACTTATAATAAAAAGGTTTAAATTATCTATAAAGAATTATTAATTTAAAATTAAAGTAATTTAAAGAATAATATAAAGAAAGTAATAAAACTATACTTATATATTATAAAAGATATAGAGGCTACTTAAGTTAATAAGATAAGTAGAGTATATAAACCTATTAGTTAGTTCTATAAGCGATTAACTTATAGCTTTAATAATTTTATTCTTTTAAATATTTATAAATATAAATTTAATATAATTTAAAATTATTTTTTAAAAACTTTAAAATATTAAATTTCTTATAATTTATTTTTTTAATATTAAATAAAGAATATTTTTATATATTAAAAAGTATTTAATAATAAAGTATAGTTACTTTATTTAGAGGTTATATCTTAGTTTAATAGGTTAAAATGTGGTAGGTTAAGTGACTACTTTTAAGTAGTCTTACTTATAGAGCTAATAGATAGGTGTTTATTTATAGAGTAGAGCTAGAACTCTAGTTAGAGGAATAGTAGCTTTATCTTTATTTATTTTAACTAATCTATACCTAAGTTATATAGTAAATTTAATACTTATATATAATACTTATTAATATTAAACTAACTTATAGTCTGTAATAGCTTTAATCTTTAATAGGATAATAGTATTAATTTAAATTAATTAAATATAATTTAATATATTAATATAAAAAAGTATTTTTAATAATAGATAATATTATAAATATAAATTATAAAGTTATTATAAAAAGTTTTATATAATAAACTTAATTAAATTAATCTTTAAAAGATATATTATATTTTATTCTTTTAAAACTTTAATTATTTATTTTTAATTTAATAATAAAATTAAAAAAATATAAATAATTTATAATATATATTAAAAAGTATTTAAAGTATTATTTATTAATTTATTAATTATAAAATATATTTATATTATAAAATAACCTTAATGAAATTTACTACGAATTTTATATTATTAGTATAGTTGTAATAACTTATAATGTAAATAAGTGTATCTGGCCATCCTCCGGCCAATCATGTGAGCCACATGCAGGTACGAAATCTGCGCAAAAAGCAAACACAGGCCCACAGCTCTGGAGGCGGCACGGACGCGGCACAGCAAACCGGCCACATCAGCACCTCCCGCCACCTGCTTTTTCCTTGAATTCTCGCCTTCATCACGCAGCTGAAACCTCACGGACATCCAACCTCCATCAAAGCACGAGAAATGCGGTGCTCCGGGAAAGAAGTCGCCCATGCCTCCTCGGTGCTGGGGCTTGGCGCTCGACACGCGGTGACGGCAGCACCGTTGGCGGGCCCGGTGACATTCAGTTGGGGCCAAGTGTCGACTCGGCGAGGGCTCAATGCTTCCCACGCCTTCATCCGACCGTATGCTCTGATACGCCGTCAGCCCAATTTGAAGCCAAAACCGTCTGCTAGGCATGAACTCGACGAATCGCCACCTTCAAGTCTTGATGACCTGTTGATACGTCCCACGCCCAGCCCCTTGGTAAAGCTCAAGACTCTGATGTCACAAGAGGAGCCTATGGTTCAGTTTGACCTCAGTGCGCCGACCTTGGAGACTTCAGAAAGGAGGAAATCCGGGCGTATCTACCGCATTGCGGGCTACTCTTCCGATTCTCACACCATCAAGATCTTTTTTGAAAAGGAACACGGAGACTCAGGCCGTCCACATCGTACGTTGGAACTGTCCAAGTTATACCTGCGAGACGTCTGCCAATGCAGCAGATGTGTCTGCCCAGCCACCCGTCAAAAGACCTTTGCGACCTGTGACATTTCCCAGGTCCCTCGGGTGCTCAGCCCGGAAACCGATAACATAAGGCTTTCGTCTGACGGCGGTCTTGAGATCACGTGGAAGAACGATTTCTTGACCGGCGGCCACCACACCTCGGTATATCCGGAAGAATATGTCAACGGCCTGGATCATGGCAATGTGAGAGGATTTTCAAGAGTTAACCCTCAGCGACAATATTGGGATGCCGCCATATTCTCGCAGGGCATCGAAACAAGGGAAATCGACTTCCATGACTGGATGAAAGGGGGCACAGAATTTGCGCAGGCTATTCTCAACCTCTTTACACATGGCCTGGTGTTTGTGCACGGCGTGCCTAGCTCCCGAGACTCTGTGCAGATGATTGCGGAAAAGATAGGTCATCTGCAGTCTACCATCCACGGCCTGACATGGGATGTCGTCTCCGAACCAGAAGCAGGGATGCGTCCTATGCCAGTGAGAATCTCCAACAGTCCTTGCTCTACCTCCACGAGCCGCCAAGGCTCCAATTCGTCCACTGTCTCGAAAATGATTCTCAAAGCAACGTCTCGTTATTCAGCGATGGATTGAGGGCTGCGCGGAAACTCAAATACGAGAACAGCGAAGTCTTTTCGGCTCTGAGTACCCAATTGGTCGATTACAATTATTGGAACGACGGATATAAACTTTCCAACCGCCGCCGTGTCATAGAATTGGACAAGGCTGGCAATCCGATGTCAGTTGCCTGGTCGCCTGCCTGGCAAGGTCCATTTCGCGTTAGTGAGCTCCGCGAACCCGAAGCCCGACATTCCTCACCCCTGGATTTTCTTAGGGTGCATGAGGGCTGGGGAATGAAGCTATGGAGCTGGAGTAGAGCGAGCGGCGTGTTCCGGGACGAGGTGGAGGCATTGCGAAATGTGGTTACGTACCGGCATCAGCCCGGCCATTGTGTCATATTTGACAATACGCGCATTTTACACGGGACCAGACAGCTCTCCGCCCCTACTGGTCGCAAGCACGTCCGCGGTACGTATGTCCAGGCGCAGACCCTGTGGAGCGCGTATGAGAGGCTGTTTGACAAGGATCTGTTGAGACGGGGCCCGGGTGGGGTTGTGTCTGTAAGGGACTCAGACCTTTAGGGCCTCGAGCAGTACAGCTTAGGTTCAGTATGCTCTGAAATTTGTTGCCACTGGCATGGAGTTTATCCAGGGTTGAAATTAGTCAGAATTAGTTTAGTCACAGACCCTAACTAAGACTAAAGCTTTAATTATTAACCTTAACTAGACTAAGGGTTTTTAATTAGAGGGTTAATTAAATTAAATTAGTTTAATTAAAAGGGTAGATTAAAATTAAAAATTAAGATTAAAAATAATATAAGTAAAAATTAAACTTATAAATTTTTTAAATTTAATATTAAAAGTAAAAGTATTATATTATAAACTTACTTTTTTAATCTTTTAATTTAATTATAACTTATTCTTTAATTAATAAGTTTTAATTAAATTATTTAATTAAAAGTAAAAACTTAAATTAAATTAAAAATTAATTAATTAAATTAAAAACTAAGGAATAAATTTATAACTTTAAGTTTATTATATAGTATTTTCTTTCTTTTAATTTCTATTATATATTACATTATTCTATAAACTTTAATAATAATTATATAAAAGGTTTAATTAAAGCTTTAAAATTAATAGTTTTTAAAAGGTAATAATTCCTCCTTTAAATATTAGTTTCTAATTAACTTTTTATAATTATATATCTATAAATAGAAGGAGGTTAATATTAAGGAAAGTACACTATAAGATCTTTAAATTATTATTTATAAAGAAGGAGAAAAGGTAAGGAATTAAGAAGTATATAAAGGGATAGACTTAAAATTAGCTTTCTTTTTATATTAAACTTATTTAATAATAAAGAAGATTTATAAAGTAATTCCTCCTTAAATAATCTTAATCTTAAAATAAAAAATAATTTATTTAATTAATTAATTAAAAGTTAAAGATTATTTATTATTAAAGGAGGAATTATTATTATAAATATAACTATTAATTTTAGTAAGGAACTATTATTAAAGCCCCTATTTTCCCGGTACGGTACTCATCTAACTATATATAGTCAACTTCATGATTGACTTATATGTGTTTTTATACTAGATGTCCTCAATCACGACCCAGAAGTCTTTGCCACCTCCGCTCTCTCTGTGATGGTTAACCTACTCGATCATTTCCAACCCATCCCTGACTATAGTGCGGTCCTTGTTTGCACTTCAATGAAAATATTCGTTTTTTTCATGATGAAAATGCGGCCCCTCTCTGGTACACACTTATATCACACCTTTTCATATTTCCCGGGGGGGACGGAGCCCGAATAATTCATTATAAATATCTCTGGTTTTGTTTAACTAGGTATCAGCTGTATAAGTTCGAAGCCATACATGACTTCGGGACCTGTGGACGCCTTCATCTAGTGAACGCTCAAATACGACGTTACATGCACATATCGTCAAATACTAGGACCAGTTGACGGCTTTGGAACATATCGAGCGGCCAACTGAATTGCATTAACGCAGACATATTCTGATTCGAAGCCATTGCATTCCCACTCGCAATGCCGGATGATAAGTTTATCAAGACCAACTTGAACTGCCCACATCGGTTGAGCATCATCGTACTTCCGGGCCAACAGGACTCGGAAGTGGCACGGACGCGCTAATGCCAAGCTTACATACCCAGTATGTACGTCTCCAGGCTGCCACTTTCCGTGTCGTTATCTGATTCACTTCTCGCGGAAAAGTTAAGCAGAGGGGGGCAAAGCATCGTACAACAACAACAAAAAAAAATGGTCGTCAAGAAGATCGCATCCTACGGGTCATGGGAGAGCCCCTTCTCCATCGACGATGCCACGGCCGGAAGCAAGTCGCTCGCGTCGCCAAGAGGAGACGTATGTAATACGCCTAACCCCGCCCCGTCTCACGAGCTGACCTCAGCATTGATGCATCGGCATGCGAGCTGACTACCCTCACGCAGATCCGCACGGGCCGCGTGTTCTTCCTCGAGTCCAAGGCCGACGGCTCCTACACCATCGTGGAGGTGGTGACCCGCGGGGGCGCCCATGAGCTCCGCTACGTCCTCCCGGACAAACACGGGGTCAGCACCGCCGTGTACGAGTACGGCGGCGGGGCATACGACGTCCTCCCGCTCCCCGCCGGAGTGGACCCGGCGGATGATGCGGGTCGGCCACAGGTCATCTTCTCGGACGCGCGTGACGGGAACGCCGTCAAGCTGCTCAATGCTGACTCCCGGGAGGTCGGGACCCTCATTGGGGACACGCCCTGGCTGCGGTACTCTGAGTTCAGCGCGTGCGGGTCCTCACGGTGGGTCCTGGCGGTTCAGGAGGACCACGAGAACCCCGAGCCCAAGGATGTCAGGAACTATGTCGTCGCTATCAATGTCGACTCGGGCGAGGTGAAGAGGCTGGTCGGGGGGGCCGACTTCTACAGCTCGCCCAAGTACAGCCCGGATGGGAAGTGGGCGTCATGGCGCAGCTGGGATCACCCGGACATGCCCTGGCAGAACTCAGATCTCTCATGGGCTCCGGTGCTAGGTGACTCTGGGGAGGAGAGATCGTTCCTGGGTACTGTATCGACGGTTGCTGGGGCCAAATCTGGTGAGGCCATCGGTGAGTCGGCCTGGGGCCTCGATGGTGCTCTCTACTGGACGCAGGAAGACGAGGGCAGCGACTGGCGTCAGCTCCATAGACAATGGCCCGGAGACAGTAAAACGGCCGAGGTTCTTAAGCTCAAGGGGCTGGAGGAAGTTGAGATTGGGGACTGCTCGATGATGATGGGAGGGTAAGTATTCCGCCCGTCATTCTTGGCCTGTCTCGACCGTCGCTGACAGCACTCTCACATTCGAAATAGCCACACATTCGGCTTCCTCTCCCCCAAATCCATGATCCTATCTTACACCAAGTACGCAACCAACAGCACCGTCCACGTTGGTCTTGAAACACTCCAAGTCACCCCTCTGACGGATGTGCCATTGACCACAATGCGCGGCGATGTCCTCCACGCAATCACCCCAACGTCGTTCCTGGTTCTCGGCAGCGGCACATTCCATCCCGCGGGAGTGTACCACTTCTCTCTCAGCGAGGGCCTGGAGGTGCAAATGACACAAGTGCACGCCGCGGACGATAAGAAAATCCCACCAGCCATGATCTCTGTCCCCGAACACATCTGGCTCAAGTCCACGAAGGGAGACCCGACGCGCCCAGTCCACGGCTTCTACTGGCCGCCGCACAACCCCAGGTTCGCCGCCCCGGAAGGCGAGCTCCCGCCGCTGCTGATCAACCCCCACGGCGGGCCGACGGGCCACACGCCCCCGGGCCTCAAGGTCGGCGGCATCGGCGGCGGCAATGCGCAGTTCTGGACCAGCAGGGGGTTCGCCTACTTCTCCATCAACTACACGGGGAGCTCGGGCCACGGCAGGGCCTACCGGGAGCGGCTCGACGCGCAGTGGGGCATCCTGGACCGCGACGACGTCGTCGAGGTCATCCGGCACCTGTGCGACACCGGCCGCGCCGACGAGGGCCGGGTCGGGATCCACGGCGCCTCGGCGGGCGGCTACAACGTGCTGCAGAGCCTGGTGTGGCACCCGGGCGTCTTCGCGGCGGGCGTCTGCTACTGCGGCGTCAGCGACGTCAAGGCGCTCGGCGAGGGGACGCACAAGCTCGAGAGCCACTACCTCGAGGGCCTGCTGTACACGCCCGGCATGGGCCGGGAGGAGCGCGAGGCCGTCGAGCGGGAGCGCAGCCCCGTGCTGCATGCGGGCCGGATCCGGGCGCCGCTCTTGTTGCTCCACGGGGACAGGGACACGGTCGTGCCGATCGCTCAGAGCTACGAGATTGAGAGGAAGGTCAGGGAGAGGGGCGGGGATGTCAGGATGGTTGTCGCGCCTGGGGACGGGCACATGTTCTCGATGGAGAGGAGCAAGAAGATTGCCCTTGAGGCGGAGATGGAGTGGTGGATGAGGACTTTGGTCCGGAACTGAGGCTGTGGGTTTAAATAGAACACTTATCCGTAGTACGGTCTGCACATGCGGACTGTCATGATTCATAGTCTTACGTCCTCATCTAGAGCTGCCTATATACATGCTCGCGAAATACATAGAGCTACTAGTACACCGGCCTCCCACCCCTTACCGCATAATGTCCAAGCCGGCCCAGCTTAAGCGGGGAGCCCGCTCCAAATAGCATGCGTCAGGGTCTTGTTCGAGTTGAACGCGCCCACAAAGCAGTTGTCGGCCGAGGGCGTCCACTTGTCGTCAGCACTGACGGTCGGCGGGTGGCCGAGGACGAGATCCGCCACCATGCGCCCGAACACGACGCTGCCGTAGTCGTTGAGGTGCGTCCTGTCGTCCGCGGCGAGGTTGTACGCCTGCGCCGCGTCCTTGCCGATGGCGTTGACGAACGCGATCGAGGCCTGGTTCAGGTCGATGTAGGGCGACCCGGTCGCCTCTGCTGCTGCGATGGCCCTCAGGCGCTCGTTGTGCAGCGAGTCCGCCACGTCGTGGTCCGAGTTGAAGGTGCGTCTTGTCAGGGAGGTTGTGAGGAGCTTTGGGACGCGTGTTAGTTGGGGATACTATTAATGGACCGGGGGGGGGGCGCCTTTTTCTTTCGAGGCGTTGCTGCTACGTACCGGTGTGCCGCCGGCGGCTTTCACCTCCTTTGCGAAGTTTTCCAGGTTGGTCTGGAACTGGCTCAGGGAGATGTTGGCTGCTTCTTTCTGGTCGTTGTGACCAAACTGAATATCATTCGATTGTCAGCCACGGCATATCAACATCTCACTGCGCCGCTCTCACGGGGCCCCCGGGATTCAGATTACTCACCTGAATCGTCACAATAACGTTGTGCGTCGCGGCGTCAGCCTTGACCTGGTCAATGACCTTCTTCCAGTAACCGCCGTTCACAAACGACACCGTCGTCGCCCCGCTCTTGGCGATGTTGGTGCCCTTGGCCGGGCTCTTGAGGAACGAGATGAAGCCCGTGCCCCAGCCGCCGGCGACCGCCGTGGTCGAGTCGCCGGCGAGGACAAAGGATGCCGGGAGTGTGCTGCAGGCCGCGCGCTCGCTCATGGCGTTCTCCTGGTAGAGGCTGGGGGTCGGGCTGCCGGACACAACGGTGAGCAGGGAGAGCAACGACACGATGATGGTGGAGCGGAACATGGTTGCTGGCGATGGAGCCGGTGGCTGCCGTAATAAATGACTGACTGATATGTGGGGCACGAGGCGGAAGGATGCGGCACAGTCACGACCTCACTCGATAATCACACGATAGCTCTTGCCCGGGAAGCATTACCTTGATATAGGAGACTCATCGACCAGTTCCGGCCCGCTGTAGTGCAGCGCAATCTTGTATGAAATCATGATAGCCCCCAGCGTCCCGCGCTGTCCTGGTCTCGTGCCAATATAAACCGAAAGCTTATTAGTCGTGCGGCCGCTTATACGGATCTGTGGTACCTGTCAGTCTCGGCGCGGACCCATAGTTTGTCAAGTCCCCCAATTAATGACCCCAGCCCGGACAAGCGGGCAGTTCGCACGACAGTTGCTCGCCACAATGCCAAGATCTGCCGCCATTCACGGACGGGATTTAATCCTCAGAGCGGAGTGCATGTGGCGTACCAAGTTCAGGTTCTCTGCCAAGCTTGGACGGGAAGGTGAGGTGTGCGGAGGGCAACGATCCGGGGTAGTCTCCACCGTCCTCCAATTTCGGCACAGAATGGCGCGAGCGCGGTGCCGGAGATTTTATGAGTTGTTCGCCTGGGATGGGATTCTAAGTTCGCCTATCTTGGAGGTGAATTACCCCAGATGCATGTCTGCATAGTATCCGTATTTATACGCAGTGCATGGGATCCGCTAGCTCGTGTTTAGCTTAGACGAGGTCACTATATTCTGGCTCCCTTTGTTCTCTCCCTCACTTGATGGTGCTCTACTAGTATCCCTTGCATCATTCCACAATGGGTTTGAGGACGGGAATACCCTCGGTTAGACTCGTCCGCAGCCAAACTCACGGAGGCTTGTCGTCTACGAATGAATTACTGCCTCGCATCAACACTGGCATAAAGCCGGAAAAATCCGCATCTTCTACAATCAAGCCGACTGCAGTCACTGCTCAAATTGGAGATATCAGACAACGCATACGCTAACAGAGTCTGCAAAGAAAGCCGAATATCTCTCTATTTGCCGTTACGCTAATGTGCCATTGACAGTGGTGTTCAGAAATCCAGGACCAGCCACGTTGACCAGCGCATCCCTAAGAGCACCCAGCCCATTATCGGCCGAGAATATGCTCGTCATGACAGGCACCACGCTGGAAGACTCGCACTCGTGAGCCCCATGGGCATCGACGACATCTCCACCGTCAACATCACGCCTGGCCTTGCTCCTCCTCAGGTTGATGCCAGGGCTGACAGTGCCGCAATTAAACTGCGACTCGGCAGCCCTCAACTCACAGATCTCCCTGGTCTTGCAGTCCCCAGTGCAGGCAGCCGAGCCGGAGTCACGAGTCTTGCGAGCGTAGTAGTCCTGAAAGACGCCGTCGTCACGCTCGAACAGCTCGGTCAGGTTGTGCCAGAAGGCAGGCGTCAGTTCTGTAGCAGCATCGGTGTAGCCAAGGAGGCTTCCGTATGCCTCCTTGACGCTGTACAGCACCTCCCAGGCGGGCCCGTCCGTCTGGTACGCCGGGCTGGACAGGTTCGCATAGTACACGGTATAGTCCAGCACCCCGAAGGTGACCGGGTCGACGTCGTACACGCGGAACGTGGGGTTCCCGGACGTGGGCGTGAGGGCGGGGGCGATGTAGCTTGCCATTGTGGCCGTGGCGGCCGACTGCGCCGAGTAGTCGCTGTACGCGACCTCGAACTCATCCTTGTGCGTGTGGCCATAGAACACCCCCGCGATGGTGCTGGCGAAGCGTTGTACAATGCTGTCAAAGTAGTGGCTCTGGTCGTGGAAGGCGTCCCCGGCGCCCAGGGGCATGTGTCCCAGGAGCCAGACCCTCTCGCCCGCCGCCTCGGCGGCCTCCAGCTCGGCGGCCAGCCAGGCTAGCATGCCGCTCGGGTCATGCTCCATGGTCTTCTCGTACAGCCAGAAGTTCTGCCTGTACCAGAAGTTGGTATTCATCGAGATGACACGCAGGCCCGGGTGGCCCGCGGCAAGGACCGAGTAACTCCCAAAGTTGCTCGACACCTGCGCGGCCGCTGCACTGCCGATCCACCCCTGGATGCCGGACGAAAGGGCATCGTATGCCCACTGAGTGCTGATGGTGGTGTCGATGCTCGCGGGCGGGAACGAGTTCACCGGGCTGCTGTCGTGGTTGCCGATGACGGCGTACGTCTGGCCGATCCCTTTCATGCGGCCGTACGCGTCGTTCAGGTCGTCCGTCACCTCTTCGTCTGTCACGAGCCAGACGGCCCCCTCGACCACGTCGCCTGTGAAGATTGTGAATGCCCTTTCAGGCACGAGATCCTGGATGGCCTCATAAAGGCTCTCCTCCAGGCTGACTGGGCTGTCGCACTCGGAGTTGCCGTAGGGCCCGGCGGGATAGTCCGTGGCTCCTGGTTCCTCGGCTGCAGTGTAGGGGCGTCAGCAGATGTTCTTGGTGCAGTTGAAGCTCGCGCCGGCGGTGTAATCGAGGTCCACGTGGATGTCGCTGATGTGCACCACCTTGAGGGGCGTCTCCCCGCTTGGCTCTGGGCGGGTGGCGTTGGCCGGCTTCTCGGACATGGACACCGAGTAGGAAGTGTCGACCTCGGGCCACTGGCACAGACCAAAGATGGTCATGCAGAACAGCTCAGAGGTCTTGCTCGGGATGTTCATGTTGCGGAGGTCGTGTGCCAGGATCGGGCCCTCCAGACCAATCGCTCCGGCGCAGACATCTTTGTCCTCGACGCCCAAGGCCTGGCACACATCGATGATGACGCCGGAGAAGGCGTCGTTGCCAAGGTGGGCCAGTGCTTGGAGGACTAGGAGCAGAGCCTGGCACGCGGAGCACTCGGAGAGGTCCTCGATGGCGGTCAGTATGTCTGATACGTCGTCTCGCTTGGTGTTTTGGCGCGGGTAGGCCGCCAGAGACCTGCCCATCACATCGCCAACCGAGATGGCGCTGCTAAGGAGAGGGATCGTGAGCGAGACGAGGAATGCGATAACGATGGATGCCCTCATTTTGAGGGACAGAGCAGTCCGCTCTCGATTTATGGGATGATAGTGGGATTCATACGGTCGAGGGCTCGTGAGCGAAGGCGGTCTAACCACTTGGGCAGCGGCCGTGAGAGTACAGACGACGACATCTTATCATCTGGGCCTCCGTCCCCATTATATATCATCTACGGTCTGCGTATAGCTGTGATGCCGCGTTGCCGTGCAAATGCGCGAGTCGTCCACGCGTGGGGCTGCAGGCCAATCTCCGGAGACGAGGCACGCGCGTCGACCGCCGACGCTGAATGGACGCCGGCTTGGCGTTGCCGTGCTCAATGCGACCACACCCCGAACTTTGACCCGCATCGAGTGCCAAGAACGGCATCGCGGGTCAAATAGCGCCGGAGGTCTGTATGATAAGTGAGAGGGGTGGCCCGAAAGGGCATGTTATCATGAGGGCATCTGCCACATTCGCCTACTCTGATTTCGACTGATTATCAGCTCCAGGGCTTTTAGAGCGAAGCAGCCCACTCCGACTGCGTTATGCCCTTGAGTAGAATATTCTATTGGAATTCAGCGCTCGCTGCATATACACATGATGCGGGCACAACTTTTGAGTAGATGTTGCAGCAATGAATCACGCTGAAGACAAGACTGGTGAGATCATCATGAGTCAACGGCTCATCGTTTCTAAGTTGGGCGTAGTTCTTCTCTACGTCATCGCTGTCGTCTCATGAAAAAGACTGGAAACCAAACAGCAACCTGCTTGTCCTCAATATACTGTAGTTTCCGTTTAAAAAAGGTTCATCATATTCTAAATATCGCTGCGTCCACCACGCAATAACCAAAATTGGGGAAAGATTTCAAGATGGAGTCCGCGAAGCAGAAATTTGTGGAGGCAGTCGCAAAGACTCGAGAGCCCGGAGGTGACCAGCCCCAACCTCAGCCTATGGACAAGCTCGTTCAATACTTCGCTGACACAACGTTCCTCACAGATGCAAAGGGTCCTCCAGGAGGGGAGATGAGGGTTGCCCAGCCATCTAAGAACGATGCCTCGATCAGCAACACCTTCACAACCATGGATCGCACTGCAAATCCACAGAAGGATGAAGACAAGCATGCGGCAACAGGGGGCAACCCCCATTTCGGGACGAGCTTCTTCAAGCCTGGAAGCGCAACCTAGATTTCACGGCGTATTTTAGCAACCCAGTGCCAGTGGTTTCAGGGATCAGCAAGGAAGAATTCAAATGTTAGTTTACGGGCGGAAGTATATGTTTTAGGAAGATTGATTGTGTGATATTTTAGTCACCGCAATTCATGGAAACGAAGGATGCGACCAAAAAGTTGCTATGTGGGCTTTCTCTGTATGCGACGGCTGCCTAGGTGTACTACACTATCAATGCGTTGACCTCGCCTGTCAAGTCGCTATTATAAGGTACCCGTAAGCCACAAGTCTCCCTATGGCCGCTTCTGTGCGAAACAGTTTGCCAATGCCATGAGGTCCTTCAGTACCATGTCGGCCGTGATCGACCACCAAAAATTGAGACCAAGCTCTTGCGCCAGCCTCCCTCTCAACTCACGTGATCTCTTCCTTGTGCCCCCTGGAGCTTTCATCCTATGGAGACAAGACCAAACCTAGTCAGGTACTTCCCGTGGGATAGATCCTTTCGACCTTTCATCTTCGACAAGAGTGTAGTTGCCTTCGAATTGTTTTTCGAGGCCACAAGACCAGCACTGAAGCCTACGACATGTGGACTTCTTAGAACCAAGCCTTCGTTGGGGTCAGAAACATCCTCGTATAGCGGTCGGGACCCACTTCTCCTCTCCTGATTTTCTTCACCTTGTTTTTTTCTTGTTTTCTTTCTGATATCCCTTCTTCCTTTTGTTTCGCTTTCTCAGTAACGCAACCATTAGTTGTCGTAATTCCCTCTGCCCGCGCTGAATATTCCATCCAGTCCCGCGTGGGAAGACAAGCCGAAGAGTGGCGAGGACGCTGTTCTAAGGCCCAAGACGAGGGTTGATCCTGTAGCGCTTTGTTGGGGTGCGAGAAGCTGCTGGTTCAGGAGCAGCCTGGGGGCCGTCCTCACCCTCCTCCGCAGGCTCGTCGTCCTCACCCGCGTCGTTGTTCACGTTGTTGCGGGCGCGCCTGATGTGTATCCTCTGGTTACTCGTGAGGGTTGGCACTCGGACCGGAGCATTTGCTGCGGGACGAGCCGCTTGGGAGCCCTCCTCGCGGGCCTGCTCCTGGTTGTCCTGGACACCCGCTCCGTCCTGGGCCTGGTCGCTGGGCTGCGTGTAAACAAGTCTGGTAATCTTGGCAGTGAAAGGCTTAGCCTGAGTGCCAGCGGCTGCTGCTCGGGCGCCGTACACATGACCCTTCTCAGCCTTGGGCTTGTCGCCCGCCCCGTTGTTCTTCTTCTTGTTGCGGGCCTCCTCCTTGAAGTCGTACTCGTACTCCTCCGAGGCCTCCCTGAACGGAACAAAGCCATCGCCGGCCTGGGGCGGACCGGTCCAGGCGTAGGGCGTGTCCGGCTCGTCCGCCTGGAATTGCCAGCCGCCGGTGTGAACAGGATACAGGCCCATATTTATCCTGTGCCAGTCGTGGAGAGCCCTCGCCTCGTCGAAAGTTTGCTCTGGAATGTCGGGACTCGAGTCACCCCACGGCCAGGGCGCGGAGGCGCTGGGGCCCGCCACGGGCGCATGGCGGGCAGCCGCCGCCTGCTCTCCAGCCTCTTGCTGCCAGCCCCTGGTGCCTGTGGGACGCAGTCCGAGGGCAGCCCTGCGGCAGTCCTCGATCGCCGTGGCATCAGTCGGGTCCTCTCCTGCCAAGTCCAAGCCCCAACCACTGGCAGTCCTCGCTGCGGGAGCGTTGCGTTCCGCCACAAGCGGGAGGGAAGGGCCATCCTCCTCGACTTGCTGCTGGGACCTGGGGCCGGCGGTATGAGCCTCCTGGGGCGAATTTGCCGGGGTTTGGGGCGGCAGAGGGTTGTCTCGCTGGATGTATTGTTAGCATACTATGCACCAAGCGTGAGGACTACAAGAACTTACCTGAAAACTTGCATGGTTTCCCTCATGGCTCTGAGAGTTGTTGGGGCCAAAATAGTAGTCCACTGTGTGGGAATTCCCGTCGCTGGGGAACCCGTGGGCTTGATCGCCGGGCTGGCTCGGGGAGTGTGGCTGGATGTAGTTGTTAACCGCGCCGCCACTAGTAAAGAAGACGCTGCCGGTATTCATCTGTGCCAGTGGCATGCCAACGGCGGGCCCATTAAAGTGTACCTCCCCTCCCTCGGCCTGGTGGCGTGTGGTAGGTTGTTGTCCATAGTGGCTGCTGCCCTCCAGCTGATAGTTTGTTGGAAATGATTCCAATTCAGCAAGAAACTCGGGAGTCTGCCAATAATTTGAGTCCTCTACACCAAGCCCCTGTGCCGCTGCGATGAAGTCGCCACCCGGACGCTTGGCCTGCTGATAGGCCTGAGTGGCTCGCTGCGAAGCCTGATAGTCAGGGGGAGGCAGGTAATACTGCTGATGAGAAGGCCCACTGGCCAAGTACTTGGCATCGAATCGTCCGCATGATGCTCGTATGGCGGCAGCATCCTGTAGAGTGGTCTGCTGGTTGACGGGACGAGTAACTGAGGCGACGCCAGCGGGACGGGGCAGGATTGGCCTCAGAGCAGGCCGCAGGAGGCGAGCGCGACTGGCGGGCGTAGAGGCTGCGCCGGCGGGAGTGGCAGATCGTGCAGACCCAGCAGTGTTGATTCCAGTGGGCGCTGCGAGAGCCGCTGGCTGGACGGAAGTGCTGGCCACATCGGATGACAGCGCTGCTGGAGAAGCGTTCTTGGCTGAAGTGCTGGCGTTGGCGAGGGCCGCGGCCGCAGCAGCGGTGCTCTGCTTCTTCGCGGCTGGAGTATTGTAGCTGGATTCACCGGGGTTTGTGAGGGCGGTCTCAGCGTTACTATGCTTACGCTTCTTGCTTGCTGGTGCAGGAGTGCCAGAGTTAACGACACCTTCGTCCTTGTCACCATCCTTGTGAGCGTCCTTGTGGGCGTCCTTGTTGACGTCCTTGTTGCCGCTGTCATTCTTTGACTTCGCGGCTGGCCCATCAGGTAAGATGCTCCTGGCGACTAGGAGCTGAATGACAGGGTTGCCGTTGCTGTACTGAATGTTTCGCTCGGTCTGAATTTCTTGAATCGGGGCCAGGGCAAGACGCTTCTCCATAGTCACGATGGGGTCGACGAACATGGACCAGCCAAACAACTTGCGGGCCTTCAAAGCCTCAATGATCTTGTTCATGCGCTCAGGAAAGGCTGATAAATGTCAGCCGTCTGCCATGAACAGGAAACTATTATACCGTAGAATGGTTGAAAGGCATTCGCGGCAATCGGGGGGAGGGGAGGGGAGGGGGCTGCTTACTGCTGTGCTGTTGGAAGCCTATATTCGGGATCCGGGTCCAAGCAGGCATCGTGTATATTCCAGACTGAGCCCTGTGGGCAGCCTTCACCAGCTGGCCGGCCACGAGCTGCACCTCGAACATGCCGATGGAGTCGATGTACGCCATGGCGAAGGTCTTGCGCGTGTTTCCGTCGTTGGGATTCACCTCAAACGCGTCGCTGGCCGCGTCGGTCGACTTGATCGCGTTGTAAACAAGCCGCACGTAGTGCTTGAACTCGTTGGATGTCAGTGGAGGCGGCAGCCGATCCGCGGGCACTCTCTCGTCGAGGAGGGCGAGATAGGCATCGGTCAGGCCCTCAACCTCGTTGACATCAATCAGACTGGCGTAGGTGGCGGCCTTTCGGCCTCGCACCATGCGCAGCATGACCTCCCTCTTCGGGGATATATTTGGCGGGGTTGTGCCCTCCATCGTCGGCTGCAAGACGATGAAGAACGTCAGTGGCTGGTATTCTTGGACAGAGGGCAGGAGAGACAGGAGACAAACAGGATGGCGTTAGGCGGCGGAAGTGGGATCGATGAGGGGACAAACGAGGATTTCTAGGCAACGAGAGATCGAGATGCTTGCGGGAATTGGTTGAGACGATTGATTTGAAGACAAACCTCAGTAGAAGACGCTCGCAGAGTTCTGGGAGTATCTGCGACTCGAAATTGTGGACAGTCTGTCGTCAAGGCGAGGTGGTGACGGGAGGATGGGGGACAGTGGAAGAAGGAACCGAAGTGGGCTGGGTTGGAAAGGTGTGCAGAACTCGGAGCTCGACGTCGTTTCGGTGAACAGGTCTGCTGTCTGACGTTTGAGTGGACCGACCTCCTACCTGACGTTTATCAGTGCGGGTAAAGGTTCACTGTGGGCGTGGTGCTTCTGAGAATGTGAATCCGTTGCAGACGGTGCGTCCCTGCAGTCCGGAATGGCAGCCTGGGAAAAGGTCTGGAGCTTCCATGCTGGGGATGATGTCGTTTGTCGACGAACGTGGGCTTCAGGAAACAGACTTCATTCACCCAAGGAGATTCTGACAAACAGCACGATGGTGCCCGGTAAAGGCATTCAATGGATGTCCCGGCAACCCTCCATACAGTCAGTCACATGTTGCAAAAGTCAGCCATTCAAATTCGCTTATTGGCACGTCGCCCAAGGGAAACGATACATGGGGCTGAGCCAGCGATAGCTACAATGCAAATGTAAATGCTCCCATGGATCTTGTCCAATTCTAACATCAACTCAGGTCTGTTGACAAGCTTCAGCGTGATAGGCAACAGAGTCGGACTGCCACACCAGCCTCGAGGCCTGGTATCTTCCACCGTGTCCCAAAGGACCCTTGGAAGAAAATGAGGGAACGACCACGAGTTTCGTAGGAACACAGCGGACCGCCAGTCCTGGAAGAGAAGCACTCGCGTGCTTGCCGAGAAACAATACAAACTGTCGAGGCTTTCTTAATAGATAGTCTCAGCGTAAATACCACGTTGCAGCCGTAAAATTGTACAGACGGAAACATGGTGAGTTGAAACGATTCAAGTTGGATGAGAACTGGAACCGAGAAGGTGAAGATATCAAACCAAGATGGCATATATCAAGGATAAAGGGTGCTGGAAGGCTTGTGACGGGAAATAAAGATGAGAGAGCTAGGGAAAAGTGCCTAACGCGGCCCGGGGTAAGTACACCCCGAAAGACGAGATGTTACTGAATTCGATTATTGTACGAGCCATGTCAGTGGTTGTATATTGCTTGCAATGCTCTCCTTCACACCGAACATACCCATTCCAAGCAACTGAACATTTAAGAGACTAAAGCCCATAGGTTCGGCGAACCAACGGCCATCAATATTAACCTGATATTGGACCTACAATTGTGTGTCAGTCCCGAGTGCAGGTGAGTTGGAACGACGGTGGTAGGTCATGGGGATCGCAAGTTTGACCTAGCCAAAGTCTCACGATTGAAATGGCGTGCTGGATGGTCGGAAGGTTGTCGTCGATGCAGTGGCAATGCTAAAATGAGAGATCCTTCATCCCCAATTCGAACATTTCAAGCTGTCGTGAATACATATTACGCCAGTGTTGCGCGAGTAGCAAAAGGTTCGACCACTGAGGCCTACTTCCTATTATATGTACTTGTCATGTGACAGTTGTTATGTGGTAGTGTACATATGTACATTGTTGGTGTAGTATTGCTGACATTGCATGTACATGTGGTGGCTGAAATGGACGATGGTGGTTGCCGTGGTCATTAGTTCGTCGCCGGTCGTGGATAGTGTGGTCCGCGTGAAGATTCGTCGATATTTATTTACAGCCGGCTGCCCCTAAATACATTTGAGATAGTGCTCCGTATGTTTTTCTCAAATTGAGTGGTCCTCCTTGACCGCTATAATACAGCCCTCCTCTTTCGTGGGGCAGCTGGCACCAGACAGGACACTGTTGCTCTGATAAACCTTGGTCAAGCGGTCTCACGCCTCTAGAGCTCCACAACACGCAAGCTACGAACCTCTTGTACGATTTTATTAAATTCTATCCCAACTTGCGTGTTATCATCTATTTCGAATGTGAAACAAGGAACTCCTTCTCGTCGACCGAGCTGGTCGCATCGCTCTCGTCGTCGTCGTCCTCTTCCTCATCGGAGTCCTCATACTCGACATACTTCTCGATCAAGAACTTGAGGTCATCCAGGGCCTGCGCCCGAGCCTTAGTGCCGGGCACATGCGCCGAGTACATGATCTCCTCCTTGATGGCATACAGCCTGTTCCTGTCGTCGGCCTCCTCCTGGGGCTCGTCGGGCGGGTAGTTCTTGAAGTACTCGCGGCGGTACTCGCGGGCCTTCATGTGGTGGTGGTCGACGCGCCACATGCCCATGGCCATCTCGTGGTGCGCGTAGTAGGCGCACGAGTCGAAGATGTAGATGTTGCCCGTCCGCAGCTCGGTGCCGATGTTCTGCTCGTGCAGGTCGCCGTGGATCAGGCACGGCTTCACCTCGCGGCCGTCCTCGGTCAGCCGGTCCAGCAGCCGCGGGATCACCGTCTTGAGCGTCAGCTCCATCGCGTCGTCCAGCTCGGGCCAGGGGCCGTTAACCTTCCGGTCGAGCTGGTGCACGCCTGACAGGAGCTTGGTGAAGAAGGACGTCCAGCTGCTGTCCCATTCTGCGGCGAGGGGCAGCTTGCCGTCGTAGGGCGTCAGGTGGAAGCCGAACTTGCCTGTCGGTGAGACGCTGGCCTTGTGGAGCTCCGCAATCTTCTTGCCTAATTGCTCGGGGTTGGCAGGACGATGGTCAATCTCGAGGTAGTCGCACAGGAAAAAGGCGCCCTCAGAGTCGATGCATTTGCCCGCTGCTTTGGCACTGGGCACAAGTGATGGCACCGCACCTTCTAGCTCTTTCATGCAGGCAAATTCTCCCAGGACACGAGGCCCGGCAAGGTCCCCCTTGATGATCTTTAGGAAGTAGTCATGTAATGTGCCATCGGACTTCTTTGTGGTGAGTTTGCCCGTTGCCGACCATGATGAGTTGCCATACCGCTCAGCATTCACAATGGTCTCGCCATCCCCAAGAGCTACGCCACGGAAAGTCAGCTCGGCATCAGATAGGTGGAAGGATGGGGCAGATGGCTTATCTTACCATTAATCACGGCCTGGTCAAAAAATATGCGCTCAGTATCTCGCCTCACGAGGCCTTTCACCTGGAAATCCTCATATGGCGGGACAGGGTCGCCACATGCATGTTCTTGGCTCGCCGCCTGTGCCGGATCGGCTTCCGAGTACTTGGGGGCAGATTCAAAGTGCGGCATGATGAGCTACGTCTCGCTAGTGTCGATGTGTGAGAGAGGGGGAGAGGATAAATCGTCTGCTATTCTGATCTCCTCCATGGCTCTGGCGTGAGATCTTTATCCACTCGGGCGAACCCACTCTTCCTGGGCAGGAAAGCCATCTAGGGCGGCCCATTGGGTCAGCGATGACGATCTGGCGCGCGTTGGTAGAGGTGATTGAAACCTCTTGGCCGCATTTCCGGGTGGGTGTGCTTCTCAGCGGACTGATGTGGCAGGTCTGAACCACTGATCAAGCGGTCGATGGGTCTGGCTTGGAACGGAGCAGGACAGGAATGGATAGCCGGCGCTGAATTTAGGTGCATCAGACTGCTCTAGCTGGCTGTGCCTTCTGACTGCGTGCATCCTTCGGCACCGGACCCGCCGCGGATGTAACCTGATCTCCCAATGTTGTGGCACCTCGGCAGCACCAACAGTTCATTGTTCCCGATCTTGGCTTGGACAGATGACAGACTGCAGCACGATTCGAAAAGCACACCCCTGAGGATAGCCAGCCTATAAGCCTTGGGACATTCACCAACACCTGCAGACTGGTATCGTCTTCGGCACACCGAGAGCAGGGGAATGCAGCCGCATCCGCAAGAGGCTGGGCGCAGCGGCACAGCAGTCCAGGGGCTGCTTGGCCCCATCCCTCGGCCATGACGGCCCAAAAATTGTCCTCGGGGCCGTGCTGAAGGAGCCCAAACAGCGACCCGAAACATCTCACGGCGCTCAACACCAACGTTTTCCAGCTCCGGCTGGCCGGCGGCCCAGAGGCTGGCCATGGTCGTCACGGCCCCTAAAACTCGGTTCATCATCAGCACTCTGTGCACTCTGGGCACACTCTCTATCCTCTCCATCTCCTCGACTCTTTGATCCTCCGTGTTAGCATTAGACACAGACAAACACACGGAGTATGCCCCCAATACTACTCTTTTCTAGGGACATCTGACAAGATGGTAAGTTTTTCTCCTCTTGTATGTCGGCTTGGCTGCGATCATGTTTGACTTTTCTATAGTGGAAAAGGCTCAAGTCAAGGAAGACTGAGCCCAAGGCGGTTCAAGTCGAAGATGAAAGGGGTCGGAGCCCGCAGCCCAAGATCGTGGTGGACTGCGATGCAAGTGACCAGCCAGCGCGGAGTGAGGCTAACAGCGACTTCGGGGACCCCTTGAACATGAGTGACCGGTTCCCAAGCCTGAGGAGAAAGGCCTCCGTACAAAGCAACATCTCGGATGTTTACGGCAATCTTATGCCGTCGTCCTCGTCTGCAATTGCCAGGCAGCGCTCTCAAGATCGACGATCGGACCCTCTCGGGCTCACTGTGCTGTACGCACCAGAACCAGGGCAACGTACTGTCGACATCATCTTCATCCATGGCCTTGGCGGGACGAGCGTCCGGACGTGGTGCCGGAACAGAGATCCAAGCTACCTCTGGCCCAAGCACTGGCTTCCTGACGAGGCCGACATGTCGACGGCAAGGATCCTGACCTTTGGATACCATGCTCATTTTTCCTCGAAGAAGGAGCAAACTTCTCTAACGCTGAATGACTTTGCAAACGATCTGCTTTTCCGGATGAAGTATGACGAGGAGACAGAAGAGAGGCTGGGACAAGTCCCAATAGTGTTTGTGGCCCACTCCATGGGTGGACTCATCTTCAAGAAGGCTTGTAAGTACTTGCAGGCAGCATTACGTGTCTCTGAAGCTAACGTGATGATAGACATTCATGGCTTAATGAATGATGAGTACAAAGACATGGTGTCCAAGGTCAAAGCCGTGCTCTTCCTTTCTACGCCTCATCGAGGCACAGACCTCGCAGAGATCCTCAATAAGATCCTGTCGGGCTCCGTTTTCGGCCACTCTCCGAAGGACTATGTCAACGAGCTGACCAAAAAGAGCCCGACCATCGACGAGCTCAACGAGCAGTTCCGCCACCACGCTGCCAAGCTGCAAATATTCTCCTTCTACGAGACCCTCACCACTACTGTTGGTCCGCTCAAGACCCTCATCCTGGAGAAGCACTCATCTGTGCTGGGCTACCAACATGAGACGCCTCAGCCCCTTGTGGCCAACCACCATGATGTCTGCAAGTTCAGCAGCCCTGAGGATCCCAATTACCAGTCAGTCAAGGGCGCGCTCCGCAGCATCGTCAACAAGGTGCGTTGCTCGACCGAGCACAACTGCGAGGACGAGAAGGAACTCTCCATTCTCAGAAAGTGGCTGGGGGCGAACGGCCGCCCCCACGACGACCTCGCCGATATCAGCTCCAACCGTAATCCTGGGACATGCGAGGGCCTGATGCAGGCGCCCGAGTTCGGCAAATGGCTCGACTCCGAGCTCCGCTGCCCTCAGCTGCTCTGGACTCATGCCCCACCTGGCAGCGGCAAGACGTACCAGACATCATTTGTGATCGACACGCTTATCGAGCGAAATGCCAAGTGTGTCTTCTGGTTCTTTGAGTATCGGGATGCCCGCAAGCGGTCGCTCAAGAATATGCTGAGATCCATGGCATACCAAATTGCGGTTCACGATCCGACCTATCGCAAGGCGCTTCTGGATCTGCAACGAACTGGAACGCATGTGGCAAATGGAGACGCGCATGCAATCTGGAGAAACGTGCTGGGGTCCAAGTTGTCCAGGTGCCAATCCCGCATCTATCTGATTATCGACGCTCTGGATGAAGCCGACTTGCCCAAAGCCCTTCTGGAGATGTTTGCTAGTCTTGGCACTGTCCAGATGAGCATCCAGATCCTGATTATGAGCCGTCCACTCTCGAGCATCCGCAATTCGATGCTGCGGCTGCACAAGAAGGCCCCAAACATGATGTTCAACGACATGGCCTTGACCGACAACCTCAATGACATCCGGCTGGCTGTCACCGACGAGATGGATGAATTCCCTGGCGAGGAAGAATTCAAACAGGACATCATCAAGCAGGTCGTCTCCAGGTCTGAGGGGAACTTTCTGTGGGCAAGCCTCGTCCTGAAGCGGATCCTCCAGTGCCATAGACAGGAAGACGTCAAGAGGGTACTCGACAGCACCCCTGACGGCATGGACCAGCTATATGAGAGGATGGTCGAAGCCATCGCCGCTCTCGACCAAGAGGAAGACAAGAGACTTTCCAAGGTCTTCCTCTCGTGGGCCATGTACTCGGTGACGCCCGTCAGCACGGAAGAGCTCAAGAGCGTCTACTCTGCCGAGCTGTCCTCCCTCATCGACCTTAGGCATACCGTGAGTCAGCTCTGCGGAGAGTTCGCCACACTCGATGGCCAAGACCGCATCGTGCTGGTCCATCAAACAGCACGTGATTACTTGAAGGGCACCACTGCACTTCCTTTCTCCCTGTCGGGGAGCGAAGTCAACGAGGAGCTCTTGTCCCAGTGCCTACTCATGCTGCTGGACTCGGGTCTCAAGGCGCAGATGCGACAGGACAAAGCACCGCAGTTCCTCGCATACGCCGCCGCATCATGGCACATCCACATGGAAAGAGCATCTGTGGACTCGGAGAAAGTCCTGCAGATGCTTGTCAAGTTCTTCCACGACACTGCGCCTCTGACGTGGATCCAATACCTTGCCGCGACCGATCAGCTGCCTTTGCTGGTTGCGGTATCAGCGTCCCTGCAGTCCTTCGTCCGCCGCCGCAGGAAGGCGGATTCGATTAAGCCTCCAACGATGCATCGCATCCCTGAACTGGCGCTTCTGGAGGGCTGGGCCGTGGACCTTGTCAAGATGACGGGCAAGTTCGGCAATCACCTGGTCGACGATCCTGAGGCGATCTACAAGTATATCCCATCATTGAGCCCAAAGAATTCGGTACTCTACAGGAAATATGCGGACAAGTCAACATCACGGATTACCGTGAATGGCCTCTCAGGTGCTGAGTGGGATGACTGCCTCGCGAGAGTGACCAACGGGTCTGACCCGTCGCTTCATGTGGCCGTGTCTGCGCAGTACCTCGCTGTGGCTAACGACTCGCCCAACGGCACGATTCGTCTCTGGAGCAATGTCATCTTCCAGGAGGTTCATACCTTCAGCCCGGGAGAGCCCATATGCTCAATCACCTTTAGTCCTTCGGGATCCCTCCTGGCCGTGCATGGCCTCGACCACACGTTCATCTGGCGGGTGGAAGATGGTGTACTCTTGACCAAGGCCAGCAACCCTCACCAGGACCGGGCAGACACCCTGGCCTTTGGGCCCCAGGAGAAGTTTATCATAATCGCCACCAACCTGCGCCGCGTGTACAAGCTCAACCTCGAAAGCGAGGACCAGCAGCTCTCCTGGGTCGCCTTCGACGAGTCCCTCCTCGAGGAGACAGCCCTTCCAGACGGCGCATTCATCAACTCGCCCTCGTCATTGGCCTTCAACCCGGACTGCACCCAGCTGGCAGTCGCATACAAGGGCTTCCCCCTCTCCATCTGGAGCCTCGACCCACCAAAGATGATAGCCCGCTGCTCGGTGCGCCGACAAGCCCAGGGCGGCAGCAGCGGCCACGCCTCCAGCGCATCCTCCTGGCAGGGCGTGTCCCGGGTGGTGTGGCACCCCTTCAACGGGCAGGTGCTGGGGATCTACCGCGACGGGCAGATCTTCAAGTGGGGCCCCATGGACGACACGCACGAGGAGGTCAGGCAGGAGCTGGACGCCACGCCGTCCGAGATCACGGTGGCGCAGAGCGGCGCCGTCTTCGCGACGAGCGACGTCCGCGGCACGGTCAAGATCTACGACTTTGCCCACATGGCGCCCATGTACAAGCTCACCAGCGAGGACATCATCAAGGCCGTCGCCTTCAGCCCGGACAGCAGGCGCTTCTACGACCTCCGCGGCTCGTACTGCAACGTCTGGGAGCCCAACTGCCTCGTGCGGCTCGTCGAGGGCGGCGCCGGCGGGGGAGGCCCCGGCGGGGGCGGCAGGGACGACGAGAGCATCACCAGCTCCGAGTTCAAGGAGCACCGCGCCGACAGCTGGAGCATCGCCGCCGCGGCGGACGCCGACGCCCGCAGCACGGTGACGTCGCTGGCCGCGTCCGAGGCCCACGCCGACTCGCGCCCGGCCATCACGGCCGTCGCGCCCGCGCGGGAGAGCGCGCGGATGGTGCTGTACGCCAAGGACGACGGCACCGTGGAGCTGCTCGACGCGGGCCGGCAGCGGTCGCACGTGCTCGCGCAGTCGGCGTACGGGATCGGGATCGGCCCGGCCGCGGTGGCGCCGGGGGGCCGGTTTGTGGCGTATAGCCTGCTCAACGGCCGGGTGACGGTCAAGAGCGCCAAGGTCTCGCTCAAGTCTGGGAAGCTCATCGCCAAGGAGGTGCTGGTTGAGAAGGGGGATGTCGGCCGTGGTATCGTGAGGCAGGTCCTGTTCCACCGTGAGGCGGATAGGCTGCTCGTCTGCGGGTCCAAGAAGCTCGAGGTTATCTGCTTTGCCAAGGATGATGTCGGGACCGTGACTGAGAGGGAACTGGACGATACCGAGTCGGGACAGGGCGCGAGGTGGGACTACCACCCTACGGACCCGTCCCTGGTGCTTGCGTTCACGGCGAGCAGCATCGAGGTCTACTCCTGGGACGATATCACCAGGGCAAAGTACACCATCCCCATCGACCTATCACACGGGCAGGGGTTGACCTCTCTTCTGCCCGATGCATCGAGGTTCACCATCGAAGAGATCATCCCCTCGCCCCGTGATAAGGTCCACATGGCAACGGTCTCGTTCGAGGAGAACAACAACAAGGTGTTCGGCTTCATGCTCCTCGACACCTCGCCGCTGCACGGGGGAGACGCCGCATCGTCTACCATCCTGCCAGTCGAGGTGCCCGAGACGGTCGGCCAGCGTGTCGAGCAGCCGGTGGGCTTCCTCCAGGACGGGAGGCTCGTGTTCCTGGACGAGGCGCTGTGGGTGTGCACGACCAGGCTCGCCCCATCATCATCTTCGGCATCGGCAGCCGGCCCAAGTGCTGACGCTCAAGCCGCTGTTGCACAACCACCATCACCACCACCAAGCATAAAACGACACTTCTTCGTCCCGCGCGACTGGCTCAACAGCGCGGGGTTGGCCCTGTGCCGCGTGCAGCCCGACGGGACGTTCCTGTGTCCCAGCAAGGGGGAGCTGGCGGTGGTCACGGGGGATCTGGGGACGGACTGGGGTGGGATCTGAAACCGAGATTGACTTTTTCTACTTTGTGAATTAAGCATTGCATGGCGTCGGAATTGATGGGGGGCTTTTGGGGGCCATTGTTGGCTCATTCGTTTCTGGAGGGTATCTATGGGTAGTTAGAAACGTCATTGTATGCAGCACACGTTGAAATTGTGAGCGATCTTTTCCTCTTCCGGCCCGGATTGAGGCCAAATGGTGGCTTGTTCTTGTCGGTTGTTGCGCAGCCACCTCCACATTGGATGCTGCGGTCGGGCATAGGGACTGGTGTGACAAAAGGGCCTGGTATCTACTTGAGTACACTCATCGATACCTTTTGACCTGGAGCAGATGAAGTTGTCCCGAGGCATAGGCACCATTGATCTAGGTCTTCCGTAGTCAAAATTCAAATTTACATAGAAAATAATACAATATCACACCTTTGACACAACTGTGGCCCTATCAATTGTCGAGTGGTGCTCCCGGGACATGATGATGTACTCCGTATCGCGCTATCCGCAGCCACAACGCTGCACAGCCCGTCTGCGGTTGGTTCGTTTTAGGTTGTTGGTCGATTGGTCGGTCAGGCTTTGTCAGACCCCTCGCTATGTGCACATTTGGCCTCAGTGCATCCATGTAAGCTGGTTGGTCAGGTTGGTCCACCGAGGCTCAGCTGCCGACCATGGGGAGCCGCTTAAAATCCTCCCCGTTCCCCGGTGTGAATCATCCCGTCCCACTCGCTTCCCTCCGCATACCTATACACATCTTTCCGACCTCACCCTCACCCCCCTTTCCCTTCCTCTCTCTTTTTTTTTTTTGTTAACCCATTGATTCACCAGATGAGATCTATCGAGTCCTTGACTTGGTGTACCTGATCATGGTATCACTGCAGCAACACAGCAACGCCATGCAAGTGGACGAAATCGACCCTGGACCCCCGATGTCACTGGTTCATGAATTCGTACATGCACCGGGGCCGCCAGGTCCAAGGACAGCGGGGCTCAACACCGCCACCAAGGCGTTGTCGACGACGACACCTGCCGAGCAGGAACTGGAGGGCTCGGATATCTCCGACCTTGAGCCGGCCGACATTGGATGGGAAGGCGGAATTGGACGAGGAACGAACCGTTCTCACAAGGGAACCAAGAAGGAAGTCGAAGGTGGCATCACCTCCGAGCGCCCCGAATATTCCTGCCCCTTCGCGCTGGGATCTCCCGGCGCCCACCAACTGGAGGAACCTCTCGGTGCATCTGGGCACCTTCGCACGTATTTGTCAGGCAGCTCTGTCAAATATGTGCGAGGGTCCTCTGCTGGGCCATACGCCTCCGGAAGATTCTCAGACGAGAGTGTAATCCGGGATCAAGCGAGAGGCCAGGCTTCGCCCGACATGCGACCTCGGCTAGCTCATCACGGCATGGTGACCGGGGCACTCGGCAGCGCGACAAGCGCTCGACGCGGCCAACATGTCTTGCCCCGTATCTCAAGTCCCGTCGAGCTCTTACGTACGAGCTATGACACTGTCGTCATTGGATCGGGGTATCGCGGTGACGTGGCAAGTGCCTGCACGTTGAGGGCAGGCGAGGACATGTGCGTGCCAACAGGCGGGCAGAGTCTTCGAGGCTATGACAACGTCAACAAGACGGTGACCTCCGGTGAAGCCTGCATCGACGCAGCCGAGAGGTCCTTCGACGTGAAGTGGAAGGCTGCAATGAAGTTGTCGCACCCCCCGGGGAAGAGCAGCGCCGGTGCTGCAGATGTCTCGATGAGGGAAGCCCTCATGTGGATGATAGAATACAATCTGGTAAGCCTTCCTGTGGCATGAAAACGGGATGTGGATATGGGCTGATTCAGAGAATAGATACCCTCGCCAAGCGGGAGTGAGCCTCCGGCTCGCTTGTGGGATCAGTCCGCTCAGCTGCTACTGAACCTGGTGGCAGCTGCTGTCTCATGCTTTCACCTTCACTTCTCCCCAACGGTGGAGGTAGCAAACGTGCAAGCAACGCAGTGTACTGGAACAGTTCACTGCCTCCTGCAAGACCCAGGATAAGAGATATATTTTTGACTGGCATTCTCGATTTAATTTCGACGAGTGTCAGAGAGCCCAACCGCATCAAAACCATTGCCATCTCATCGGCAACACACTTTTCATAGTTCAAGGCTCAGCGTGCGCTCCGCGCCTCACAACCATCACCTCATCGCTGAATGCACAAGAAGTGCTGCGAAAACACACAATCGAAATCTGAGCCACTGCTCAAACAAACACACCCATATACACAACCTACAACGCCCAACCGGGCTTCGACAGAATGGCGCACCACACGAATTTCGCGTCATACAACATGACGCTCGACGATATCGATCAGTCGGAAATAGAACAGATGATGCAACAGATCGCATGGGAGCAATCGATGAACCAGGCAGCTATTGCCGACACAGATTATGACACAGCCAGCTTCGACCCAACACTCTCACCGCTGTCCGGCTATGCCAGCCCCAGCAGCATGACCACAGGCAGCACCAACCCGAGCCCCTTGGTCCCGCTCCTCGACTACGATATGACTTACCCGCTGGTCCCGTCCCCGGACGACCCCGAGAGCCTCTTTCCAGAGCTCATGAACTACAACACCACCATGGATTCGGCATGGGTGGGCCCCCAGCCCGAGGGCTTCACTAGCCCTTTCCTGGACGACGACCAAGCCAAGCTCCCATCCGCATACCCCCTAGTAGACAGTCAGCTGTATGCCGTGACCGCAGCGCCCGACCAGGCGACATACGCCAGCAGCCGGGTCATGACCGCCACCTATCTCCCCACAATATCACCAGCCACCACCACAGCGCAGCCCCAGGCGCCCATACCATCATCACCACCACAACCACCAACAACACAAACGACACCCGCCACCACCGAAACCACCAGCCTCGCGTGCCCCTACTGCGGCGCCACGTTCGCGGAAAAGGCCAAGCTGAACGTCCACACCAACAAACACACCAAGCCCTTCCGGTGCGCCGCGCCCGGGTGCACCTACGGCGCCGCCGAGAAGAAGAGCCTGCACAGGCACATGCAGGGGAGGTCGGACTACGACGTGGAGCACCGGGCCGCGGCGCGGCGGGCGCGCGTCCCGCTCGTCAAGCACCGCTGCCCGCGCGAGGGGTGCACGTACGCCACGTTCCGGGACGACAACCTCAAGAGGCACGGCAAGACGTGCACCGGGCGGTGAGCTGGGAGGGGGGGCTATGGGAAGAGAGGGGTTTGGGCGGGGGGGGGAGGGGGGGAGAGGGGCACAGAATAGGGGTTTTGGACAGGAATGGGAAGTGAGAAGAAGCCTGAGGTGGCTCTAGAGGTTGTCTCTGACTGTTTTTCGGCTCGTCTGTCCCTGGCATTGCTTGTATATGGCGTTCTTTGTGTTTGTTATTCCTTGGCTCAGCGTAGTATGGTGCATGTGTCTTCAATTTTCAATACACTCTATATCTCCTCTTGTTGTACACGCGTGGGTTTACACCGCTTGCCAATAGCTATATCTACATTTTTCTTCGGAGGAATTCCACTGCCTCCCTCAAAACCCCAGCGACCGTACCAATTTCCCGATGAAGCCGTGCTTTTTGGGAACCTGGGACTGGGGCCAAAAATGCTCCTTGTGCCAATCCAGGAGGATAGGGGGCTCATCCGGGCCAGCCTCATAGACTTGTATAGTATCATTTCGTTCGCCCGAAATACTCAGGGCCGCCTCTGATGGGGGAAAGAAGATGCCCACGCACGGCCCGCCATGTGCCCTGACAGTCTCCCTGAGGGCTCCCAAGAGACCAACCAACCGGCGGAGGACGTGCTGGTTGTCGGTCTCATAGTTCCTGACCAGCTCAGCCATCTCGACGACTGTCAGACCGCGCAGCTCCCCGAGTCGGTCCTCGGGGACGACGTCGGCGACGGCTAGCTTGGTCTGGCCAGAGAGCAAGAGGTTTTGTGCATTTCGCTGCAGGCGCACGGCCTCGTTGGAACGCTGAAATGGAAACCCGCGTGCACAGGCCAGGAATGCCTGGCTGGTTTGGACGCCCTGCCCGGCCTTGATCACATCAATGCCGTGGATATCGCGCCTCTGCGGGTTGCTGGACTGGTCTGTGGGGATTGGCATATCCTGCATGGAGCCGTTTACGTAGGTTCTGACCAAGCAGGTGAGTGGGCCCAGTTTATAGCTCAAGAGTTGGTGATGAATCGAACTGTCGCCGACCTCGGGCGCGGGCTCGGTGAAAATCTTGTAGTATTCCCAACCCTTGGGAGAGGGCCCGGGTACTCGAATCTTCGTGGCAGTTGTGTTGAATCGAGTCTTCGTGGCAGTTGTGTTGAATCGATCCCTTAAAACCAGTGTGTTACCAACTTGCATCATATTGAGATGAAAGGAGTCAGGGAATCCATGACGGGGCCTGCGATAGAGCCTCTGATGTGTGTTGTGAGCGACCGAAAGGAGATTGAGCAGGACGCCTAGACTGGCCATGACGTCCACGTGGTCAAGTTTTAGCCCTGGGTCCGTGGCGCATAGAGCAGCAAGAGAATCATCCCAACCGACAGGTCGAGGACCTCTTCCCGGGTTGCAATATCCCCAGGGGCGGCGCTCGGGCATAGCAGCATCCAAAGCCTCGCGTATTGCATCATTAGACAGCGACGCAATTGTGTTTCTTGGTCGACTTGCATCCCCTTGTATGTCACGGTTAGTCCAGCTCTCCCCATGACGAAGTCCAGTGGACCTGCGGGGTTCGACGGACACTTACCAGGGACATAAATTGCCTGTCTGCTGCCTCTGGCTTCGTTCCAGCTGCAGAGGCATTCGATCTTGGAGTCCATAACACTCACGGGCTCCTGACACGCTTCATAGGACTTTTGATCAATGGTCGCGATTGGGTTCGGGAAGAGGCTGAGAAGCTCTCGGTCCCCCGGTCTGACGTGCTCGGGGCGAGGTGAGGACACTTTGGCGGGTCTCGCTTGGCCCTCGCTGGACATGCATCTTGATTTGCGAACGAGGACGCTCAGCCGTGGCCGCGCCCGGGGACGCGCCACTGTTCGCAGCAGCCGTCGGGACGCCGATGCTGCATGTCCGCCCGGGCCTATAGCAGGCATGGCAATTCAATCGTATGTTGCAAGTGCAAGCCACGTTTGATAAGACGCGCTCATCGACGGGTGTGTGGCGGATATGCCAATAAATCGCCGAGGCCCGCGTTGACATCTGGACTCGGAGTGCACAACCATAAGGTTAAGCCAAGTCGAAGCTGTGCAGAGCACTTGAGAACAGACCACGCTCATGAGAAAAACCAAGGTTGTCGATGAGTCAGCAGCCACCGCGCCATTTTGATTGGCCGAGTGCTTATTACATATATGCACCATTTCCAAACCTCATGGCTTGCCTGCTTGGTTATGGAGTCATCAATACTTGCCAAATGGGTGCACATGTCTTGAGCCTCATTGTGAAGACTGTCAGAAAAATGAGAATCCTGTAATTTTCCATAGTTGGGATTCATTCGCTACCAAAAAGTACCAAGTTCTTGATTATGACAACCTTGGATGTGGATGGACTCCTGGGAACCAACCCAGTACTCGAGTATTTGCTTCCACTCTCAAAACCGTTTCCACCGTCAGACCACGTAAGTTGGGCCTGTTGCCATCTCAAACGACATATAAGGCCGCTGAACCCCCAGGCCTCCCAGCATCCTGGTTTCTCTTCTCCCTGAGAACCTTGTCTGTACATACCGCCTCGACCGAAAAGCTGCCCCGTGGCCGATACATCGTCTCCCACTGACTGATGTTATCCGCCTCATGCTCACTTCTTGTGATCAAAACTGATATCCGACACCAGTGCCCACCGCGCGAGGTGATCCGCCCCTCGTGTCCGTTTGTCCCTCCGGCTCGGGCCCATCTCGTTGCATGTGGTGGCGCGCCCACTCCCGCGCCGCAGCATCCAGTCCGCTGTGTCCAAGACCATTGGCGTGACGATCAAGGTTGTTGACCGCGTCCCACACCGTGTCGAGATGGTGCTGACCCCAGGGAATTCCGTCGTCGGCCCCGGTCATGGCACAAGCCGTCAGTGTCATGCGCTTCACGATCTCGTCTACCGTCTTCTCGGTCTCGGCGCGCAGCTCGTCTCTCACCCCCTTGGCCGCCTGGGCGCCCTCCTCGTCGAGGAGGCGAACCGCAAACTGGTGGACGTGCCTGACGTAGATGTCCACCCTGCTTACGGGTACATCGTATCCATTGAAATGACACAGGCTGTTCCGCAACTCGATTAGACCGTCTGCGCTCTTACGCACCCTATCCGGCATAACCATAATCACATTCGTAAACCTGTCCCGGGCCAAGTCGATGTCGGAGCTATATTTGAAAAAGCCTGGCCGGTGGGCGCTGAACCAGCGCCAGACGCACTGCCTGGCGACGCGAAGTGCCTCTGTGAGGATCTTATATAGCACGTCGTGGTTAATATAAACATAGCAGGCAAGACCTGTGATGAAATGTTTGTCGGACAGCCCAGTGCGTGCTGCAAGGGCTATCCGGTTCTCACTCTCTGCAATCTGCTCGGCTTCGGTCATCTCCGTGCTGATTGTGCTGTCTGGCTGATGCTCCACGCTCGGTGTACCGGTTGCGGGGGGCTCCCAGTCCCATGTGCCAGTTGCATGCCATTCCGACTTGAAGAGTTTGGGGTCGGTGGTTTCCTGGCGCCGGGCGGCCACGTGATTCTCATGCGAGGCGGTGGGCTTGATGAATCCGAATGTCATAACTTTGATTTGCCCGTTCTTGTAGATAGCGTCCCATCCGTTGATCCTGACAGCGCCAGCGACTGGAACTCGGACTTTGGGGATGAAAGGGTCCATGTCGCCAGACGAGGTGCTGGTATTGGGCTCCAGTGGTGTAGTGGAAGAGACGCTCTTCTTGGGGGTTATTGCGACGGTGTTTGGTGATGTCGAGGTAAAGTGGCGGAGTCGGGATGCATTTGTTGGCTGAGCGTACGATGGAGTCGTTCCGTTAGATGCCGATGGTCCTCGTGCTGAGGTATGAGCAACTGGCTGGGATAGGGCTCGTCCATTGCCGCGAGGCTGCTGAGCTCGAGGAGTACGGTTGTCTTGTCGCTGGTCGTTGGACCGCTGGGACGCGCGGGAGGAAATGATCTTCATCGTTGCGATGGATGCTGATAGCTAGTTAGTATAGATGGCCTGCGTGCGATTCATTTACATAGCGACCATCTTCAGACCTACTCTCGCCGTATAACTCCCTCGCGGCGTTCTAGTTAACGCCGTCGTTAAGATGGTGCCCCTTAGCCTTGTTTGTGTGTTGTAAGGCTGAGACTAGAAGTGCCTATTGTATAGCTATTATTATTAGCATTGTATTCTTTCTGAGAGCTATGTTTTAAGTGCTTACTACTGTATGAAGGCGCTCTGTATGTTCTTAGATGGATGTGGAATAGAAGTGAAACCACATAGGTAGCCTGCTGATGACAGAAGGAGAAGGATTATTTAGATAGTCTTCTTGATAGTAGAGGAGCCGAAGGAAGGGTGTAGAGGTGGTAGGTAGTAGGAGGTAGGTAAGAATCTACAACAGGAAGGTTTGTCGGGGGGATGCTGGCATTAAATACTTTTAGGAGCACTAGGGTGGGGCTAGGACGCTGGTCGATGCTCGACGAAGGTGAATCTAAATACTATTATAGCGCTCCCTAGTGAAGCCGGGGGCGAGGACTTCGCACCCGGGGCTGGGGATCCTTCACCCCCGACTTCCACGGTTAACCGTCTACTCGTAACGAGTAAAGAAGAGGACTAGTCACTTCTAGGTACTGATCAAATAAGAATAAGGAGGGATAAATTGCTCCAAAAGTTCTTTGGGGGAGAGGTACCTATTTATGTAGTCCATGTCTAGGGCCGTTACCGACGGCCGCTGAGACACCAAACTATTTTCTTAGTAATACTTTATTTTAATAAGTTAGCACCCTCGGCACAAACACCCCTGACACCTTTCACTGCTTGCCCGTCTCCCCAGCCGGTGGGTGTTGAGAATACTAACAGTTGGTGACCGCGGTCGATTGCCCATGCTGTTTGGTGCTCATCATGGTTGATATGACCGTACACCAAAGAGAAATTCCATGTTGAATAGACTGTTTGTTCAGGTTCGTCACCTGATGTTGTGCTCTCTGCACAACATGACCACGGGTGGAACAGCACTATCATAATCCTCCAGGCAAATATCCGTCAATCACCAATGTAACATCTGTATTTCCGTGCAACACGAAGAACAGCTTAGAACGCCAAAGGCTGTACGGGACATTGAGCCCTACATCACGAAGGTCATAATGGGGGTACCTCTGCCGCTCCCGGTCTTGATAGCCCTGGCAGCCGCAGAGCGCGCATCAGGTCTCTGTCACAGGCATTTCAGGACGGGATTGAATCCCTACACCTCAATCGTGGGGAACTCAAAGCAAGTGAGTGACTTGTAATCTATCCTCAGCAATCGCTCTTCTCAGCTCCCTGGGTCACAGTAATCACCCTCTTCTGTTGCTGTTGCGCTTTACCACGGGTCCTTTGACGACCTCCCTGTGTATAAATAATGGTTAGGTTCTTGCAGTCTTCTTTATTTTGGGCTGGGGTAAATGCGAATTCATTTGTTTTATTGATCTGAAGTAATCCAAACATCATATGCTGAGCGAGCGGCACCTTTTCCCTGTCACTGCCATACCTTGCGCGATCGGTTGCGAGCAGGTAGACCCATTCTGCGTCTCATCCACGAATCACAACCGTTAGTGCTGACAATCGGGCTGAACAACAGTTCAAGGCCTGTTTCCCAACATGTGCTTTGGCCCCGGTGATGGAGAACGTCATAAATCCAAGAAGAAACGGCCGAACGAGAACCGGCGTACGATCAAGCGACTGACAGAACTCCGGTATCGAACAGACGAAACGGTGATGGGACGCAATCCGCTCTCTCCAAGTGAGCTCATCACTTTCACTACACTCAAAAACACCGGAAATCGCGTTATGGGTGTGATGGCGCCGACCACTGATGGCTTTTTGTACGCCTGTCCTCGACCTTTCCTTCGTCTCAAGACGTCCCTCACTAAGCACAGGCAACAAAAGCACGGTCAATTATTGCATAAATGTGTAACCAGCAATTTGGACGTACTAATTTCTGAACATTTTTAATTTCCCAGGGTTGTCAGTCACGTATACACAAATAGAGACGAGCGCTCGAGTAACGAACGACCTCTTGCCAGCGACATCCTCCTGTCCTTTTGGAAACACGTTGCTAAACAGCCGGTCAGATCACTCAGGGGAGTGATATTCCAGACAGTTGAAGAAGAGGGCACGAAGCATATAAGGCGTGAGGTGTACCGCAATCTAGGGTACGGAATAGATCTCGGGGTGCAACTCAGTCTCGTCCCGGATCATGGCCAGCAAAGCAACGACCCCGTGCTCGACAATCAGCGTACGGCCATCGGAACGGAATTCGATTACGTGTATGACAATTGCAAACTGGCAAGATGTGTGAAATCTATGGTCACGGAGTACATAGAGATGAAGGATGTGGGTGCTGGAGTTAGAAGCATCGACTTTGTGCCCCAAGATCGCCGGGGCCGTAATTTCCATTTGGTCGTCATGATTGGGCATGCTCGATCAGCTCGGCACGCGTAGGGAGTCAGGGTGTGTAAGCGCCTTGGGGCCACAAGATTGGATTCACACCTGGTTGTGCGGAATTCGTTGACAAGCCGTCTTCTGAGCTTGTGATAATTTTTGGGGTCATGTTTTGGAGTGTGCGGAAAGCTTTTTGGTAGGCCCGTCGTAGCGGATTGATGCATTTATATCTTCCACACCACTCGTTATTCATCGCGCTAAGGGTATGATTACGGAGGAAAGTTAGTGTACCTAGGTAGTGTGGTAAAGAGATAGGGGGTGCTATACCTCTTTTAGAATTCTTTTTAAAATACTTAGGGCATTCTATATTTAAACTTACTTACACTAAGACTTAATATATACCTCTTACCCTACTATAATTTCCGTACTTTTACTAACTATTTCTATTAAAGATCTATATACTTTCTAAATATTTTTTATACCTATACTAAGAAAGTTTTAGTGTATACACTAATCTAAATAGATTAATATAGCTAAAATTAGTTTTTAAATTAACCTTCTTACTCTAACTAAAAGAAGGCCCTCTAGAGTTAAAAAAGACCTACATAAAGTGACTTCTCGCTTACATATATAATAGCTTAGTGAAGAAGAACCTTTACACTGACTTTGGCCACACTGACTTCCCTCTGTGATCACACCCTAAGTCCGGTACAAACGACTCAGCCAACTGACATTTTGGACTTGTTTGGTATATGACGGTTAGAGAAAGACGCAGACTTCCAATCTGCCAGCTCCAGAACACGGGGATGGTATGCGCCACGGGCTGACGGTTCACGCAATGTCGGATGACGGGCTCTCGAGGAACCTTCAAAGAAACATAGTCCACAGCTGAAGTAGAGAGTGGTGGGGGTGATGGTGCCATCACTATGGAATTTTAGATATTATGATTAAGTATTGATACATCACTTCTCGTCATGTGACTCATTATAGCCCCTCGTGATATCCATCCAGAGTCCTACCACTTGCACAACATTTTCTTTGCCAGTTGTCGTAAATACCCTCCAGCGAAAGCCTATCCCTTAGGGTTGGACAGGCAAGCTGAAGTACGCATAGCAGACGGCGTGCTCGGTATCACAGATTGCCGTGTCCACACCAGGCTTGTCGGCGCAAGTGTCGCGCGCGTTGTCACAGCAGGTGGCAACCAGGGTGTGGCACAGGGCCGGGTCAGAATTGCCAATGGCGGCCAAGCACGTGCTGCGGGTGGTCTCGCACACGGCGACGGCGACCTCGCGCTTGGCGTAGGGGTTGGGCAGGTTGGCGCCGGCGTAGCAGGCGGCCTTGTCGGCGGAGCAGGTGGCCATGTTGGCGCCGGGGCCGCTGCGGCACACGGTGTCGGCGGCGTTGCAGCACCCGGCGGCCAGCGAGGCGCACTGGGCCTGGTTGGCGTCGGGCTGGGCCTGGCAGGCAGAGCGGACGGCGCTGCACACAGCGGTGATGGTGGTGCTGTTGCCGGTGTAGTTGGGGTTGCCGACCAGGGGCGTGGTGGCAGCGAGGCCCTGGGCAAAGACGGCCGCAAGGGCAATAGTAGCCTTGGAGAAAAGCATTTTGAAACGAATGTGATGAATATTAGAATTTCTAGTACTCCGTAGTAAGTCCTAGGATTCAGCAAGTCCCTCAGATATGTTGAAGATGAGGATAGTAAACGTTACTTGAAGAACTCAGTTTTTACTTGCCTTTATACATTTTCTTCTCTACTCTCCCTTCTAGACATGATCATAGCTCGTGGCCGTGCTCATGGGGTTGGGACTGGTAGTGTCCAATGTAAAGTGGACCTATGGAATCGCCAAAATTGACGACGCAAGCTGCAATGGCGCTTAGCGCAAAATCGTTGACTCGTGCAAATGCGGAGGCACCGAGATATCCATATATTTAATATCGATCGCCAAGATAACGTGTCTTTCCGATCTCGTTTAAAGTAGGCAGTAAGCTTACTCGTCCACACAGCTATCATGGTGTTCTGGTCATGATTAAAGCCCCGATTAAGTTCTGTGGAGTTGGTGCAACGTGGATCCCATGGGTACATCTTGCGGCGTCACTGCACGTGGCAATGACTAAACAGCTGGGCAAAGAAGCGATGAAATCGGGACCCATTGGCGGCCAGGGGGATCAGCAATAGTGAACAGACAGACACGGGGGGCTAATGTTTTACCCGGATACATGATACCCCTAGCCCCCTAACAATTCGACAACTACTTCTGGAATGCGCAGCTAGGTATGTAGATGTATATCTATAAATATATTCTTGGCCCCGAGAATGGACAGCGGAGTTCATCCAGGTCGATTGTTTGTTCTAAACTTAATGGCAGACTCTACACAGTCGACTTAGGGGTCCTGTTGGCATGTACTGCATGCATATGTGTTTCCTCGAGGTACAGCGTTGGTCATGCCGCCAGATACTTTGTCGTGGCCATGCCTACCGGGGGGAGGGGGGGTCCTAAACATAGGCGTATAATTATATTAAAAATTAACATTCAAACAAAATCTAGATATTACAACTAAATACTAGTAAAAGGTTAATAAAATACTATTATAGGTAAAATCTATTAAAGGGTTAATTATATATTAGATTTTAATATTATATTAATATATATTAGGAATTTTAAATCTATTAATATTAAATTTTATAAGTTAATAAGAAAATAAGATTTCTATATTTTCTTAACTTTATAACTCTATAAACCTAATATATAATAATAATTAAGCTAAATAATAGCTAATAAGTAGTTAAGTTAGGGATAAGTTAAAAAAAAACTTAATTCTAATAGGAATTAAACTCTTTTTTTACTTATATATTAAGCCTTTAATAGTATATTAAGAGTATTTTAATAAGTAAATTATATTAAACTAAAAAGTATTATATTATTTAAATATTATATAGTTATATTAATAGTGTGTTTATATTTTAAGAGAATGTTAATACTATTCTAAAATGATAGTACTATTCACTTAATTTACCCTCCTCCCCCCGGTAGGTGTTCCACCGTAACCAGTTGGAGGAGAGAAATCAGAAGTCTGCCTGGAACTAGACCCTAGGGCCCAGACTTGAGCGTTCTCCTGGCGGATTTACCGAGACCGCATCTATGGCGCTATGGATGTTATGGCAACAAGTGATGAAACATGAGGAGATGGTGACTGTTACCGGCCTCATCGTTTAAGTACAAAAGGTTTTCTTTCTCGGGGGCCTGTGGTGATGTGGATTCTGATCATCAGTGTGAGTGTATCCAAGGGAGGGTTTCTGCAGCTCAGAAATAGGTGTGATGCCATCAATTCAGGCCGTGGCAGCTGTCATGACAATATTCTGATCAAATCCAGTAAAAGTTGAGGCAAGATATCTTTGGAGAGGGGGGTAAAAAAGCTTTGTACCATTACACGACATCATTCTCGAATGATCTCAACAGCCGCGTATCCCCCGTGACGTGACAGAAAGAGGCAAGTGGCGGTCTCGAATAGGCTCAATGTAAGTCAGTGTACCACGTCACACACAGCCCCCCTTATACACTCTATATTTTTACATCCTTCTAATTGGTATCACTTTAATAAATACTTATATTATAAGCCCTATAAAAATTATATAATTATAAGAATTATATAATTTAATTCCTTTTTTTATATATAATAATATAATTAAAGTCTTTATTTTAAAAGTTCTTACTACCTTAAATAGCTACCTTAATAATAGATTTTAATAAAAAGTATATAATTAATATTACTAATAATTAAAGCTTTTTATAATAATATATAATATAAAGAAGTCCTTTAAAAAAAATTTAAAGTATATTATATAATTTATATAATAATATTTACTTTATTAAAAGTTAAAAGTATAGTTTATAATAAATATTTAGTTTAAATAATAAGGAAAAGGTTTAATTTAAGGTTAATAGTTCTATTAGCTATTATAACTATTATTATACTAATTTAAAAGTACTTAATATATAATTTAAATAAGAAAATAGTTAGTATAAGTTTAAAAATATTTTATTTATTTCATTAATTAAATAAAATTAAGTTTAAATTATATAAATTAAATAACTTTTTAAGTTATTTATAATTTAATTATTCTTTTATAAACTAGATTAGTTATTTAATAAATTAAGTATATATATAGTTATTATTAAAATTAAAAGAAATATATTTATAAATACTTTAAATTATTAAAACTTTATAAATAAATTTAAGTTATCCTTAATTTAAATAAAGTATTTATTAATATTATAATATTAAAAAGATAGAAAGTAATAATAAAATAGAGTATAATAAATACTCTATTAGAACTTAATAATAATAATATTAAAATTAAAAATAAGGATTTATTAAAAAAGTATATTAAAATATAAAAGTTAGAGATTAAGGAGTTTTAATTAGATAATAAATAACTTTATTAATTGTTAAGAAATTTAAGTTTATAGTTATATAGTTGAAATTAGGGTGTTTAATTTAGTTGTGTGTGTGAGGGGGGCTGTGTGTGATGTGGTATACTGATTTATAATGTGGTGTGTCGTCAAGCCTGGCGGGCTACCTTGACTGCTACTGATGGGCCAATGCAACATAGTCATGGCCACAGGACTCCGTGGATTGGATTCGACGACTGGCCAAGTCAACATTGGGTGAGTAACGGGATCTTTCACTGCTGTCCAGGCAAATGAGTTCGTAAGTCAGCGCACCGGTCTGCGCACATCCCCACCAACGCACACGCATTTCCCACCAAAAAGGTTGATTTTTACTAGATTTTATTTAATTCTATAAAAATACTATATAAATAATTTTAATACTATTAAAAACTAGATTTTTCATTTATAATAAATAAGAATTTAATTTATTAATAAATATTACTATAAATTAAAAATAAGTTATTAAAGTTTAATATTTTCCTTCTTAACTAAATAACTAATAATTAATATAGAAATTAGTTAAAATATTAAAATTTAATTTTGAATTTAATTTAATTAAATAATAATATAAGTTTTATTATAAAAATATATATTATTATAAGATTTATATATATTTTAAAAGTTTTTATTTATAGAAATTTATTAGAATTAATTATTAAAGATTTAAGAAAAGTAGAGTAAAAGAGTAGGGAATTTACTTTACTTTTTAAAATTTTTAATAATTAATTCTATTAATTTTCTATAAATAGAAACTCTTTAATTTTAATTTTAATAATTTTAATAGATTTTTATATATAATAAATTATAAATATAATTAAAAACTATATTTCTATAATAACTTAAAGTTTTAAAAATATTTCTTATATTTAGTAAAGAAACTTTAAAAATAGAAATTTCTAACTTTAAATAATTCTTTTAAAAATACTTACCTATTCTTTTTATTATAAAAGCTATTATATATATAAATAAAAATAAAGATTTAAATAAAATAACTTACTTATTTCTAATATTTAAATAGATTTATTTATTAATAAAAATATATATTTTATATATTTCATATATTTTAATTTATTATTATAAATAATATTATTTATATTATAAAAACTATATTATTATATAAATATTAACTATACTTATAATATATATTTAATTTAAAATTTTAAAAGTTATATAGAATTAATAATAATATATTATATAGTTAAGAAATAATATACGTTAGTGGGGATGTATATAGACCGGTGCGCTGACTTACGATATGTTGTAATCTCAGGGCAATTGTCTCTTTGCTTAATACACCCGCGCAACCGGCGGTGCTGGTGACAAGAGCCATTGTAAATCTGTCTTCAGCATCTTCTGGATAGCAGGTCGCCGGTTCAGATATGCCACCCAGGTAAGCTCTCAAATACTACACGGGTACGTCCAGCATTATTTGGATGTCCGACAACCACCGTTACATGGTTAAGGGATTCATGGAGGTGATGCCCGCTTTGAGAGCACCTGGGCACGCAGCTCATTAAACAAATCTTGATCTAGCTAGGTCGTACGTAGTCTTCCGCGGCAAGGCTATACATCTCTTCGTGTTCAGGGATTGGAGCCCTCGGTCTTAACAAGGGTGACAATCATCAATTCCCATGGTAGTGTGACGCGAAGAGAGCCGCCAACAACTCATGTCCTCAGTCATCAAGCGCAGTCATGGTGGACATCTTCGTCAACCATACGAATCACTGTCGCAGTCCTTGTAGTATAAATGGCGGGGACCTTTTACAAGATTTACACTTCTTCCACCTTTCAAGCCAAGAATCGACAGCAATCCTCGTATCATTCTTGCAACAACACATCAGAATCTTATTGCTTTCAGCCCCTGTACTGAACTCCAGTTGAGCCCCGAAGAGTGGTGTAAGTAAGGTCTCGTGATTCTCAAAGCCAAAATGTATGAAGTATTTCACGCTAACACTTGCAAAGAGAAGGCGCGTCGAGTCGTTTACCAAAATGTGTTTTGGGAGTGACTCGGATGGGGAGGACCACGAATTACAGGCACGGCCGGCTAGACAACGGCGGCTGGTGGTAGTACGACCAGTACTGTCATTTGAAGAGATGGGATACTTCGTTAATATACTCGGTAATGCGTCAAACCCCGCGCATCCCGACGGTGCTCGCGAAATCACGTTCTACGAGGTGCGTCATCCTGAGCGACTCGGTGTGGACGACTATATTGCAGTGCTCGCTGCTGATATCGATACCGGGCTGTTGTACGCATAATCACCCTCTCACTGCCTAAAGAAGTAGAGACAGACTCGATGGAGACTGTGCACTCACTAACACCACACCCCATCCATAAAATTTGGACTCTTTTCCTTTCCGAATGCCATGAAACGTGGACCAAAAACACTTGCTGAGTCAAAGGATGCTATTAGGGTCGTCACCCATATCTACCCCAATCGGGATCCTAGACCCGGGAGACCACTCGCAGCCGACATCTTTCTTGCCTTCTGGCATAAGTATTGCGGATACGAGATCCAATCTCTGCGAACACTGTTTTTTGAAGACGTCAGAGATGTGAGCATGGTTGAACCACACCAGCTGGCATATGCTCTCGTGCGTGTGCCGGACCTTCAGCAGTCAATCGTTCTCCGACGCAGGGGAGGACCACCCGCGGAAGAGGATGCGTTCAAGTTATCCTTCGAGCAAAGCAAGCTTGGGTTGTCCGCGCGGACAATAGAGAAGGAGAACCAGACGATGGTAGAGCTTGGACACAAGGTTCTGCAGATCGAATACCGTGTGCGCGAGGAAATTGGCCCCGTTCCCTGGGACCACTACCATTTTATTGTAACCTTCGGAGCAGAATCGAGAGCGCACGCCCAAGGCAGCCATCATCAAGGCAACCGTCACAACCGTCACCAGGACCGCGGAAGAAGACAGAGGAGAAGGTAAAGAGCTCTTCGGCGAATTTGAAGCTTTTGGTTTTCCATCAGTTACCTAGACTATCGACTCTAGTCACATAATTTGAAATTCATGAACATGATCCTGCGAAGAAATTCCGCAAGCTGTTCATTTTCCAATATCTACCTGAACACATGGTGATGTGGGCCCGTTCAGTGCAATGGCGAGTCACTGCCCCATGGTGCTGGGCCATAACTTCGACATAGCTGTTCCTCTTTTGCCGCCTCCCTCCCGCATTCATATGCCCCGCGTCTACTAATTCCAAAACTTATACTGTAGAGACGATATGATAACATTCCTCCCTCATCTTAATCTACTCTCACTTACATTTTTCCAGATCCGTGTTGCTTTGTGTTGTCACCCGGACTGAGTATATTAGAGCCACTTTGATGACTACACAAGGTACTGCAATCGCAAAACTGGAAATTGGATACGTCCCCTTGATGAATTTATTGAGATTTGCGAGAAAAAATACTAGTAACAGACCAAGACGACCATCCGCGATTCTCGACCGATGTCTGTTCATACCTACCTAGGTATATACCTGGGTACTCTATTGGCGTCGCTAGAGCGGAGTGTCTAAGACCCGCTCATCTCGACTTTCTCCCCCTTCGCCTTCCCGCCAATATCCTTCTCCAGGTGCACCTCAACATGATTCGTAAAATACTTTGACGGGTCCTTGACCACGATCGCACAAGCCGTCGCGAGGATCCCAAACGGAATCGACGCCAACCACGTGAGCCGGAAACCATACGCATACCCGTACCGGGCCGCCGTGACGCACGACTCAAAGACCGAGGCGGGAACATCCGGCAGCGTAGCCGCGAGGCCCGGGACCCCGAGGATCGTCAGCCTCGCCGTCTCGATCAGCCCCGGGACCGCCTCGGCCGCGACGCCACCGTCCGCGGCCGCGGCGGCGATCCGCTTGGCGACCTCCTTCCGCGCGACCTGGTTGAAGATCGACGAGAAGATGACGGAGCCGATGGACCCGCCTACGGAGCGGAAAGTCCCGATGAGGCCGACGGCGACTCCGAGATCGCGCTGCGGGACGTTGAGCGTGGCGACGGTGTAGCAGTTGAGCGTGATCCAGCCGAAGGGCAGCATGGCGAGGAACTGCACGGCCATGAGCCAGTTGATGTTTGTGGGGGTGCAGAGGGCTGCGAGCCCGAAGAAGAGGGTTTGAATGAAGTCGGCGAAGGTCAGTTGATAATGCACGTATTTGATGTAGTGCACGAGGCCGGGGATGATGACGCCGCCTACGAGTTGGCCAAAGCTGAACTTGGTTAGAGTGTGACATGCCATTTTTTTTGGATCATATAGAGACTTACCCCGAAGGTAGGGAGTAAAGGCCAATCTTGACTGGATCAGCTGTGTGCAGATACAAAATCGTCTGGGCGTTCAAGGCCGAAGCAGCGAAGAAGACCATTCCGGCTACGAAGACGAGCACCATGAGCGACGAAAACTCGCGGAACATGCGGAACAGGTACCATGGGAACAGTGGATCCTTAGGCACAAGGAAATCGTATATGAAGGCGCTGAGGAAGACCACCAGTCCCAAGATCAAGGGCAGCAGGGTGCCGGCGGCGTCCCATGGGTACGAAGTTCCCCCAGAACTCAGGCCGTAAAGAAACACGACAAGGCCCGCAATGAAAAGGAATGCGCCCACGAAATCAAGCTCCTTGAGTTCCTGCCACTTGGTCTTCCCATCAGGGCGAGGGTGCGACGGCGGAAAGTAGACGAAGAAAGTCCCAATGAAGGAGAACGCGCCGAAGCCGATGGCCAGCCAGAACATGATGCGCCACGACGCGTTGGAGATCAGGGCATTGGCCAGGAGCGTGCTGGGCACCGCCCAGCTGGCGAGGTTGAACTCGGTCCATGCGAGGCCCACGCCGCGGTACTTGTTTGGCAAGATCTCAGAGAGACCTAGCACGGGTCCCACTGGTCAGTGAATGCGTGGCAAGAGTTGGCGGGGTGGAGGAGGTGAATCTACCTGCGTAGGCAACAGACACGGTGCCGATGGACGCGCCCAGGACGACCTCGCCCGCGATCAGCTGGTTCATCGAGTTGGCCGAGCCGGCGATGGCGCCGCCGATGACGGTCAGGAGCTGCCCGGATAGGATCACGTATCTGCGGCCGAAGATGTCGCTAAGTCGCCCTGCGATGGTAAAGCCGACGGCCGCGGCGGCGCCCCATCCCGACGGGATCCAGAAGCTGATGCTGGCACCCCCGATCTCTTCTCCGAGCTGCACGAGGATCGGGGTCACGGTGATGAAGCCGAAGATGATGGGGCCTGTGAAGGAGGTGCCGAGGAACAGAGCAGATAGGACGACAGAGAGCGTGAGCTTTTCCACGCGATCGGGGTTGTCTTCCAGAGCTGCCTTGTGCGGGTCGTCCCAGCCCGGAGGCAGCTTGGCGTTGTCGAGCGAGACCTCGGTGTCGACTGTGGTGTCCTTCATCGTTAGGGGCGACAAATATCGAAGTAGAAGATGGCGTGAGGCCCAAGAATTGTTCTCATAAAAAAAGGGTACATCAGATATAGGCAAGTCGAAATTAATAATAAGCCCTAGTACGCCCGGAATACCACCTCAGTGCTATACGGCATACCCCGCTCCCGAAGAAGTCGACCGTCGGTAATTAATCTAGGATATCCATCTTCTCCAAGATATCTGCATGTGGACTATGCCAAGATCCCGTCATAGACCCCTTCCCTCAACCACACCTTATTATTATTCTAACATACTCACAGACTCGCCACGGGATGCCATGGCGGCCCTCGACTCAGTGCCTTTAACCGGAGCTATCGCCTTGGACGTATCGTTGCTTCTAACGGCGCTCTATCCCATATGTGTTGTCATCTATCGCCTGTTCTTCTCGCCGTTGTCAAAGATTCCGGGTCCTTGGTTGACCCGGATTAGCAGCGTGCCAGAGGTCCAAGCCTTGAAGAAGCAGCGGCGCACGCAGTGGGTAAACAACCTCTTCGCGCAATATCCTGGTGCTGTTGCTGTTCGTACCGGCCCTAACTCGGTGTCTTTCAACCACCCCGATGCTATCAAAGCCATCTATGGTAATACCGCCCAATCTCATCCCATGCGAGAAGCTCGCAATATGGAGCTCTAGGCTAAATTCTAGGCTGGGGCCAAGACTTCAAGCTGACCGCTTGCACACACGCAGCAGCGCAATTATTGATGCGTACTGATGGGTTGTGTTATATCATACGTATCTGATAAGGATTGTATGCGCAGTCACGTTGAAAGATTTGCTCTGGTCTTGTATTAGCCACGGGTTCGATGGATATGCGCAATTTTGGAAGTCAGTCGGAAAGAACTAGGCTGACGATTGGGTGTAGGCCACGGAAAAGTCGGCGAAGGCTTTGGAAAGTCAAGCTGGTACGATGCCTTCTCAACGACGGGGGAGTCCCTCTTCTCCACACGCTCGAAAAAGCGACATGCCACAAAGCGGCGCATGGTAGCCCACGGCTTCAGCGCGCAGTCGCTCCAATCATTCGAGCCCATCATAGACGCCACACTGGCCAAGTTCATGTCCAGAATGGACCGCTTCGCCAGCACCCAGGAGCCCTTCGACATCTACTTCTGGTTCGAGCTCTTCACGATGGACCTGATGGGCGAGCTCGCGCTGGGCCACAACTTCGGCGTGCTCGACGCGGGGAAGCCCGCGCGCTACTCGGCGCTCGTGGAGCAGTCGCAGAGGTTTGCGAATCACAGCGGCCTGCTCCCGTTTGGGAAATGGAACGTCACGGTCCTCAGCTGGGTCCCGATCCCGAGCATCCAGGAGCTGTACCGGGCGCGGCTGGAGTACCTGGAGTATGCGAGACAGGCGCTGGAGAAGCGGTTCGTGGAGGACAGGCAACAAATCCTGCCGAGTGGGAAGGCGAGGCAGGATATCATGCAGCGCTTCATCGAGGCGCGGGATCCCGAGACGGGCAGGCAGATGGATTTCAATGAGCTCAGAGCCGAAACATCATCTCTCATGTGAGTTGCCAATTCCAATCACCATTACAAGATCACCCTGTGGCAGGCCAAGCTGACAACAGCAACCAGGGTCGCCGGCGCGAGCACCGGCTCCGTAACCATGAATTGGATGATATACTACCTGTGCAGAAACCCCTCCATCAAAGCTCGCCTCATCCAATCCCTGGAGTCCCTCTTCCCAGACAACCGCACCGGCACCGATCCCCTCCCCTTCACAACCCTCAACAGGCTTGCCCTCCTCGAACATGCCGCCATCGAGTGCCTCCGCCTGCACCCCCCTATCGGGTACTCCATGCCGCGCGACACGCCGCCCCAAGGCGCCGAGATCTGCGGCGTGTACGTGCCAGGCGGAGTCGCGGTGGGCGTCCCCGCCGCGACCATCGGCCGCAACACGTCCGTGTATCCCAGCCCCGACACGTGGGATCCGGACCAGTGGGCCGGGCGCGGGGAGGCGGACCTTGCGGCGATGAAGACGTGCTTCCTGGGGTTCGGGCATGGGAGCCGGCAGTGCATTGGGAGGAACGTGGCTATGAATTTTGTGGCCAAGATGGTGGGGCAGCTGTTGCTTCGGTATGAGGTTGAGCTTGAGGAGGAGGGGCTTGTGCTTGGGACGAAAGAGTTTACGATCTTGAAGCCGGATCGGAAGTACAGGGTTACCTTGAAGCGGAGGAGCGTGGAGTAGGTTGATGTTGGGCATGCACTCGGCTTGCCGTTGGCGAACATTACTATGGGCAAGTTTATTTGATCCTTACGGTCCCATTTTGGATTCTTTTGGTATCTGTATCGACACTGCCGAGGTGTCACACCCTTTCAGAGCCCAACGCATGTCAGAGCTGATAACATGTGAGGTTGAAAAATTTGTCAAAATTCATTGCAGATCACAAAAGACATCACGTTGATTCGGATGGATGGCTGAGCGCAAGCCTGGTGATGGAGGGTAGATCGTGACGAATTTCGTGTCAGTAACTGAACATTTAAGTGAGCTTTTGCATGATGTGTTCAATATTGTGGGAGCCGGGTGCTTATAGAAGTCCGAGACAACGAGTCGCATCAGGCACAACTGCTCCCGGGGACCTAATCTTTCACAAAGCCATAATATTAGCGACAGTGCCCGATGTTTCTGCTTGACCATGTCGGTCCGGGATTGAGGGCATCGCCGTGAGCTTGTCATCAATTGTGTCCTGCCAGACACAAACGCATCCAATGTCTAGATAGGCATTGACTTCAACACACAACCACTCCAGGACAAAAGGGTCCCACTTATACAGGGAAGAATCTCTTCTATTGTTGCACTCTAGCTAACCGTCAGGGATCTCGAGCTCTAAGCCCCCCATTAGTCCTCCGTCTCAGCAGCACAGTAGGGGCTACGAGCCCTAAGGCGATCACCATAGAACCACAAGATAACCACAACGCCGGTACCAATCACCACAAACCCGCAAGCCAGCGCGGTCGCGCCGAGGCCGAATCCCAGGGCGTTGAACATGTACGGAGCAAAGAGCGGGAACAGGGCGGAGGAGAGGCTGCGCGCCACGAGGTTCGTCGACACCGCCGACGCGGCGTACTGCGTGTAGGCGTCGATGGTGTACACGGAGACGCTGGTGGAGCACATGTAGATGCCGGCGGCGAAGACGAGGCTGCCGAGGTTGGGCACGACCCAGTGCACCCTCGCCTCGCCGGACCAGCCCCACCAGAGGAGGCCCACGGGGACGAGGGCCGTGCCGAGGGCCATGGTCGGGATGCGGTATTCGGGCCTGCCGACGCCGCCGCTGCGGGCCTTGAGGCGCGTGTAGACGCGGTCGCTGAGCCGGCCGGCGATGGTGACGCCGATGATGAGCCCGATGGCGAAGGAGATGTAGTTGAGGCTGCCGATGCCGACGCTCTGGCCGTACTGCCTTGTCCACATGGTCGGGTACATGAATAGGAACAGGAACATGGTGCCGTAGAGGATTGACATGTACCCGGCCAGGAGCTGGATGATGACCTGCGTGGTCAGCATGCGCAGCGGTCGCTGCAGGTTGACGCGCATGTCCATCAGGAACTTCTCCTTCCTGTCCTGTGCCTCCACCGTCCCGCCGCCGCCGCTCGTCTTTGACCGCTTGTCGGCGTCAAGCTGCTGGAGCTTCGGGAGGTACGTCTCACGCAGGAAGACGACTGCGAGGGCGATGGTGACGGCCGAGGCGATGGATATGATCCAGAAGACCCATCGCCAGTCGATGCCCTCCGAGATGAAGGCGCCGCAGATGGGTCCGATCGCAGGGCCCAGGAGCGGCGCCGCCATGAAGACTGCGAATGCCTTGCCCCTCTCCTCGGCCCTCCAGAGGTCGCCCATGACACCGCCGGCGAGGGCGTCCGCGACTGATGCCCCGAAGCCGGACAGCAGCCTGAATGCCAGCATCTGGCCCAGGGTCCGGGCTGCGCCGCATCCCGTGTTCCAGACGACGAACACGATGCTTCCGACAATGAGGACAGGCTTTCGTCCGTAGACCTCTGACAGTGGTGCTAGGACCAGAGGGGCCAGGCCGATGCCGATGAGGATCAGGGAGTTGACGAGCAGCCACTCGTACGCCTGGGTGATGTGGAGGGCCTTGGAAATGTTCTTCTCAACTGGGGAGAGCATGGTCTCAGACAGGGGCTGGAGGAAGGCAAAGGCCGACAGCAAGAGAGTCGCCGTCCATTTTCTTGCGGGCGCCCAGTTCTTGGGCTCCAATCGGGGGGACACGTCGTTGACCTGAGCGGTGTTTGGGGTCAAGGATGTGTAAGTGCGACGAAGAAGGAGATTGATTTCGGTGGATGTTTGCTACTCACTTGGATGCCAAGGTTGTTCTTCTCACGGTCTCCATTTCCCACTACGGCCTTCTCATTCTCCGAGAGATGGGCCAAGCTCTCGAGCTCGGACTGCGTTGCAAGCGGCTCCATCGTGACTGGTATGCCGTCGTGGGTGCTCGCGTGGCTGCGTTTCCAGGCCCGATGGCACAGGGACAGGCGTGTGATTTTTGCAAAAGGAGGCGCTGGAAGGAACGTTTTTCTGTCCCTTGCCAGTGTCGAGATTTGCTTTTGCTGGCTGCCAGGCGAAGGTCACGGGCCAACCTGCCAATTGTCAGCGTTGGTGCATGAATATTGTTGGCCAGCAGTGAAGGCCAACAGGAGGGCAGGGCAGGGCAGCACGAGCCCTGCAACAGTCACTATTGGAAGTCACTACGGTGTAACCGTTTTCTCGCCCGAACGGTTCGTAGGCCGGGCGGGATGGCACGGTTCCATCGCAGTCACGGCCGCGGGTCGTATCCGGTTAGGGGCCTGGAGGAAGACGCGGTACGACGTCGATCAAAAACGGTACTTTTGCCCATTTTAATCAAGTCATCAGGGCAGCAAGGGAGCATGTGCTTCTATCAAGTCGTACGTCTCATCGCATCGCGGCTGGTCCAGCTCTGCAGTCCAATCAAATTAGAAGGTGTCACCAACATTCCAAGACAACCTGCATGCCTGCATGCCCACCCTGCCCGTCAGCAACCGGTCTGCCATTCGCTCGGCATGTCAGGACGATTGGCGGGCTTCCGAAAACGCCCCACGTCATGCGAAGCCTTCACTTCCGGACACAGCCTAGTTGCCTAGGTACTTCAGTAGTCACTACCTAGCAGCCCTAGCCGCCAACCTACTGCCGGGCTGGCCTGGCCTCGCCTGGCACTGGCAGGCAGGCCGGCATGCAGGGTATTGGCAGTGGGGGCGACGGTGTAACACCAAGGTGAATGTGAAGTTGGCAGATTGGCAGGCAAGCCATCTACTAAGCCACCAGCCCATCACGTCGAACCCCTTCTTTTGGTCCAACGGCTGTTTCCATTGAGTAGTCCGAGGATGATGCGTTTCCGGCCCACACTTGGTTATAAGTTTCGTACCTTTGGTCACGTACGCCGAGTTCCCGAGCAGCCCTTTGGTGTCAGAACATCTACCAGCGAGCCCTACGAGCAGAGAGTGGATGGCCCTTGTGGCGGCGGCCCCAAGGTTCCTACGAGCCGCCAAGACGGGCGGTCGTGGCCCAGCCCGGCCCCCATTCCCAAGTTGACGAATGTGAGCGATGAATGTAAGCACTGAAAACCTTTACATGCGCCTACGAGTGCGGTCATTCTGCTATTGGCGTGATATCAACATGAATAAATCATTAGGAATCCCGTGACATCTCTCCATGCAAGATGAGAACCTGGAACCTAGGCTCCCTGGCCCGCGTCCACTTGGGCAGAGAAGATGAGGGTGCGGACCTCAATGCTCCGTCTGGGCTTGGGGTTCTCCACCGGCCACAGCTGTTTGATGCTTGAGTGAACGGCATCTGGTAGAGTCAGCACGATAAACATCATTATCTGCTTGGAGGACATCTGGACCCGCACATACATGGAGCTTCGATACCAGGCTTCGTATCAAAGTGCTTGAAAATCAACGCCTCGTCTGGGGTTTGCCGGTCCAGAAAGTACCATTTCTGATCCGGGTTGTATCGGACATAGTAATGCGAGCTGACGTTTCCTTGACGTATCGAGTCCGTCTCGATCAGGTCGTCACGGCTCACGGTGGTGCCATCGCACACTGCAAGGGCCCATTCATCGACCGGATTGGACAGTGGTTTCCATACACTGCGGCAACAATCAGCACCATGGACCACACGCAGAACATACCCGGAAAAGGAAAAAGAACAAAGATCGGCTTACTTCACAGCCCTCACACGCTGCCGCAAGATCTGGGCAGCTTCGTTCGGAAAGCTCTCCTGGATGCGCCGGACCACAGATATCGGACTCGTGTCCATGTGGGCGTAATTGCTGGGCAGAAGCGGCTGGAACTGATCACTAAAGTTGATCATGCTTCCCGCTTCGACCTGGTTTACGCTCTCTCTGATCTATAACACCAGTGTCAGATGTCTATTTTGCCGGGACTTTACACGAGGACTTGGTCTTACGTACCCGCCAGTCGAACAGAAATACCGTCCCGACGTCTTCCAGCTCAGTTTGCAGCATCTTTTTGACGGCTGGTATGTATTTCCCGATCACTGCCTCCCGGTCTGACAGCTCCGTGAAGGTCGGCATGCGGCGGATGGCGAACCCATGGGAATCAAGCCCGAACTCGTGAGCGTTATCGCGACAGTCTTGCACCTCGACCTGCTCTTCGTGCCAAGCCAGGTTGGTCTTGCGTTGGTCAGCTGAATCCTCGTGGATGTTGCCAAATATCTGGAAGGGCTTCTCCGACTCGTAGAGCGGGCTCCATTTCAGAAATTGGATTGAGGCTTTCTTCATGGCGATGAGTTGAGCCTGGGTATTCCTAAGCCAACGAAATTCCGAGAAAGAGATGACTGTCACTGAAGCTGTCCCTAAGGAAAGTTTTGCTGGTAGTGTTGCTACGCGGGCAACTACTTCCAGATGTCCGTTCCCAACCGAGCGTCTCCCTTGTCATACCCCGAAAATCAGGCTTCACGACACCTGGGCACACTTAGTCGGATTATGCCGCGATTCCCAATCAGGTGTTATAACGGCCAGTCCTTTGTGCTGTAACGCCCAGTACTTTGTGTTGCACATCGCACGACGCACGTTACATCGGCGGAAACAGCGCCCTTGGCTGCCTGGATTGTGTAACCCGTCAGCATGGAAGACAAGGTGGCTGTAGACTTATGATGGGATCGGACAGGACAGTGAGAAGAATGTCAACAAAAGTGGCGCGGGTGGGTTGAGTTGCGGTGGCAATCCGAGCTACAGTCGGTCTTGTCTCACCTGCCAAACAACTTGGCCCGTTTGGAAGCCAATGAGATATGCAGATCCGTCGACACGCATGCAAATCGCCTGCATCAAGCATGCCCGGTATTAGCTCGCTCTCGCTGGTTATCAGTCCCGCCAGGACGAGTCCGAGATACAGGAGGCGTTCGCTGATCGGAGCGGTGAGGATGGAGAGTGGTTCCGTTTCTAACTCCCATGCATATAAGACGTATGTGGAGCCTTCATACAGTGGTAAACGCTTGTGAGAAGGATAACTGCCATCGTTTCTTTTCAATTCTGTCAGAACCTCGGTTTCTTCAGCGCAATATCGCAAGCATGTCCAACTACTACGAGGAGCTGGCCCGGGCCATCGTTGAGCAGTCTGCTCACGACAAGCGCTCTCAGCCCTGGAAGTCTACCGTCAAGACCGGAGCGACTGCCGATGGCGAATGGTACCAGGTCGGAGACTCTGTAGACGTCCGCAAGAATGCCTTCCCAATGAACGACGTTCGCACAAACGCCTTCCCCACCGGCGACGAGGTCGATGTCCGGAAGCAAGCCTTCCCCATGGGTGGCGTAGATGTCCGCACGAATGCATTCCCCATGGGCGAGGTTGACGTTCGGACGAATGCCTTCCCCATGGGTGAGGTCGATGTTCGCACCAATGCTTTTCCCACAGGAGAATAAATCAGTTATCCACGTGGAATTGATGTACGTACTAAGCTGGATCTAAGGAGTTTGTGGGGTGTTAACATGGTATTTAGATGACTGCGCCAAGCGCCACGCGAGACGGCTCGGATTGGCCGTACCTGATGCGTGAAGCGGCGCCTACGATTAAGGGTGGCCAAAGCCGGGAGGAGATTGCCCCATTGATTTGACAATACGTCTCTCGCTTTTCTCGAAATTTTCCCAGCCAGATTTTAACAGTCATTATCACTCAATGAAACTCAGTTGCGGAAGTTCCTCAAGTCCTCGAAACGCGTAAAGTGTATGCTGTGCTCTGCAAGGATGACCCCTGTGCTGCAGATGTTGTGCCTGAGCACGACAGTCGCTCATACATTAATTTGGTAGCACACAGAGGGCACCACTTTGATCACTGTGTCCCCGCCAAGTCGCTTTCTTTTAGACGGTTATTGGTGATGTGACTCCAGAATGTAGATCTTCTCTTTGGGGTATTTATGGTATATACTACCTCTACCGTCCCTCTGGTTAGGTGTAGGTGACACGGCATCTTGAGCCTGCCTACTGCTTGATTGCCCACGTGACTATTTTGACAGCTGGCGGCCAAGATGAACCTTGCACGTTTAATAATCACGCCAAATCGTCTCGGTAAAATATAGGACAACTTGAAGTGCTGTCACAGAATGGGGGCGTCTCTCTGCCCTTCTCCAAGGCTGGGTCCATCATCTTTCCCTCTTACGACGAGGATCAGCTTGTCGGCTGGACTTTGGAGGCGAATTAAGCCCAGGTCAAATTTCACAGAGAAAAAGATAACCATTCCAGAATTATTTCAATGTAAACATGATGGACTTTCTTAGCCGATCAAACATTTGAATTCTTGTAGCAGCAGACGGGGCGCCACTGAAACGAAGCGAACTGAAAAGAGTCTCTTTTGACAGATATCACATTTGACAATTCCCCGCATAATTTTCTCTATAATTTGGCTCCTGGTGATATTCTTCCTGTTTCTGCAATCCTGGTTGAGGCAGGTTCCACTGGGGACACACCGAGTGGCGTAGAATTCCCAATCCATTTGGAACTGTTCCGCGGCACCCCATACATGAGGATATGAGGTATGAAGTAATAGTGCATCGGTACAAAAGCAGCATGAAGCAGACTCGATAGGAATAGCAAGGCCTCCAAGTCGTTGTATTAGACTTGGACTCCCGAAAGGGATTGCACGATGACGAAGTTCCTGGTTACTATTCCATTACATTCAATGACCATGTGTTGCCCACTTGTCACAACATCAACCGCCTTCAACATCAATGTTAGTGTGAACGAAGCGAGTCACTCTTTCAATTTTTTGAATATAAAGCTGCGCGGAATGTTACGAATTACGGATCTTTGTTGCTGTTCAACAGTAGAAGCGACAGCATAATTCACTCTATCTCTGCGAAGACCTGATTGACACGGCAGTGCCCCACCTAGAATTGACAGCAATCTCTAAGCTGTGCTGATACGAGCATTCACATACGAAGGTACAGTCGACAGGGCTACTAAATGCAGGTGGTTTTGTGAGAGACTGTTTGCTAACCAATATCTGCAAGTGGTCAAGAAGTTATCGATATCTTTGTCGCGATGTGCATGCGCGGCGACGATGAAGAGGCTGCTCGTGGGCCACCAGCGCGGCCTGTCGAACTCGCATCCCTTGCACCCAGATATGAAGGTATCCAGGAGCCTGCGACGCTACAAGAGCTGGGATACTACGGCGCTTGGCTTGGACAGCGGCCAGACCCCACCATCAGGGAAGACTTTGCCATTAATTTATATGCAATTGGACGTATCGGCACGGATGCTCGAGACGAACCTATTGCCATACTTGGCGCCAACGAGCTCCCAGGCTTGATGTATAGATGGTCCCACAATCCCACAATCCCACAGTGTGCAACTGCTCCTTCGAAGCACGAGCTGACTCCAAAATATTCCACAGAGTCGTAGATGAGATGGAGATGGCCAGAGATGACCGCGAAAGACACCACCGCCCACTTGCCGCTGCCGTCTTCCTGAGCTTCTGGTCAGACTACATGGGGCTGCCTGTTGAGAGCTTGAAAACGATATACTTCGAGGCCGCCACAGAGGATACCCTGATGGAGGAGAGGACTAAAGCATACAAGAGACTGCGACTGAATGACATGGAAAACTTGAGTCTTGGGCATCGCGAAAGAAACCCAAAAAAGCAGAAGTCGTTCGATGCTGTCTATCGCAAAACCGCGCTCGGTAGATGTTGCAGAACTATGGTGACGGACAACGACGCAATGCTAGACGCAAGAATCTACGTTTCTAAATTCCACTTCATGCCGAGAGAGCCAGCGGGCCGCTTTTTCGACTTTTCTGTTGAGTTCGGGCCACGCTGATCACAAGTGGCCCACCGTTCAGAATATGAAGAAGGGTACTAAAGCCCGCACTTGGGGAAAGGAGACGCAAGATGAGCGGATACAATGGTTTTTGTGGATTCAACATTTGAAGCTTGAGGGCCTCCAGGCAAAGAAACCATGTAGCATTACAAATTCGCGATGCTTTCAGAATGGAAAATCAGTCTTGGAATTCGTCATTGATATCCAGTAAAATTTCACCAATACATCTGGCAACCGCATCACTCCCACATTGACCACCCTACGTACGGAAATCAGTAGGCAGTTATCATGTAGTGCACAGCCTTGTTTTCCGCCCCCCTTCATGCACAGCACTGCCCGGAAGCTCAAACATGGAGTCCAGTAGGCCAAGCTTAGTCAGTGTCCAAACTGGAGCACCTCCAGGATGTCACAGGGTGTGACGAGCAGGGTGAGTAGTGAGGGGCTGCGTCTGCAGTGACTGGCCCCTTGAAACCATTGGGGTGCTCCGCCCGCCGGTACAGCGGCGATGCCTTGTGGTGGGCCAACACGGCGCGTGTTATCTCCCAACCCAGTATTCTACTTGGTCGACTGCAAGATGGGTAGTCACATAAACTTCTATAGTTTTACTTCTATTCTATATATATCTAAAGATATATATAATACTTTTATATAGTAATAAGTACTTAAATTTAATATTTTAAAAAAAATATAATATTAATAATAATAATTATAATATAATAAATATTTATAACTTTAACTTTATAATATATAAATAAAGTTAAAAAATATTCTTTTAATAATAATATTAATTAAAATATTATAAAGAAGTTATATAATAAAATTAAATTTAAAAATAATTATTATATAAATAAATTATATTAAAAGAAGTTTAATTAAAAATTATTTTATATATATATATATATATATATATATTAATAAAACTGTTATTAAATAAGTTAATATTATAATCTTTATTTCAATATATAATTATTTATTTTAAAAAGTTAAAATAAAGAAGTAATTTATAATTTATTTTTTAAAACTTTTATAATAAAGTATTAGAACTTTTAAAAAGAGTTTTAAAAGTAATATATAAAAAAATAAAGGAAAGATATAATAAATTTATTTTCTTTTAAGTTTATATTTTTATTATTAATAATTATTTACTTTTTAATAATATAGAAAATTATAAAAAAAAGGATTTAAAGTGTCTTTATAAAAGGATTATAAGGATATATATAAAGCTATTAAAGACTCTATATATAAGCTTTAGATTAGTGAAGAAATGAGAAGTTATATAGTGTAAAGGAAAAAATATAGTATAGCCCAAGCCTATAAACTTCTAGTAAGAGTGGGTCTCCATCTGCGATGCTGAGCGATGCCATGTCCACCGCCGGGGAAAATACCTCTGATTGTAGTCTACCGAAACATCTCGAGAGGGGGGGGGAGCCAGATCGCTTGGTTCAAATCTTGACGGTCCTCTTATGTGACAGCCAAAGCAGATACTGGGGTTGAGATCGAATTCCGAACCCTCGAGATCCAGGATCGACTCAACTGCCTTGGCCAACCCCTGATCCGTAGGCCACCTTCCACCGCAGTCGGGACAGTGACAACGATGAAGCGGTCAGGCCTGGTTGCCCAAGTGCCCAAGCAACATGCCTACTTCAGTAGGTAGACTGTACTTATCCTCACAGAGGCTGGCCTTCTGGATCACTTGGGCTCTCGGTATTGGGTAAACCCAGCCAGTGTCGATGATAGGAATCAATACTATTGCATCCCCACTAGACAAGGCCACTTCGGTAAGTGCAGGACTGGCCGTCTTGCACAAGGACGTCCTTGTGCTCCCTCCTGCGAACGACACGTCCCCGGCAGTGGGTGGCAGGGACGGATACTGATGAATCAACGAGTGACATATGCACGTGCCCTGGTGCTCTTCAACGGCCCCGGAGCTCTTGGGATTTGAGCAAAACTCACTTTTAGCTTCTGATCATGCTGCTTAAGTTGCTGCCTGGACGGATACCTAGGTATGCATCTTGTGCATGCTGTGCCCCGGAGTTATACACAGACGCAGGTCGCAGGAGAGCGTCCCCTTGCAAAGATTGCCACATGCTGGCTAGGATTGCATAGCATGATCGCTTCGCCCTCGGACTGTCTCGGGCGATCCAGACCACGGGCTCGTTTCTGCGCCGCCGTGCTGGGTGCAGAGTATTTTGCCTCGGCTTGGGTTCCATATGAGGATGGCCAAGACGGTTCAGCTAACAGGATTCCCCTACGCCATTCCAGATCAAGCCCGCAACGGCTCGGACCGTTACACCACATATGCCGACGCCCAAGGGAGCCAGCCGCTCTGCGTCTGCTATTTTATATGCGAGGCCAAAGTACGTTTCCTGTGCCTGCCTATTCGCTCTCGTATCCGAGCCTATCGATGCGCCCGCTTGCCAAAGGCGGGTGTTCTCAAGGGAGCTATGAAGGCACATGTGCATCCCGTATGCAGGCCCAGACCATACTACCAAATGCCGCTAATTTCCCTCTTGGGTCTGTCTTCACGGGCCCGACTCGTGGATCGACTGAGACCTGCCGCATGCCCGGCAGCGCGCTGGCTAATAGTGGACCAGCATCAAAGACCTGGATGCATCGATGCGAGCTCTCGGGTGGGCAGCTGCTTCTGTTGCCAGTATGTCACCCACCTGCGCCATCCAGACGTGGCAGTCCTTCTCACGTGCGGCACATCCTCTCAAGTGCTGCCTGAGCCTCAAGCTGAACTCTCTGCCAGGAAGCGCATAAGACATATAGAAAGAACAAATCATTCCCCACCCTCCTAAATGTCAGCCTGTCATCCCGCGGGTGGCTTCTTCCCAAATTGCCATGATCCGGAATCTTTTCTGCATTAGCTCCCGAAGCCTAGCTAAACATCGTGGTCATGGAGCCCCGGTCTGAGATTCCCGGAGACAAGAGCCGGGTGAGCCTGGTCATCGTCTGGTTCCTGTTTCTCGCCGCGGTCCTCAGTGTCTGCGCCCGCTTGGGCACCAAGTATGGCATGGCCAGGAGGCTTGCTGCGGACGATGTCCTCATCATCATTGCTCAGGTGCGTTCACATCTCGTGTTTACGTCGCAGTGGTTTAGGTATCTGACTTGAAACCCCTCCAGGCCACATCTCTTGCTCAATGCATAGCCATATCCTTCGGCGCGAAATCAGGCCTCGGCGCTTCTATGAATGACCTGTCCTCGGGGCAAGTCGACGAGGTCTTGAAAGTACGGCTCCTTCTGGACATTCACATGGAACACCCTTCCACGTTTTGACCAGGCTGCTGACAGAGACTTATCCTAGGCCGAATATGCTAGCACGCCATTCCTCCTTCTGACGTTGGCCTTGGTCAAATGGTCGATTTGCGTCTTCATCAACCAGCTGAGCCCGAACGCTATCCACCGCCACGTAGACTTGGCCTTCCGCTTGACCATAGGGCTGTGGCTGGTTTCTGCGACGGTGATCTCTGTCTTCCAGTGCGGGCTGCCAAAGCCCTGGGATTACATCCACCGCAACAGCTGTACCGATCGGGTAAGTGTTAACTAGCAAATTCTGCGGGGCGTTGCTGATGTCGAGTAGCGATCTTGGTGTACCTATGCTAGTGTATTAAACATGATCACTGAGCTTGGCTTCGTTTTTCTCTACGTGTGGATCATCGGAAGGCTCCACATATCGGTCTTGAAACGAACTACTGTTCTTCTGGTATTCTTAACCAGGCTGTTGTAGGTTCCTCCTCAATACCAACTCTTGCTCCAAATACTCATCTGTTCTTATTCTAGTGTCATCGGCGCCGCAGCCGCTCAGCTTGCCATATTCTGGATAGCATATTCCAACCCGGATATCACAGCGGGCTTGTGGCTACCGACAGTGTGCAATCAGGTTGTAGTACTCCTCAGTGTGCTGACAGCCTGTCTGCCTTATCTCAGGCCCTTGATGGAGAGCCTGGAATCAGGGATCGTGCATGTGCCGGACGAGGTGGAAGAACTGAGATCCTTTGCCAGAGCAGGGTCCAGATCAACTTGGCCTTCAACGCCATCATAGCATGCACCATAGTCTTGCAGAGGCGGTGTGAAGATAAACATAATTTTACTGTTATTTTTATTTATTCAAATTGCCGCCTGTGGTCAACTTCGTTCCCTCGTCCATCTTGAGCAGCATGTGAAATCATCTTGGGCCCATCACAGGAGCGGCTGATGACAGGGACATACATGAGGAACTTTTGTCAGCACATGAGTATCGGATGATTTGGACAATAGTACAGCATGCTAGATAAGCATGGCCGGCGGGTAAAGGATCATTTATCTGCGGGATGAGACATTCATATGCAGCTAGTAATCGTATGGTCTGGCTACCTGGCTGCCCACGCCGCCGATCCAAACCGCTGCAGCTCCCCCTGCTCCCCTGTGCCGTGTCACAACATGACGCCCGATATGTTGCTGACAGCGCCAATAGAATCTCCCACTGGGGAACGCTAAGAACCCCGGGCCAAATGAAACCCCTCCAGCAGCCGACAGGGAGGTCAGCTTCAGCCAGTTCAGGAAAATGGCCACCCCAGGTCGTCCTGCAGGTGACTTCGCACAAGAACCAAATTTTCGGGCGTGCAGTTTCGCGCGAGGGACTCCTCCTACCGTGAAATTTTGCGCCACAAAGCATGGCCTGACCGTGTCTTCATTTGCGGTCAATTACTGCGACTCAGTTCGCGACGAATATTAAGTGGGATCACTCCGCACTGGCAGGCAGTCTGAATAGGTTGCATTCGTTCCGCCCGTCACTGTCGTATTTTCCACGGAATTCCGCCTTCGAGAGACCATGACCTCCGATAAGATGACGAAAACAGAGGAGGTGGGTGCCTTCGGGTCCGCGGTCCACAGATCCGCCTCTGGCGACGACGCCGCGCTGGTACGGCTTGGAAAGAAGCCTGTCTTGAAGCGCAACTTTGGCTTCATGACGATTCTTGGGTTCAGCTGTACGGTCCTGATCACGTGGGAAGGATCTCTGGTGTTCGTATCTCTGCCCGGATGTCAAGGTGATTCCACGTGTGGCTAACACGCCCCGTTTAGCACATTTTTGCAAGGACTACAGAAGTAACAATCCCCAGCTTGATCTCCTTCCAGTGACCCAAGCACCATCTCGGCCAGCTGACCTTGAACAGCGGCGGGCCATCAGGCATCATCTACGGCTTCATCGTCGTGTGGGCGGGCACCCTCTCCGTGTTTGCAACGCTCTCCGAACTGGTGTCCATGGCGCCCACCTCTGGTGGCCAATACCACTGGGTTTCGATGCTCGCGCCGCCTGGGGCGCGCAAGTTCCTCGGATACCTCACCGGCTGGCTTGCCCTGACGGGCTGGCAGGCCCTGGTGGCGTCTGGCGGCTTTTTGACGGGCACGATGATCCAGGGTCTGATCCTGCTCACGCACCCCGGCTACGCCGGCGTGATGCAGAACTGGCATGGGACGCTGCTTTTCTGGGCCGTCATCCTTTTTGGATACTCCGTCAACAGCGCCATCGGGAAGCTGCTCGCCAAGTTCGAGGGCCTCGTACTGGTCGTGCATCTCCTCGGGTTCCTGGGTATTCTGCTACCCTTGGCTTTGCTGAGTGAGCATGGGGACTCGGCGGCCGTTTTCAACAATTTCTACAACCTTGGGGACTGGCAGACACAAGGCCTCTCTTTTTGCATTGGAATCCTTGGCAATGTATTTGCGTTTCTAGGGGCCGATGGGGCCATTCATGTGAGTCTCTGGTTCACAACAGCGGCGGTCTCTTTACTAAACTCATGTCCAGATGGCGGAGGAGATCCGCAACGCGCCGCTCGTCATACCTCGATCTCTCCTGGCAGGCCTGATGATTAACGGGACGCTGGGCTTCGCCATGCTCATCGTGACCTTGTACTGCGTGGCAGCGTCAGACATCGAGGCCGCGCTCATGGAGAATCCAGCCTACCCCTTCATGGCCATCTTCCGCAACGCCGTCGGGTCTACAGCAGGCGCAGCAGTCATGTCTTCTGTCGTGGTGGCCATGGCATTCAGCGCCACGACAGGCTGCATCGCCTCCACCTCGCGGTTGTACTGGGCCTTTGCGCGCGACCGCGGCCTCCCCGGATCAAAGTTCCTGGCGAGGACGAGTCGACGAACGAGCATTCCTCTGTACTCTGTGCTCACCACCGCTATTGTTGCTATAATCCTTTCACTGGTCAACATAGGCGACGCAACCGCTTTTAATGGCGTCATATCCATCTCCATCGCCGGGCTGTTCGGGTCCTACCTAGTGGCCGCCGGACTGTTACTATATCGTCGGGTGCGCGGGCAGATTCGAGATCCTAGTCCGGACGACCTCCACGTCAACACCATCGACTCCACTTTGGCTTGGGGGCCTTGGCGCCTCCCCGGGTTGTTTGGGATTGTCAACAACGCCTTCTCCTGTTCATATCTTCTATTCGTTTTCTTCTTCTCGTTCTGGCCAGCAACTAGGGAAGTCACGCCGCAGACTATGAATTGGGCGGTCCTAGTCTTTGTTGCGGTAATTAGCTTCAGCGTGCTGTATTATGTGACTTGGGCGAGAAGGGTCTACTCGGGGCCGATCGTGGAAGTTTGATATACTTTATTGTCATCAGAGAGGAACTGGGGTCACGGAGGTTGATAGATATTCTTATCACCAAAGCAAAAGTTGTGCGAAAATGAGTCCTTGTATTGTTGGTATCTCCTCTAAGTTCCTCAGCAGCTAACCAGCAGCAGCAGTAGGTTGCAGATGGTCGTGACTGCCCATAATGTGTCTGGGTCATTGAGCCTTGACAGAGTGGCCTGTTGCAGGACCCCACTGTTGACATGACCGGGCACCCGTCCGACGAGAGTCTAATTCTTCGTAGTGTGCCCCAAATAATCACAAGGTAAAGAGAACCATTCTCCGCCACACCACATTGCGAATACCTGCTCTATGTAAATGAGCCCCGTCGCTTCCTGGAAGAACCAGCACCATCGGAACTGGCTCTTCGGCCGCTGAAAGTACCCCTCCTGCGGGCCTTCGCGTCCTTGTTGTCGGGCTGATCCTCCTTCTTCTGCCCCGGGCCGGTCAAGGCTTCATCTCGACGTCTTGCCCAAACCTCCGCAGCAGTGAGTATCACCTCTGGAAACACGAGTTCCTCGGGCTCTGGGCATCTCTTTTGCCTCTCGATAAACTGGAACATTTGCACGTGGTGAAGCTTGAAATCGTTCGCTTTCCCCGTCGGCAAGAGCTCCTCAACCTCGGTCACTGTGTCCTTCACGGCCTGGCGTAGCTCGTCTCGAATAATCCGAGCATCCATTGCACGCGGCCCGTTACCCAAGCAGATCGCGAGCTTCTGAACCGACTTGAGCATCGATTCAACCTCTTTAGCAACGTCCATGCCGTGATGCGGATCCCAGTGGCACACGAAGTGCCTGAGGGGCACCACTTCTCGAAGCAGCAGTAACTCGAACGCTTTGTATGCGTCATTGTCGTGCCACGTGAAGAAAGATTTGGCGTGATTGGTACCCATCTGGGCGGTCAGCTGACCGAATTCCAGCTTCACTTGTTGCCATCCTCCGGGCCAGACTCTGTCGCGGAAGCGTGTGTCGTGCTTGTCTGCGTGTTCCCAGACGACTTTCTGGGCGGTCTCTTTGCCGCGGACGGCCATGCGGTACAGGCGCAGGTCTTCCACCCAAACCTTTCGAAGATCGGACCGGACCCAGTCGTCGTCTTCGAGTCGCGTCGCAGGCACAAGGGCGTGCTGGTCGATGATGTACTTGAGCCTCTCGGGATCCATCGTGTGGGGCTGCTTCCAACTCCGGTCGCGTAGCCAGAACGTGGTCGTGGGCGGCAGCTTCAAGCTTCGCCACTTTGGCTCCTCGACGGGTTCGTCGGGTTCCCACAGGGTGCCTTCGTCGTCTCCCCAAGGGTTGTCACCTGTGGTCTTGGCCCATTCAGGATCGGTTGTATCATTTTCCCACGGGCAGTTCTCTTCTGTTTCGCCATTCCCACTCACGGTGGCCGAAAGCTGCTCCCATCCCGTACCGGTGGATGTAGACTTGAACGTGTTTGTAAGACCTCCTGATAGCTTTAAGAGCTTTATACGTAGGCGGTCGACCCGCGCAGCTACCGACGACCACTTCTTCTTCAAAGTCTTTCTGGGTTGTTTATATTTGTTTTGCGTGTCGCGGCCGACGAGGTCGACTAGCGACTGTGTACTGGGCTCTTGTTCGATGATGCAGGCGGAATCGCGGGCCCAAGTATGGGTAGGTGGTGACGGCGGCGTGATATTCGCGCCGTCGGGGAGTGGCGTCGAGGCGTCCGCGACTCTGTGTGCCGGGGAAATGGTCTCTTCAAGTTGTTGTCGGGCGGCCTCTTGTCTCAGCGAGGCGTTCTCTTGAGTCAACCTGGCGATTTCCTCGTCTTTCTCCGCCAGGAGTAGCTGCATGTGCGTAGCGGGATCCATGTCGGATGATGTAGTAGGAAGAAGACGATGTATAGGATATAAATAATCCTTTAGGAAAAGTTTAGATAGTATCCGTGATTATGGCGGGTTGTAGGATGGTGGATGGGAGTTTGTGGATGCGCGGTTGTGGATGTGGGTTGGAGTCCAAAGGTGTGCCCGTTATGGCACATAGCCTTGGGACCGGTGGGTATAGAATTCGAGTTCGATTTCGAGTTCGACTTCGAGTTCGAGTTGTTCTGGTATCCGGGTTCGGCTTTGGAAAGGAACTCTCTTCTCGATCGTTCATGAGGGACTGTGTGGTTCAGTGGTAGGAAAAGTCGAAGTGCATGTGGCCTTGGATGGGGAGCAGCCGCCAATAAATATCACTTTTTGTCCTTTTCTTCCAATTTTTGGCAAGAGTGATTCGGACTTTTTGTTCTTTTCTTCCAATTTATGGCAAGAGTGATCCGGCTAGTACTCTAGGGGCCGCCCTAGACACGCACTACGATGCTAGCATGGATTAAATGTCTGGAGGCTGGTTGCGACGGCCTTCACATGCGCATGCTATGTCAGGCGAATGTGCACCCGTGCACGTAGAAGAACCCTATCGACGGCGACGGGTTCACCTTCGCTAACAAACGCCAGTCTGGCGACAAAGGTGACTCCCGTGGTTGACAGATGGCCTCTTCAGGAATCCTTTACAAGGTATAGTGAAGTCCTAGTAGCGTTCCTACGAAGTGCCCGGCAAAGCTGAGCGGAACCCCTTCCAATTATGGCTCTCCGGAACAGTCTCAGCTGCTGTGGCCTGCCGGGAGTGCTAAGGGAAGGAGAGCAGTCTTAGACTGTCTTTGTAATAGTTGATTTTGGGAGAGCTCCCAAGTCCTGAGGTCATATAGCCAACCATGCGTGTTCCGGAATAGTGCTTGAAAGCGTCGAACTAGTTCAATGAAAAATGGTTATCGCGTGCAATTATTTCAACCTTGATGGAATTTAAACAGGTATGGCCGACGCGAAGATGTATGTAGTGTGTAGTAAGAGCATCTGGGAGGGAGACTAGTTCATAGGAGACTCAAAAAAACACTGCTAAAAGCTTTGTAGAGTGTTTCTGGTCAAACTAATGTTTACCATAGCAGGGAAAACGATGGAAAGGTGGAGATAGCCCCTCAAAATTGCCATTTTAGAGTGAGTCGATGCGGTTGGGGAAAGTCTCTGACACCATATCTTGATCCCCATCGAGGTTGAAGAAGGCCTCGTGGAGGAGACGGACGATGGCCAGTCGTCCCTCGTCGGTGTGTGGGTATCCCATTGACTTGTCTTCCTCCGACTTGTTCTCGTACTGGTGTGTTGTTGTTAAGTCGCTAATCACAGAAGCTAAATGATGAAACCGTCCATTGCAAAACCTCTCTATCCCCTGGACGTCACCGAGTGATGGCATAGACGCACTTCCGTACTTTTAATAGTAACAGGTGATTCGTCGGGCATGGCGAAAATAGAAATCTCGGGTGTTAATAATGAAAACTCAGCTATGGGAGCTTCGAGACTTTGCCACAAGTCTGTGAAGTGCTCTGCAGTAATACTTCTACCATGAAACTGAAATTATAACTATGAATTCTGGAAGCAAGCTTGGAGATTTTTGTGAGGCTCGTGGCATGTGGTGCTGTTCTTTTTATGGTAGTCGGCTGTGGGCTTCCTTACTGGGATGATGAGAGGTTCTGTGTATGCTTGCATGTTTGGTCGTCAGCCGTCAATCATGTATGAGTAATCTGCTGAAGAATCCGGCAATCAGAGCTGTACGGAGGAGTCAATAAATCGGAGGCCAACATTCCCTAGGGTTGCTAATCAGCTTGAGAGGCATATGGGCTTAGGCGGAAAACGACATCCGGCGTAAAGTCCGGTCATTGCCCTAGGTAGATAGGTACCGGAAAGCATATTTAGGGCAAAAATGGGGCACGATATTTGGTCAAATTGGTTTGATGGCAATTAGCGCGGATCAGTCGTAGTGGGTATTTGTCGGTATTTGTGGCCGCCTGAAGCAAAAGAATGGTGATTGGACTTCAACCAAACCAGTCTTGGTTAAAAAGACAGGGGTGCTGGTTGGTTCGGCAGAACCCTAAGCATGGGCGACACAGCGAACCTTGGAAGACTGCATCACAACGTAAGCTCTATTCTCAGCCTTGATCTTCCTAGGCATAAACCAGGCATCTCGTCTACTGCGTGACTAGGCGATGTACAGCAAAGCTACTACTGCTATCTGAGTCAAGCGAAGTGATGGCCCCCCCTGTTTTATTCGTCGTGCACGTGCCGGCGGGTTTTGGCTGCAGTTGCTGCTATTTTTTTTCTAAGGGTGGTCTTTCTAGCGAAATGGTTAAAAGGACCCTGCCTGGGTAATTAAACAGACACATTCGGTATTTACACGGATCCTCCACCATATTGTAGTGTGTTTTTGCAGCGTGTTTTTGCAGCGAAAAAAAGGTGGCACGTGCACGACCAATAAAACGGGGGGTCACTTCGCTTGACACAGACAGTGGATTGATCCATTCAGTGTGGGTGGGACCTTGTTTGCATAACTGTTCGCTAACACACTGCCACAGCCGCGTCGCCCCCATCCTTCCCATACTCCGGGAGGAATGTCCACGGTCACGGAGACTCGACCAAGACCCAAGCCTCAAACTTTTTGGCAAATTGTAAATGAGACAACCATTGGGGAACATAACGCAGATAACAGATGTGCACATTTCTTTCCCATAAACACCTCAGCTGCTGCTAGCCCAATGTCAGTCGCATGGAGAACAAGGTCTGGCCCCACGCAGGGCGCGCGGAGCTCGTAGGTCTATTCAGATGAGCAGAAAATTTGAAGGGCAGGACTTTACGTGCTTAAATGAGTAAGCTTTTATGAATTTATAAATCTTGAAATCTAATCCACACGGGGGCTACCATTCGGGCCTTTGACCAATGCTCGTGCCCATTTATCAGCGCCCATCACCGGAACTCCCGCTGAGCGATGCAGTCCACGTACTAGTACAGAAAGAATACAAAGTGAGCAGTAAAGACTGGCAAGAATGTTAACCCAGCCTCATCCAAGCTGCAATATCAAGAAGCCTCTATGCGCAGCTCTCAAGAATCCCTCGCCATCATACCTGCTTCTCAGCAGGCAAGCTGAAGATATCTGTGCTGGTGGTGCTGATAGTGTTTATGCTCTCTCTTTTCGCATCTCTTGTGCCCGCAATAGGCAGGTTTACCCGCCGACCCTGGAACCTGCTAGCCGGCCAGCCCTGCATCGTCCAGCCCTTCTCAACCACGTCGCCGCCCATGACAAGGGTGTGCTCCAGCAGTGCCGAGTCGTCCCGCATGTTGGCGCCGCTGAGAAGCCTCGAGCCGGACCGCAGCACACACCGCTCACCAATCTCCAGCCTGTTGAGGTCGAACTTGCCCCTGGTGTTGATGTGCGCCACCACGCTGGCGTCATCGACGACGGTGCGGTCGCCGATGGTGATGAGGTCGGGCTCCGTGAACATCAGGCTGGGCCTGCCGTTCGCGAACAGGGCGCAGTCGTCGCCGATGGTGCCGCCGAGCGCGCGGAAGTACATGACCAGCCAGTGCGTGCCCGTGAGCATGCCCAGGATGCCGTGGCCGCGGAAGCAGTGCCGCCGCAGCTTCTCGACGGTCAGGTAGAGCTGCCAGCTCTGGCAGTACGGCGACTTGTCCCAGTCGTAGTTGCCCGGCATCCTGCGGCCGAGGAGGGCCCACTTTGCGCCGATGACGATGGCGGTGGCCAGGGCCGTCTGGGCCGTGGTCAGGATGGCGATGAAGATGAAGAAGAGCGCGAACATGATGGGCGCGTCGAACCAGCGCTCGAGGCCGAGGAGGTGGTGCTGGTCGTGGAAGATGCGGGCGACGATCTGGATGGAGGAGATGGAGGGGATGTTCCAGTAGAGGGCGGTCAGGATGGTGGTCATGGTGCTGTACATGACGATCGTCCCCATCCCGTAGACCTTGTATGGGGCCTGCTTGAGGTAGAACGCGCGGCCGAATGGGGAGGCGTCTTGCGGGTCGAGGCCGCTGACGTTGTTTCTGGATGAAGTAACTTCGACGCGGTGCTTCTCCTTCAGGCTGCCATCTGACGAGAAGCTGTTCAGTGAGTCCAGGCCCCGGCTCCCCTTGCGAGATACAGCAGGGGTTGTGCCGGTGCTGAGACATACCGCGTCATTCTTCTTGGAGCCGACGTAGGTACTGCCATTGGAGTAGTATCCGTTTCTCCTCGTCAGCGCACCAGAACCCATCGTTGTTTTCTCGCCGACGACCACGCCCGGCAGCAGGGTGACGCGATCAGCGATCATGGCGCGGTCCTCGATCTTGATGGGCTCGGAACCGATTCCGTCGGATGTGACCAGGTTGGCGCGGGATCCAAAGACGACGTCGTTGCCAATGTTCAGCAGATGGTAATCGCCGATGGATGGTCCCGTGCCAGGCCAGTAGACACGGCGTCCGACCCGCGCACCGAGCATGCGCAGGGCAATAGAGGTGTACTCGTAGTGCTGCCCGGTAAGCTCCGTCATCTCGTGAAGCCTCTTGACACCGTACAGGCTCTTGATGATACTCGTCCTCCATTTCTGCAGCTCGCTCCTGGCTTTGACAGGGCCAGGCTCCAAGATGCCAAAACACGAGTCGAGCACCCACTTGACGACGAGGGTGAACCCGAAGAGCATAAAAGGACTGATACTGATTCGAAGTACGAGCGCGAGGTAGTGGAAACCAACTCTGTGCGTAGCAGCAAACCACATAAGAATGCTGTACAGCGGGTTGTTGGTGTTCACCGGCTCGGAGATGACGAGGCCAATCAGCCCGGCGTACCACGGCATCAGGCTGAAGATCCAGGCCACCATGACGAGCGGCCTTGTGACGAGCCACTCGAGCACCCAGTGGACACCCGGGATCTTGCTAACAAGAAGATCGCGGTTGGCCTCGTCCGCGTCCTCGACCTCCCAGCTGGAGCTGTTGGGCCCGATGCACGCGTCGTCCGGGACACAAGTGCCGGGCGCCACGATGGACTTGAGCCCGACGCTGGCATTCCGGCCAATGTGGATCGCGCCCAGGTACATGGTGGTGTTCCTCTCGCCGGCGAACGGCCTGACGGTGCAGTTCTCGAGCACCGCGCCGTCGCCGATGTGGATGAGGTCCCACTCGCCCGTCTGGACGCCCTTGAGCGTGACGTTGCTGCCGATCTTGGCGCCCATCATCCGCAGGTACAGGTTGTTGGTGTAGTTGGTCTGGGCGAAGAGGCCGTGCCCGCAGATGTCGACGATCTTCTGGACGAGCCACCACCGCGTGTGGTACGAGCCCCACATCGGGTATGTGCCCTCTTTGTAGCGGCCGACGATGAGCCACTTGGCGGCTATGCCGAACCACGGCGCGATGGCTTTTGTTGCGAGGCGGGCGACGAGGATCGCGAGGGTCAGGTTGAAGAGGCGGCCTGGGACGTACTGCGTCGTCCGCCACTGTTGCGTTGCTGCTAGAAACACCATGAAGATGGTCCACTGGCCCGCGCGGCGGATGGGATAGAAGACCATCATGGGGAGGAGCTGCAGTGCCATGAGGCCAGGTCGCTTGGATGAGAATGTCTCTGTGCAGCCTTCTGGGATGAAATCCTCCTCCTTCTTCGAGCTCTGTGTTGATGCGTCCCAGTTGTCAGGCAGCCTCTGGCGGATGTCGCCTGACATGGAGTCTGGTGTGCTGTTCTGAAAGATTGCATCAATAGGAATATGGACGTTGAACTCAGCTCGAAGCACGGAGAGAAGGCGGCCTGCCTTGAGGGAGTCACCGCCGAGATCGAAGAAGTCTCCATCTGAAGGTATATCTCTAGCAGTCATCCCCAGAACCGATGCAAACGCCTTGGTGACTGCGCCGAGTATCGAGTATTCTCCATTGGCATCAGCGGATGCTTCAAGCTGATCAAGGCGCTCCTGTAGCGCATCATCGTCGATCTTGCCATCGGCATCCTCCGGCAGGGGGGTTGGCAACGTTTGGATTTTCTGAGGAATCATGTAGCCTGCGACGTTTGCAGAGAGCCTGTCCCTCAAGTAACCAGGCAGGCTGCCGTGCAATGGTTCACTGTCTGGCGCCGACGGAGCAAGAACCACCTGCAGCGATCGATCCTCGGGCACGGCTCGCAGACAAAAAGAAGTTCCATCTGGGAGTATACACGTGATTTCTTTGAACAAGCGCTCAAGGTCAACGGGGCAAGGCGAGCACTTGATCGGCGTGGACAGCTCTGTGTCAGGCGGAGGACACACACCGTCCCAGTGCCTATCCAGGTATGCCCAACCATCCGTCATGTTCGGCAGCGACAGGCGCTCGGCGAGCTTTATGCGCATGACCTTGTTGTTACGCTTCGGGAGATCGTCCATGTAGACGATCACGGTGGGCCACTTGACCGACTGCAGGCTTGACTTGAGCGAGCTGTGGAGTTGCTTAAGATCGACGCGAGGCGCGTTTTCGGGCGTCACGAGGACGACTCCGACCACTTCCTGCAGCACATCGTGTGGGACGGAAAAGGCGAGCGCGGCATTGACGCGGCCGTGCAGTGGGGAGTCAGACTTGAGCGAGGCTGCGACAATAGCGTTCTCTACCTCGAAGGGGGAGATCAGTTCGCCGCCGCGGTTGATGACCTCCTTGCTGCGGCCAGTGATATACAAGTATCCGTCATCGTCCATGTAGCCCAGGTCGCCCGTGTCGAACCAGCCATCCTCGCTGAGGGCTGAGGTGTCGACCGTCCCATCAGGCTGGAGGTAGCCCGGGAACAGCGGAGCACCACGAACACAGATACGGCCGATCTTCCCCGAAGGCACGGCCATGAAGTCCTGATCAAGAATCTTCATCTCCGGCCCGCAGGTGACACCCGACGTGCCGGGGCGGTCGAGCTTGTACCCAACGGGCGGCGTCGAGATGGGCATGCACTCGGTCATGCCGTAGCTCGGCAGGACGACGCAGTCGAAGGTATCGCGGATCTGGGTCGCCAGGGACGGAAGCAGGCCGCCGGCAGCGTTGCAGACGAGCCGGATCTCAGCATTGGCCAGGGCCTGGGGCCGCTGGGACGACTCGGCGAGGATCAGGGAGTGCATCGACGGCGAGGCATAATACCACGTGGGCAGCCCCGTCTCGACAACATCCCAAAAGGAGTTTGGGTCGAAGGCTGGGCAGCAGACTGTTGAGCCGCCTGAGAAGACTGGTGCGAATATGTTGCGGATGAGCCCGCCGCTATCGAAGGTCAGCATTCGAAGGGCGGGGCAGAATGGAAAGGGGGCTGCAAACTTACACATGATACAGAGGCATCATGTTCAGACAGACATCATCTTCCGTCAGTGCCCAAGACTCGATGACAAAGGCAACACCGGCGACGATAGAGTGGGCTGTTATCGGGACGACCTTCTTCTTGCCCGATGTTCCACTGGTAAACAAAATCAGAGCAATGTCATCAGGTCCATTCGGGGCTGCAGACTGTTCAGCCGCAACAGTTGTTCCGTCAGGAGCCGTGATGGAGATTTTCATGTCTTCGTCCAGGTCGACCAGCAGCACCAGGATGCCATTATCTGCGACCCATCCTCCCTCGAGCCCAAGCTTCTGGAAGTCGTCTTGCGTTGTCAGGATGCACTTGGCACCAGCCTGGACAACGTCTGCTTCAAACTGCTCTGCGCCCGCGGCCGGGTTGACGGGAGAGGCGATGTAGTGAGTCGTTACAGCCATACACATGGCAGCCAGCAGCGGACCATTGGGCAGCGCAATGGACACGACTGGCTTGCGTGGCCCTTCAGCCCCGATGGGGAGACAGAACTCGCTCACAAACCGCCTCAGGTAGTCATGTGAGATGTATCTATCAACACTGAGGACCCGCAGGGCTGCTTCTGGTTTCTCGAGAATGAAATCAGCCAGGGACGTGTATGTCTGCTTGATCTGGCTTTCTGTGCGTTCGATCAAGTCTGCGCAGTCGTCCGGGTCTGCAAATGGGTTGTCGGTGTGAGGCGCCCGGCTGAGTTTTGAGTGATTCCGGATCAGTTCGAGTGTGGCCTGAGGGCCAAGGCCCTGATCCAGTGAGGCTGACAAGTTCTGGAGGGACTGCCATGAATCCCGCAGTTGTGGGGACTCAGGAACTGGCGAGAGACACTTATCAAGAGGCTGTGAGCCCCCGACCATCCTGGAAGGCATTCTGATTGTGTAAGAGGGGGCGAAGCGAAGAAGAGTAATTAAAATTGGATATCAGGAAAAGTCACCCAGTATTGGAATAGATGAAACCCGTCAACGAGTGTGAGCAAACATCAAGTCTCTCAGAGCACAAGGCACGTAATATACTTGTCAAGACTGTGGTAAGATCCGAGGCCCCGTCTTGTCCGCGTATGACCCGAACAAGCTGATAGATCTCGTGTACAGAGCGAAGATGAGGATCACAGCCTGGACAAAATCGGCATGGCGAGGTTTGTCAAAGTCGCGTTCGTGAACCTTGTGATCTGTCAGTCATGGTTCCTTACCGACGGATGTCACCGCCGTCTTGCGTACCTAGGGTCCATCCAAGGTTTGTAGTCGGGTTCGTAAGCGTGTGTAACGTCGTATGAACAAAGGACTCTGGCGAGGACCGCAGGAGGCTATCTTCGAAGACGAAGGGGACGCAAGAGACAGGTGATGGCCCACGATGATGACGCCGAGTAGTAAGCACACAATGAATGAGTGTAATTTTGGGCAGCTCGGACAGTTTGGACAGTATCGCAAATATTATGGTGGCAGACCAGCAGCATCGAAGTGAAGGGGGTAATGATAATCGATGGTCAGGATATCGAGAGAGGACGATATGTTTTTGTTCATGCGGTAAAGACGGTTTGTATCCTACGATATCAACGCCCAGGAGGAGGCGAAGCGTCGTTGACGAATACCGATGAAGATATCAAATTATTTCACATTCCACTCCCTGCAGGTGGGCCTGGAATTTCGCCGCCGGCCCCATGTCGCCAGTTGTGTACCTGACGACCCCAGCACGAGGCCAACACATGATGTTGTTACCCTGACATGGGCCAGAGCCACGGGAGACGCACAAAGCGCCGCGGATCGACTTGCTAAAACAAGCCAGGCGTGGGTGGGTCCATCACGACCCTCGGTCGACGTTTGGAGCTCGAGGCCATCACTCAGGTCGAGTCTGGCTGTCTGGTGGTGATAGTAGGACAATGTCCTAGTCCTCATCTACAAGATGTCGATCAGGGCCCGGGGTGGGGCGCCAAGCCAGCATTGACAAGTAGATTAGTACTGCCGTGCTACCTTGTCCCTCGGCCAGTGAGAGGTTGGATGTGCCACCAGCTTGGGGACATATGTGACGGTACATATTCGACCATGGGGTAGAGGGGCCGAACACACCCTTGTGGTATGCCACCGAGAAGGGAATATGTCCCGGGACTTGAGGGATCCGGCCAATGTCCTGTCTGTCTAGCGGTCTTGGCAGCATAGGCAAGGATGCGGGCCATAGCCTCACCCACCTTGGTCGTGCGCGTCTTTGTCCAGGACGGGCTCATACATAGTGATGTCAAATGATGGATCAGGGACACCAGGACAACCCCCCAGCCCCCCTTTGTAGCACAATGTTGAGATATATGAACCGTCACATCGACGGCTTCTCCGTGCGCAACCTAACTTTGCGCGTCAACTGGCAAGAGGTACACAAACCTGGGCAGTCTAGAATTAGCTTCCTTTTCTGGCGAGCCATAATCGAGAAACTAGAGGACTCTTCAGACCCACGATGCGATCATAGGCCGATCACCTGGGCAGGAATGTAGTGCGGCTCAACAAAATTGTCCAGTGTATCAGACGATGGGCGATCGGCAATACTGTCATTGATAGGACGCTGGATAGGACGATCGGTGATCAGAAGAGACCCAGATGAGTCAAATCCCAGGGCTGTATATCAGACTGAAGTCGCCTGCCCCTGCGTAGATGATGAGCCTATTGTAGCAGACACCTCGGCCAGACCATCTGAGCGTGGCATCCGAATAGTACCGGACGAAGCGGGAGTATACTTTGCGGTCTTGGCAAACAACCTTCCACGTGCATTCTTCGCCCAAACCCCAATGCCTCCTCCCTCACTTCCTTTCCCCAAGACCGACACCGACTCGCGTCCTGAAGTGGCGCCATCTCCGCCATCGGGTTTTCCATCCCGTGGAGGGTACCCAATCAGCGGGCATGTTCGCACCGTCCTATCGAACAACCCTACCTTACTATGTTTCGGGTATCGTGAACCCCCTGCAGGACGTTGCCTTGAAATAAAGTTTCGGGACAAATCAAAATCGTGTCCCTTCCATCCCTTGCTGCAGGTAGTTTAAATCGTTGCAAAACATCCTATTGGCCAGTCCAGACGCGAACCCAATCCAGCCGTTGATGCCGTGAATCGAGCCTCAAATCACATGCAGTATAAAAACAGAATAATAAACGACATGTTCGAGGACGAGTCTCATGCCATCAGGGCCATTCCCTCCCCCGACACGAGACTTCAGAATAATTACGAGGATGAACGCGTAAGGACGCTGCCGTATAGGACAGGGCTGTGCCTAAGGGCTTCCAAGCCAGTAAGTAAATCCGTAAATCCAGTTCGGGGCGACGATGCATCTGCCTGCAGGACGCCCGCGGGCGACAATCACTCAGGCGGACAGGGATCGTCAGGTGAGCGGGTCTGAACTATACCACCCACCTGCCATCGATACGCGTGTGCACTGACAGATTACGACCTCGACGTCGTAACACTGCAGGCCAAACTTCACAGAAACGCGGTTGCCTCTGCCAAAAGGCAAAGCATCCTAAGGAAGATCTGCTGGAGCCAATAACCACGAATATAAACATGGGAAACAGGTGCATGTCTCACAGTCAGCGTGACTTACGACCAAAGTGTCCGCTACGGCCAATGATTACCACAGCAGATGAAGGAATCCCACGAGCCCGGCGCGGAAGTGACTCGGATCGGCAACGAAACACTCAGAAGCACGAGGGCAATTTCAGCATCATAATTCCCCGTCTTGTCGCCGTATCACTGACTCTTGGGTGTCTGAGATCGACCCACGGTGATGAGAGGCCGAGTCCACGGGTGCAGCACCCGTGATGAGAACCCACGGAATTTAAAAGGCCAGCCCAGACTCTTGCCGGCGTATCACCGAGTCTTGGGTGTCGTCTAGAATCGACTCATTCTGAGGAGAGGGCGAGTGAACCCGAGATGAGAGCACGCGGAACCAACGAGCTCCGACCAGTTCCCGCGACACACTCCCCAAAAGGAAGTAGGCACCAAAGAAGCAGGCAGGCTGTCGGAGGCAGGACGACTTGAAGTTGCGAGACATGGGCAGCAAGATGTTTCGGTTCTGCTGCTCCCGTCACGCAGAATGACTAAGGTAGGGTATCTTGACTAATAGGGCCGTCGGCCACGGCGTCCTTGATGATCGACAATCCTCAGGAAGAACTAGAAACACCCAAGAGCTGCATGCCGTGGGGATTTCTGAGCGCACCAATCATGGAACATGGATATTTTGTTGTCCTCTGTCTTGTCTCGCAGGGCAGGCAATTGATCATGCGGCATTCTGTTGTGCGGCGCACGGGCAGGCCCTCTCGGATGGGATGGCAGGCGGGCGGTTGGAGAAGTTCAGGTTGAGGCGTCCGGTCCGACCCAGCGTCATCGTCCCAGCCGTCTTCAGATGATGATTACCTCGGGCACTCGGCAGCCGCCTGTTGGCCGGGGCGTCTTAACCTTTTGCTGGGGGCTCCCAGGGCGGTGTGTGCCAGTGCCAGTGGACGGCTACTGAGCCTGAGGGTTGCATTGACGGGGGCGTGGGATCGGCCAAGGGTTTAAATATAGTAGTGTGTAGTAGTGCCTCGCGGCCGAACACCCCCAGTTGAAGGGCCTGTCCAGCTATCCAGCAGAGTCGAGCCGCGGCGATAGGTCTGTCAATTAGAACGGTGGCGTGCACCTAAAACGCGGGGGACTCTATTCGAAACGGATTAGGCGTGTTGTTTTCCTGCTGGGATTGGGATATGAGAAGGGCCGCGGCGGGCTGGGCGGATGCTACTCTGCCCAGGTGGCCGTTTTAGACATTACGGGAGTAGCATTCTTGGGCTATTCTTATTCCACTCGGGGTATGTTTCTGGAAACCTTGGAAGTCTTGTTTGTTTTACCAGCGTGGGGACAAGACATCTAGAGCCAAGTTGCTTCAATGTTCTCACTCAGTAAACACGGCTCCAGGGCAGGATCTATAAAACAAATTAGGACGTGTCGCTGGCCAGGGGATCGATTAAATGATTCATCTGCCGTCCAGCGTAGAAATTGGAGTACGACACTGACAAGCCTGGCACGAACAGAGGCCTGAGACGCTTCGACAAGCCGCAGCCAGATGCAGGCTGAGGCTCTGCGCTGTCCCGAGTAAAAATAAGCGCAGATGAGGCTGAACTTTGAAGAGCGTCGGTCAGTGAGATCGTCAGCCAAATGGGATGGCAACATCATTGCGCCGATGTCAATCGGTCCGATGAGAACAGATGAAGAAGGGTCTCTCGACGAGTTTGGGCGTACGAAGCAACGCGTCATGGCACAAGGGTCATCCGAGTCTTGTCGAGTCCACCTCAACCCTGGGCAGCTGAACCCTGGGCTGGGCCTTGGAATGCTGGGGAAACAAGCACCAGCCAAGCCAACCTTGAAGCTGATCGGTTCGGCCCACTTGAGTTTAGTCAGCAGCGGCTGGTCTGGGCTGTCCATCTCACCGCTTGCCGGATAGAGACACAACAAGTCTTATCGATAATGATTTTTCTGATGGTGGGGGCTCAGATTGCTCACAACGCCGTCGCCGTCGCCGTCGCGTACTGAGATTCACACACAGCACCCCGCCGTTTCCATATGCGCACACGGATCCTCTTGGCCCCATAGCTGCCGAATTCACCAGGCCCTACGCGCCTTCGTCTCACCCTCCGCGCCCTGTCAGTACGTCATCACGCCAAGGACGGTCCGCCCAACCATCGACACACCAAACACGGCGGCGCAAGGATCCCGTGACATTCGAACTGAGCCTTCTCCCATAGCACACGAACGAGGATGACCGCGGAGCAAAGCGCTGCGGCCCAAGGCCAAAAGCGCATCCACAGCCTCGTCGTCGATACCGGCCCTCTGATCAAGAACGAGCCAGCCCTCTCGACCCTGATATCCCAGGCCGAAGAAATCTACACCATTCCCTCCGTTCTCAGCGAGATCAAGGTGGGCTTCCCACGAGACCCCAATGCTCCATTTAGCGGCCGTCGGTCTGGATTGTTTTGATGCTGACAAAACGTGCAGGATGAAGCCACCCGCGCCCGAGTCCAGACGACCCTCCTCCCCTTCCTGAAGCTGCGAAGCCCACGGCCCCAGTCGATCAAGTTCATCACGGACTTTTCAAGGAGGACTGGAGATCTCGAGGTCATGAGCAAGCCCGATATACACCTTTTGGCACTTGTCTACGAGCTGGAGATAGAGCGAAACGGTGGTGACTGGAGGATACGGAACAGCCCTACCCAGAAGGGCCTGAACGGCAAGCCCCCAGGGCAGGAGGCGTCTTCTGAGAAGAAAGAGCAGACCGAGGAAGGTATCGAATCAAAATTGGGAGAGCTGAGTCTCGAGGAGAAGTCTGCGCCACCGACAGAAGAAGAGGCCGCCGAAGCATCAGCTCAAGCAGAGCCTGAGGTGCCCGCTGCTCAGCCAGCAAGCGAGCCCGTTGCAGAGAACGTAAATGAGGCAGACCAAAACCAGGAGCAGAATGATAAGACAACCGCCAACTTGGATGAGAGCGCCGAAGATCAGCCAGAGCTCACACAGGAGCTCGAGGATGCAGAGCAACAACCCTCAGACGACGACGACAGCGACGGGTGGATCACGCCGTCGAACCTGAAGAAGCACCAGGCCAAGGACAACCAGGTGTCTACGCCCTCCGAGGCAATCGAGGAGACCCTGCAGGCGGCCCTTCTCACATCTGACTTCGCCATGCAAAACGTAGCCCTACGGATAAACCTCTTGTACGTCGAAGCCCCCCCCCCTCAAATCTACTCACCCACCACATACTGACCCCATCCCGCCAGTCTCGTCTCACCCTCCAACCTGAGCCGCATCAAGAAGCTCAAGACCTGGGTCCTGCGCTGCTACGGGTGCTTCAGCGTGACGCGGCAGATGGACAAGCAGTTCTGCCCAAAGTGCGGGCAGGCGACGCTGACGCGGACGAGCTGCAGCACCGACAGCTCGGGGCGGATGCAGCTGCACCTGAAGCGCAACTTCCAGTACAACAAGCGGGGCAACGTGTACAGCATCCCCAAGCCGGTGCACGGCACCGCCAGCGGCAAGATGGCCGGCGTGGCGGGCGGCGGCAAGGGCCACTGGGGCAAGGACCTCATCCTCGCCGAGGACCAGCAGGAGTACCAGCGCAAGGTCGACCACGACCGCCGCCAGCGCCAGCGCGACCTCATGGACGAGGACTACCTGCCTAACCTGGTCACGGGCGAGCGGACCGGCGGGCACGGGCGGATCAGGGTCGGGGCGGGGCGGAATGTCAATGCGAAGAAGAGGCGCTGAGCGTGCTGGGCGGGACGGGACGTGACGGGATGCTGGCTGGGCTGGGCTGGGCTAGGCTGGGACTTGAGGTAATGACGGATTTGGGATGGATGATACGCATACAATCAATCGGTCAACACTTAGATATCACGTCATGCATCAGGGGGATGTCACGTGGGTTCCCCTTTGTTGGTAGATAAAATGATACCAAAAAAGGCGTCGAGGAAGAACCGTGTGATTTTACAGATATCTAATTCGATACCATTTCCCCGGGTTCTTGTTAAATCAAGCAAGAATTTTTGCAGTGGAACCAACGCCTGCCTCCCTTTGAAAAACCCCCAAACTCCGGCCTGTACTATGTAAATAAGCCAGGCCAAAACCGCCGAGCACAAGCTTTTTCATCTCGTGGCGCTTTTGTCCGTCTTTTTTTCTCTTCCTATTTCTCCAAGGTCGACTCTTGTCTTGTCTGTATGCCAGGGCCGTCTTTCTTTCCAGGGCCGTCTTTCTTTTCCCAAGCCGTCGGGATCCAATGACCGTCCTGGCCTGCGAGGCGTGTGCGGTGCTGAGTGAGTGATGACCATGACCGCATCGGCATCGCGCTCTCATCGTCCCAACAAAAAAAAAAGGAGGTTCTCGTTGGCTGGTTGATTGGCGGTGACCACGACATTTCCGTTTTCAGCGCCCCTCCCTGGGTTGAGATCGATCGATTCATATCCATGTTCTTCCTTGTTTGCTCCTTCGTGATGTACTCGCTGCCGCCGTAGTCCCTCCTCAACGAGCCAACCCCATGGTCCAAGCAGCTCAGCTCGGCCGTAAGCCCAAAGCAGCCAGCCAGCTTGTTGGTGAAAGAAGTCAAGTCAAGGCCGACCGACTGGCCCCATCCATCGCCCCTCCACGGGCGTCCGTCCGTCCATTGGTAGGTAGCGAGGCAGGTCTCCTAGATGCCCTGCGGCAGGCGGCCGAACCTCTTGCGCAGCAGGTTGCGGTGCTTGCTCCACTTGTCGTCGGGGGAGAAGCGCGCCGGGTGCGCGGACTTGGTCACCTTGCCCTCGAGGACCTTCTTGAGGGTGTAGGTGCGCTTGCCCGAGGCGGCGTCGACGTTGCACATCAGATGCATGTTGGGAGTGTGTGTGTGTTTACTGAAGAGGTTGGGCTGGGTATGTGGGCGACTTTTGCAGATGGCTGGGCGAATCGTGGTCGGCGGTGATGGTGATGAGGTTGGTGATGTTTTTTTGCGCAGCAGCGGAGATGCAAGCTCGGTCCAAAATTTTCGAAAATGCTTCGAGGGACGGGTGGGGCCGTGCTGCTGCGCTAGTGGGGCGGCTGTGGCGGGGCTGATTGGTTGGAGGTGGCCAGGGTTTGGTCGTGCGCTCGGACGTCGACTTACACGCAGGAACCCTGGGATGGACGCCAATAGCCTCGGATGGGAGCGAGGGAGACCATCCTGTCTCAAGTGCTGTCTACGACGCCCAAACGGCCCAAATTTTCATAGGACCCCAGAGAGTATGATTGCTTGTGCTAGTCAGATTGTTCACATATGACTTTGTGGAGATGATTAATGGGTTTTGCTGCTGTGTTCTGACGACCAGTGCTGTATACCACACAGCGATGAGAGGGAACAGTGCCCACATTCTTCATATTTCAATTTACAGAACATCACAGCTATCTGCCAGTCGATCTCGTGATGCCTATTGCCGTTACGTGTAAGGTGCGATGGGCAGGTAGACTTAGCCGGCTCATCTCTCGCAGAGGGGGCGCTTTAGAATTTGGCAACAACAACAGCCAGACACGAGTACAACAACAATCAACAGATCGTACGTTCACGAGTCCCCTAGATAGCTATCACTGCACATGTTCTCAAGAGAGGGCTACAATGCCAATGGGTTTATCAATCTGATTGTCTACCGGGGTATAATAGATATGTAATGAACAACTTGACCAACAGTCCTGCCAGAAATGAGGCGCAATACAAGTACGCCCGCTATGTGTCACTCCACCCTTTTTCTTAACTACATTGATCACCAGTCGTTCTCCGCCCAGAGCGCGCCTACCTCAAATATGAGGGAGTGCAGGCCACCCATGAGCACCAGGTCCCACTTCCACTCCTCCTGGTCCCACTGACGGCACACGGCCCTAGCCTGGCCGAGGTTCAGGTGCAGCGGCTCGTCCTCCGCGCAGGCGAACACCTCAAGCTCCATGCCGCGCTCCGCGCGCACTGCCTCCTGCAAGGCGGTCACCAGGTGGTCAGTCGGTATGACGCCCTGTGCCTTAGCGACGGCATGATCGGCAGGGACGGGACAGCAGGGTGCGATGGCGCACTTGTGGGGCTCGTCGTGGGGGCCGAGGTGATGGAGCTCCCTGGCCTTGCCCTTCTTGGGGCCGATGTCCATGCAGAAGTTGAAGGCGAAGTTGGAGTAGTCTACAAGGCGGAAGCGGGCGCCGGCCTTGGCCAGGGCGGGCATGCTCAGGAGGGCCGCGACGAGCGCGCGGAGCAGGTCGTCACAGGCGGCGATCGGGTCGTCGCGCTCCCTCCAGTCGGTGAAGTCGCAGTCGACGACGCCAACCAGGTCCAGGGTGGCCAGATTCGGCCAGAAAATGCCGGCTGCCACGAACAAGGCCTCCGGGATGTCCATGATGCACTCGAGCTTTAGGGACACGAGGCTGTCCTTCCAGATGGCGAGGCTGGGGGCGAGAGATATTGCAACATCCTTCTGCTCGTCGCGGGTAAGATAGACAGCAGGGAAGATGTTCGTGTTGTTATTGGACACGATCTGAAGGTTCGTCACATTGGGCTTCGCAGCATGGGCGGCGACAATGTTGTCTACGAACTTCTGTCAGACGACCTCAAGGCTATACACTGGCAGCGGGGCAGCGGGGTGGGTGAGTGGGGCTTAGGGGGTTCACTTACTACGAGTGGTGTTAATCCAATCCGTCAAGGAAAATCCGGTGTCAGTCGGGAGGCCAAGGTGAATGCCGTGCACGTTCGGGAGCTTGGCAAGGAGGCTGTTGATGGAGCCCTGCTTCAGAAGGACGTCGCCGTCCTTGAAGCCGAGCTGTGCGTTCAGCTTTCCGATCACAGGGACGTGTGGCAGGTTCGCGACGGCAGTCGGGTCGATGGAGAACTCAAAGACGTCTCCGTCGGTTGGGACAACGACCTTGAGGCCGAGGGTGATCTTGGTGTTGAGGCCCGGGCGGTTCCAGTCGGCCATGATGTTGAAGACGCTCGAGACAGAGTTGCCGACGGCCGCTCCGACGAAGGTTGCTGATGGGATACCGATGTTCGACACATCCCAAGGGCTGATTTTGCAGGTAACAGCCTTTAAGAGGGTGTTGCGTGCTTTGCAGATTGTCGTGAAGTTGGTCAGGTCTTGGGGCGTGATGGTGATGTACCTGAATAGCTGTTGCTCAACAATATCCTTCCACTCGCGGTCAACGGTCGCGAGGGAAGATATGCGGCCAGCTTCGTGGACCTGGGTGGCCACGGCCGCTTTGATGATTTCACGACGCACCTCCTCAGGGACGGCGGGATACATTTGGAAGTTCATGGTGGGTGGATGGGACTGTAGAAGATGATAGCTCACAACGAAGACGATGAGTGTACAGCCTTGATACAGTTTATCGAAGGATAGAGTTGGTGGAGAGATGCAGACAAGAGGTTCTGGAGACTGGGGGATGGAGGTGTTAAATAGTTGAAAAGGGCGCTATCGATGCCGACGCCGTTTTGAATCAATGAACTGGCTAACTTGGAATGTTCACTATGATTATATGAATGTTGTTTGGCTGCCCGGGGGTGGGAATGTTCACCATGACCAGATGAATCTTGTTCGGCTACCAGGCGGTGGGAATAGTTACTCTTGCGAGAATGTTGGGGCCATGTCAGGAGCATGGTACCAAGGTGAAGACGTGGGCGCGCAGGAGGGACTCCACACCCTCTGCGACTCAGGGAGGGCGTCAAGTGTTTGGACCAACACCACAACTCAGGCCCAAGTAACCTCTTCAAGAGTCCTGCTGTCTCAGATCAGAGTGAACTGAAGCCGAGGGCGAACGCACGCGCCGGGATCTGCGGGCCCTCTGCCCCAGACCTCACATTGACTGTTGACCGGCAGCCAGAGCCGAGGAGAGGACGAGGGTCCGCGCTGGCAGAGCTGGATCTTGCACAGGCGGTTGCCCAGAAGGACGAAGTGCTTCTTCACCCACTCAGGTTGGATGGCTTCGGGAAGGTCAATTCCTTCGCGAAGGTACTCGTGGACTGCTTGAAGATCTACCCTGTTGAGCTGGTGTGGCTTGCGGATCTGCTCTGGCAGGTCCCCACTGAGGTAGTTCTCAAGAAGGAATATGGAGGCGAGGGTTCATACAACAAGGATATGAGAAATAGGTGCCCTTTTACGCCATGTTTCCAGCGTCGGTATCCAAGTACGTATCTCTGGCTACAGGAACAGCAACAGCAACAGCTGTCGTGAGTTCGTTTCTAATTCTCATACATATAAGATGTAGCACCGTATGAAGGCACCATGTATGTCCTTGGACGGATACGGAACAGAAGCGAAACCAGTTAGATAAGATGTAGGAGGCGCCTTCACACAGTGGTGACCGGTTGTGTTTCTATCCCGTGTACGTACGAAGCCAAACATGGCGCCTTCGAGTGGTGATGGTTTCGTTTCGACTCCCCATACGTACTAAACGTACTTGTGGCGCCGCCGCCCTCATACAGTGGTAAAGCTCACGATCCAGCGTTTGTTTTGTTGCAAAACATGCACGACAAAAAGTAATGCGAAGAGAATACAGTATCAGCTCTATTAGGCCGTCTTCTTAGGTCAAATTTATATATCGGCGTGCTTGTTTCGGGCCTGTGGTCGACTGCCAGCTATCGAAATGCTGGGTATAGCGAAAACTTTATAGTTTCACTTCTATTCCGTATACATCCGAGGACATACATAACGCCTTCACACGGTGGTAAGCACTCAAGACCCAGCGCTTAGAAAAAATACGATACCAATAACAATAGTTATAATACGATAGGTGCTTATAGCCTCAGCCTTGCGACGCACAGGGCGAAAAGTTTATCTAATATGCGCAGTGGCCTGCAAAAATATCAGATAGAAAAGGAGGACACAGTGCCGTATGGTTTTCAAACTAAGGGATGGAGGAACGCCGACTCATCCGGGCAATACCTTCATGTAGCAGAGTGGCCAAAGACCACAAGACCAATTTCACCGTTCGCAAGTACTCCGTTATGGAGTTCCAGAGCTTTCCTGGCTCAGTCCTCCCCAAAGTTCAATGCCTCAGAGTTGGGTTCACATGCAACCCCCCAAAGCAAGTCGAGCCAATACTTCCCGGCCGCTGTTTCCCAGTCGCGCTGTGCTATGGCAAGCTCCTTGTCCGGACTCTAGCCCAGGACTTCACTCGGCGCCCCCTAGCCGCCAGTATTACTCGCCCATCCGGTAGATGAGCACATCCATCTCATTGAAGAACACCGGCTCCCAAGAGGTGGAGTTCCTGTTCCACTTCGTACAGGCAGGAGGGTAATCAATCCATACGAGATCATCCGAGCAGCGAAACACGGCCAGGTCCAGTCCGCGGGCTTGCCTCACGGCGTCCTGAATCTCTGTCACCAGCGCACCTGGCAGGTCGATCTGGTGGGTCTTGAGCATGGCGCCGTCGGCTGCCAAAGGACTGCAGGGCGTGAGCGGGCGCTGGTTACCATTTGGACGCTTGAACTGATACGGCTTGCAGATGAATTTCTCTGTATCCGTTCTGGCGCCGATCTGCATGCGAAGGCGGCGATTCGAGACTTGTGAGAACAGCATGTTCAGGGTTGTCAACTCCGGCATCTTTGGGAGACAGGCAATGAGTCCCCTAAGAAGGTGAATGTCTGCCCGCGCCACGGGGGCCCCTTGTCTGGTAGAGATGATATCGCCCGCATCCAGAAGTCCAATCAGATCCAACTTGGCCAAATTTGGCCAAGCTGACCTGCTGGCCATCCAGAGGAACTGGGGTGGATCGATGTGACAGTGGATACTCAGGGAAACCAAGGTATTGTGCCACAGGGACAGCTGAGGATACACCTTTGTTGCCAAGAGAACTTGGTCCTGTCGAGATTGTCGTTGTCTGGGATTGACGAAGTGAAGCATCTTATCCTGCCTGAACCGCAGTTTTGTCAGGGAAGGGTTGCCAGCATGGCATGAGCCTATCTGGACTGAGACACAATGTTAGAAAACCCTGAGAGCATGTGTTTTCGAGAGCCTTTACTTACCTCGGGATGTGACGATGTCTTGTCGCAAGTTGCCAGTGTTCAGCAGGCCAAACTGAATGCTGTGAAGGTTGGGAAGCTTGCTGTAGAGAGCTTGGACCGACTGGTGGCACAAAGTCAAATGCACTGACGGCTTGATGTAAATCCTTCCGATTGCTGGCACCTCCGGCAAGTTCGTAAAGGAGCAGGAGATGGGAGGCATCATCACAAACTGACGACATCGAATTGACTCAATCATGATGCCCATGGAGACTTTGAGGAGATGACTTGGTTTCTCCGCGGGAGTCCAGTCCTTCAGGGCGTGAAAGAGCTTGGAGACAGCATCCTCGACCATTTGCTGATTCGCCCGAGGGGAGGCCGACGTGGGGACGAACTCGAAGGTGAGCTTTCTAATGAAGTCCTGTCGACTGGCGCAGATGCGCTCGAAGTCCTGGAGCTCATTTGAGTGAGTTCTGATGCTCTCAAACACAACACTCTCAATGACTTGGTTCCAATCAGAGTCGATGGATGCTGCCCAGTGGGCCAGACCGGCTTTGCGAGGATGGGCGTCGTTGATGCGGGTTGCTACAGCCTCCCTGATGATCTTGCGACGAATCTCAAAAGGGAGCTTTCGGTATGAGGGGAATTCCATGCTCGCTGACTGTACGAAGTGTGGTTGTTGATGGTTGATGGATAGGTGTTCAAGGTCGGTTTTGGAATGGTTTGTTGACCTTGGTGGGATGTCGGTAGATTTGGCCTAAGGATGGCAAGGTAAGGTGTTTGAAAGCTCGTTCGGAGGGGGCATATTGGTTCGGATGTGCTTTGGGATTTCCTAGCGGGATCAGTGACTTCTGGAGCAACCTTTCATTTCATTCATTCACAAACCCTAATGCACACTGACATCTATCCTGCGCAGCACGCTTCAGAATATGTATACGTATTTACGGGGATGATTGAATTCACAGTCGTACCTTCATCTCCAAAACGAAAAGGAATCCATGGCAGACAGCTGTACGAGTAGCAGAGCGTACCATTGTTGAGTAGGTCCACCACAAGAAAGTAGAATGATATCATCAGGCCAGTCTTGTTCCTGGTGAGCCGTAAATGATGCTCTGAAGCTTCTGTGGTGCCGGTAACGATGGAGGTGTCGATAGGTCTATGCCTCTAATAATGCATTTACTTTCACTTCCAACGGTCAGGCTATATATAGGTAGTAATTGGCTGTCCGATATCAGCTATAACAATCATTGATGCTGACTCTGGATGTGGTTGCTGGGTTTGGCCCTGAGATTCGAAACGGACAAGCAACACTGAATCACATCCTTGCCACATCAGTATTATAGTCAGAACAAGCACAGAGCCACAAGAGACATGAGTGTCCCGAGATATTTTCAGTGTTTGTACATCGAAATCTTGCCTTGGTCTGCCAGTGACAACATTGAAACACTCATTCCCGAATCTCTAGTATTTCAGCCGTTTGACTGCGGCTGTCTGTGGTTTAGATATCACATCTATGCTTGTCAAAAGAAGTATGCCTTTGGCATGTTCCAGAAATTATGTACGGCTTTCAGAAAAAGTCTCCCTGGTCAATTCGCTGCTGCAACAGTCTCAGCTCCCATCTCATGTTCTGACACTCGTTTGTCTCGCCATGTCAATTCTTACACCCTTCAAGCCGTTCATTCCTCTGTAACTGAGGCCCATCGTTCCGGATTAGCATTTACTGTCTAGGACTAATCAGTCTCCTTCACAATGACTCATGTTCGTCTCCACACTGAGACGCCATTTGATACGAAAATGTCCCATCCACTCTTTTCGCGATTCCACTGTTTGCAGTGGGTGAGGCCAGTACTCCGAGGCCCACTATCCTTCTCGCCCTCGTTCCAGGGACGAAAGAGACGAGGGTAATTGGCCCCGAAGGGTGTGTACTGAGACGGGTAAAAGACTTCCAACTCACGCCTGTGGAGACTCTTGTACAGTATCTTGCAGTTCTTCCACTAAACTTCCTGGAATTGAGGGATAACGTATTTGAGCAAAGCCGTTGTTTCCACGTGGCACAAAAGGCAGCCCGGTCTGATCGTTGATTTCCGTGATGACAAACATCTGAAGGCCCACGTCCAAGGAATGCTCCACACCTTGAGTATATACATCGATGATTGTCGCCTTAGGCATAGTTGACAGGGCGCTGATGAGACACTTGGTCACCACCTCAGAAACTTTTGCACTTGTTGAGAAACCAGTAGGCGTGGAGACTAAACCAGTAGGCGTGGAGAGTCCGTGGAGCCTGAGATTCCTAAGCTCAGGCCAAGAAATCATTTGAAAGTCTTGGATGAATTGCGGCATATTGGCGATGCTTGGTAGATCGAGCTTTGTGATACTGTTGCTCCATTGAGGGCCGGGGTTGATGAGACACTGGAGAATTGGCAGTTCCGCATGGAAATATTCCCGTGCCAGAGACCACGAGGATGAGTGATGAGTGGAAGCTATTCTGACTTTGGAGGGGGCATGAGGGAGATGCCGAAGTGACTGAAGTGCACCTTGAAGACAATCCATTGGTCAGAAATAGGGGTTAGAAAGGGATCAATGGATCAGCACAATTTGGAGGTTGGTCAACTTACTTGTTCCTTCTAAAACAAACTCGGAGTTTGTTTTCTTAGCTAACTTGAAAAGGTTGAGAAATATCTGGTTTAAGTTTGGCAGCTTCTTATAAATTGCAATCGTTGTAGATGTGTCCATAAGACGGTCGCACCCCTGGCAGAAACGCCCAATAACGTTGACCGTTGGCAGTTTGGAAAAGTCGATGCTGACGGGTTTCCAGCACACTTTCTCGATTATTACACCCATGGGCTTGAGATATACCTTGATGAGTCCAGGTCGCTTCCTATCCTCAGCTCTCCAGTCATTCATGATGTTGAAAAGGGCCAGAAGACTAGTTTTCAGTTCCAGATTCAAGCGGTTGATGTCGCCATAGCCTGAGCCTTCTATGCGTATATCCTGCTCAGACACTTTTTCGGGAGAAAATGGTGACAGAATAATTCTTTTCAAGAATCCATGACGCTTGCTGCTTATTCTCCCAAATTCTTTGATATCGTCGCGCTTGATGTGCGGGTTTTCAAAGGTCCGCCGTTCGATACATCTTGCCACACAACGTCGATCGATGCATACCTGGAGAGACGGAGTTCGGGTGGAATTAATATGTGAGAGCGGAGCTCTCCGGCTGCTTCGCGAACTATCTGGAGCTTCAATTCATTCGGCAGGTCGTTGTAAACCGGGTGTTCGACTGGTATCGACATTTTGGTGGTATCGCTATTCCTCATGCGTTGCGGTTGCTGTGTTGGATGATCTTGGCGGTTGGATAAAAAGTTTATCAGCGAAAATTTGAGGATAGAGGATAAATTTCGTCTCGTAAAGTTGAATTCTAGTATCACGCCAGATTAGCCCTTGGGCTACTTGTGTCGACGATAAGCGGCGCCGTCGGGAGCGATGGCTTCCAGTCTTGTCTGTGCGGCACGAGGCGAAGCCACGTGCACACATACTGTATTCTCTTTCCACTATTATTAGCATTATATTTTTTTTAATACCAGGTCTTGAGCGTTTACCACTACATAAAGGCGCCACATACAGTTTACATGTATGGGGATTAAAAACACAAATACACAAATGAACAAAAAATACAACGTGGCCGAAGCCATGCTTTTTTAATCATTGGAGGGAATTCCAATTTTTGTCAAATGGGGTCACATGATCAATCAAGTTGTATTCACCAAAACCGATCCACTACCATTCATAATAGCTGGTGGTGTATTACGTGGAGTAATGCACTTAGGTTCTGAAACCGCTTGTGTACTAAGGATACTTGTTCGAGATAGACTTCTGTAGTGTAGAAGCTAAAGCTTCATTTGAAATGGATTATGTCGGGCCTACCTGTTGCTGACGAAAAGCCGCCTCACTCTCACAAAATTATGCTGTGGCACGGATCCTTGACACCGCCCTAGGTAGCTTTCGCGGTCAAATGGCCATTCTTAGAGTTACAGAAAAGTGTCTTTTGAGACTATTTGTCTAGAGTCTGAATTTCGAAAGCCTTCCTGGCTTGTCTTCTATTAGCTGGCCTCACCAGATGACACTTGCTCTTTTAACTCCATCTGGAAAACAGTAAGCGTGCTTGATTGTTGGGCTAGGCCATCGAATGTTTACCATACAACAAGATCGTATGTTCCTCTCGCAAAGTTTGGAATGTAACTACAAATTACCCACCAACAGCAACTGCCCAGTTCTATGTTATAATAGTAGAGCCTTCTAAGGAGCCACGGGCTCCTAATTCCAGTATACCACGCATGAAGTGCTGTAAAATTAAGCTCTACGATACTGTACTTTAAGTGGATTCAGCCAAGTATGTCCACCTACATGCCTAGGCATGTAGACAGACAGTTCCAACGCATGTCACGGAGATTCAGGAAACTTTCTTGGTATACAGGTACCTGGGTATGGCAGGATGGCTTCTGATTCCCCTTTTGCAAGTATGGGATTCTTGTTCGTAAGTGTGTTGACCCAAGTTCTGTCTCAAGGAACCTCCATCCCTTTTGACTGACTCGTTGCACCACAAAATAAAGTTTCGATTACCTAGGGTACGACCGCTGATACGTAGCATGTCTGACATTAACTCACCTTCCAGAAAGCTCAGCACATTGAGTCAGAGCGGCCATCCGCCTATTCCAGGGTGCGTCAGACATCAGCCTTTATGGGTGATGCAGGTATGTATGTTGATAGGGGGGAAGTATGTTTGTTATAGGCGCCGCGGTATCGAATTCCCTACGGTCATCTTGCCTTGTTTTACACTCGACCGACACCCGGTGTTGCCGTGCGAGTCAGGCTCTAATAGGCAGAGATCCATGGTCATTTAACAACTTAGATACGGTGGGGCAGATGCACACGCACTACTTGGCGGAATGCGCGGCGGGACTTCACGATGGTAGGCGGAGAGAGTGGCTCCTGGAGTCAGGGGACTTAAGGCGTGATCACGGGGGCATGTCAGTGTGGTATGTTCAACAAACAGGGCATACTTTACCACTTTCGGACTTTTTTTTAGAAACACGAAGGGCCATCTTTATTTATATAAATTTAGACTGACTCTTGGTATGTACCTCTCGCCCCATTATAATTTCCGTATCATTATCAGCCTCTTTTAGTGAAGATCTATATACTTTTTAAGGCCTAGACTAACTATTTCTTATTTAGACTCAGTTTTTAGGCTGGCCTCAGTTGCCTGGTGTGGTGTGGTCTAACCATGGTAGTCTGGCAGACCTGTTAGACTGACTTCTTCCTACCTTGGTAGGGTTTCAAAACCAGCCCTACGGCTAGACCGTTGTGAGAGACTTCTCACTTTGATACCTAGCCGGCTTGGCACGGAGTTACTTTACAGGTGTAATTACCATCCTGACTTTCCTCCGGGATCACGCCCTAATTAATGTGGAGATGAATTGTCTACACTATATAATATCTCATGCCCGGCAGCGGCGGGCGAATCTGGTGGCATTGCTCGCCGTCTAGCACACCCGCTTCCTACATTGTGTCCATCTCCAGAACTGCCACTTTCTGCAAACGAAACTCGAGCACCATAACAGCCATGAAGACCGCCGCCGTCATCTCTGCACTCTTCTGCGCCACCCTCGCCATGGCAAACCCGCCTCCAACTCGGGTTGAAGTCAAGCGGGACCAATGCGTCGCAGCAGTGGGCACCAAGGAGAGCCCTGGGTGCTATTCACCACTCATTCTGAACTCATTCTACTCTACCGGCTGCCGCGATACGTCCCTATGCGAGCCCCAATATGAGTGCTGCCCCTAGCTTGCGTTGAGCGCTGCCCCTAGCTTGCGTTGAGCGCTGCCCCTACTAGCTTGCGTTGGAAATTTCAAGTTTTGATGGACAAGGCACGTCCGATGAGGAACCACCGGTACGTAAGTAAAGCGGTTTGATGCATCGCTGTGAGCTAAACTGACCCGGAGTTTAGAACCGCCTGCTCACAGCTCACCGCCGCCGTGGTATCCTGACTCAGAGCCGCTGAATCGAAGGCCAGACGGACCTGTCGATCCAGAGAGTCTGATAGCCTTCATAGCGTACCTTTTATGAATTAAAAACACATGGACATAATTACTTCGCTATTGGATCACCGGGATGAATGAACAGCCGATGTAGCAACACGCTGTGCCCCATACACATTTCCACGGTGTGCGGTAGGTCAACACAATCGTTTCCTTCAAGTGCCCCAGGCCAAGAGTGGTTGCTGCAGACATGCAGTGCTGTTCATGTCTGACCAAGCACGTAAGTTCTTGGAGGTCCATGCCCTCAGATCCGTCACGGCCTGGGGTCTTCTTCATGGTGACTTCTCCAGGCATGCAGTAGAAGTTCTCTCGCTCTGCTATCAACCACTCTATCCCTATCCCAGAAGATGTAGCCCCATTTCCTTATTTCTCCCGGAACTTCTCGTCCGTACCGGTTACTATATGTCCCCTTCCACATCAGACACCAGCAGAAAGGTGGACCTGATGAGCCGGCGCCAGAGTCACCCAGAAACAACATGGGCTCACGCTGAGATGCTCGTAGGTCATGGTGAGAGGGATGCCACGTGCGTCGAGAAGCACTCATGTAGGCTGATGACAAGAGATCGTAGGTAAGGCCTCTGCCTCCTTGTATACTCTTGATGACTACTCTTAGTCGAGCGTCCGGGCTGTCGCCAGATAGTGACAGGACATGAAGGAAGTATCTCAATCCCCTTGATACCGTGCACTGGATGAAGGATTCAACATAAGCTGGATACGTAGTGGTGTTAGCTTGGGCAGTTCAATGAAGTGATCCTGCCTTGAGTGTTTGGTACCTAGGCAGTGACACATTAAAAAAGGATACTAACTTTTGTAACTGTGCCGAGCGTCACCGTTGGCAAAAAGTCGAAGTTCCCCTTTGTGCTGCTCATCGTATTGGAATAGCGCTTTTCTCGTATTCTTGAAGAGGCGTTCGACAATGATCAGCATGTGTTGGTAGATGCAGAGCATCTCTTCGACCTCCCATGCCTCGAAAGTCTCATGGAACATGCAAACCATTTGCCAGGGAAGAGTATCCACAGGTGACCTGGTTGGGCCCATTCCAGAGCTAAAGGCTCCGAAACCGTAAATATTACACCACAGCTGAACGCGATACAGCGCGCGGGTAAGACGGACGGTTTCAGACTTTGTCATCGGCTTTTGACGATATTCTTTGCGGGTAGATTCGATATTGGCTTTCTCTTGCGCTGTCACGCCGTCAACTTGCTCGCCGTCTTCGTACGGCGCATGCCAGGAGTCGGATGGTTGACTTTGCTCATTCCCAAAAGTGGACGACGACTCGTTAGATAGTACCTCACAACTCCCAGAGCGTGTTGTAACTGATTTGTTCAGTTGTCTGCGGAGGTCGCTGAGGAAGATGCGGGAGAAGTAATCTAGTAAAGGCTTGACAACGGAAAGGTACCAGTTGCTCATTTCGACCAGATTATCAGTGCGCAGTTGTTCTTCGAGAAATGTTCCATGGGGCCATGAATCTCGAAGCTCTATGTACTTTGTCATGCTGGATTTTCGGGTGATTAGCAGCCAATATTCAACCATGCGGTCGCCAAACTGACCTGGGCGATAGAGGCCGACACCATAAGGCCTCACAAGGGGTCGTAGTCAAGGTACTTACAATGTAACGATCCTCTCTGAGTCCGTCTTTGTACCAGGACTATCGGGGGTGCCAAGGTCAATCTTCGCAACCTTGTGGGCGGCCCACATGTCGACAATAGCAGGCCCGAGCGATGTGTGAAGAGCGGCTCGCAACATCAGCCTACGATCCGCAAGCCGATACTGCCGATACAGAGCGGGCGAGGCGCGGACAGCTGCGCGAAGGTCTTCTAAGCCGAGCCCAGACTCGACTATTCTCAGTCGGATCTCCGGCGGTAGCCCTTCGAACGTGGGTAATGGATACACTCGACAGCTGGCAAAGTTTCCAACTGGCTCTATGAGGTTTCGTGATCTGGTGGGGTTTCCGGTGTCATGATCATTTGACTTGAGTCTTTTGCTCGGATGCTTGGAGACCTCGCTGTCGTCGTAATCATCCATCTTCCGACTTGGCGGTGGCTGTCGCTTTATTCTCGTGGGTTCTGGATCTGCTGAAGTCTCGTCCCATCTGCGGCTGGCGTGGCTGGGGCGGACTGACGTTTGACAGTGACGCAGAAAGGGTGCAAGGATTTGATGCAACCTGACAAGTTTAGTCACTGCAGCAGCAGCACTGTGCATGTCTCTTGCTGCATGTGCCGTGCGGATGCACGTGCAACGGAAGACCACCGTGGCTGACTGCGGGTTTGAACTTGACGATAGCCTTGGCCTTGTTCCTATGAATCTAAGCATTGGTCCAAACTCAATTTAGGATTCTCGAGGCCTCCAGTCGATACCGTGGCACACTTGTGTGTGTCCTCGCTGCTGTACAATCACTGGCACCTGTCTCGACCTCTTCTGTATACATGTGTTCCAGGGTTGCCGCATGAAGCCTACCTTAGCATACAGTCCAAGTCTCATGCCATCGTGTACGCCATTAAATTAACACAGCCATATCTTCAAAGAGCTTCATGAGTCCATAATAGAGCCCCCACAGGCTGCCTGCCCCCAGCACGTGGGCTGATAAGAGGCCTGGTTGTCCCTGACTTCCGGAGGAAGCCTGGGTACTCCAAGAGAAGTTTTTTCTACAGAGAATCTGAGAGACACTGTGGGCGTGGAGCGAAACCCAAGAAAAGCCTGTAATGAACGAAAGTTGGAATCAAGAAGTTCGTCCAAAAAGAAAGATTAATTACCTAGAGTAGGAGGGTAAGGTGCCCTGTTTACCTGATTATTTGGGCACGGGCGTCAAGATATCAGTCATCCCCACTCAAATCATCCCTCTCCTCTCGCCCGAAGCTCATGGCGTCTCCCTGAAGTCCCGAGAGCAGAGCCCGGAATGCCCTGGCACCATCGAGACGTGGACTTGGACACCAAGTCCCGAAACAGTGAGATTTACCCGGATCCTTCAGCCATCGAAACCCCTTTTGCACCTCTGGCACCCATCTCCTCTGCAAACCGCCCTAGTCGCAACCTGTGCCACGCCATCTAGTCCTGTATCTCTCATGATGAGTGGGTGGCTGATGTTGTGTAGCTTTGCGGCTCAATGCTGTCTTCTCGGCAAAGAGTGAGCTGTTCAACCTTGCGTTGATCATCTGCCCGTCAGTCGATGAAGAAGAGGTGCCAATTTTCCCTCATCCCCAGGTACCACAGTCTCTCGTAGCACACCCCGGTTATGACTTGATGCACAGGAAGGTAGTTTCCTTGCCTAGCGTTGCCATTGCCGATCGACCCCTCAGGGGTTGACTGCCAAGAGTTGTTCATGGCGACTCCGGCTCTTCATCCCGCTCGGGCAAGGTGACCTTCAAATCCTGACCATGCTGCTTGCTCACAATTGCCTGAATATCCGCCACAGCGGCTGCGAGCTTGGTAGCACCGTGTTGAGAAAACAGTTTCCAGAAATAACGCGGCTCCCTGTTGGACACGCCGCGCCATGCTCCCCGAATCTGCTCTGATTGCTTCATAGGCATGGGGTCAGCCATGCCGTACGTGACATCGAGCTGGCTTGACTCGCTTCGCAAGCTGAGTTCGGTCATAATGCTGGGACAAAGGATGTCGACGCAGTGCTGGGTGACCACAATGTCCCCGATTGCTGGCAACACGACAAGTGTTGCAGCAACTGCGCTTAACACATCCTCAAAGTTATTTCCTCTGCGTGGAAAACCTTCTTGCTCATAACATCCCCCGGCATAAATCATCTGAAGGTTGGGCCAAGTTATCGTGCCCGTGCTGTGCCCGAGAGTGGAGAGGCCACGAAGGAATCCAGCTATGTCCCTATCAACCAGAGTGAGGCGCTCAATGCTTTGACTCCAGTTGCTGACCCATGGGAGGGAGTTCTCCAAATGGCTGTCTTGGTTTTGCCCATGGAGAGAATAGACACGTATGAGTGAAAGCACCTTTATTCTGGGACAATCGCTGACCTGTGCGACTGTATCAATTGTTAGTGGACTCATAAATTTTGCTAGTACTGGATGTGAAAATGGGCGCAAGACCTACAATCTCGAGCTTCACTTGTAGCAACAGGCGCTGTTAAGTCTGGCGTATCCAGACAGAGAGATGCACGTTCCAGGTTGGGCAGCCGGCTGAACAGACTCAGCAGGGAGGATGGACTCAGATTCAGGAAATCCTCTCTGTTTTGGATGAGGCTGAACGAGCTGCCAATAGGTCTGGGTCCCCTGAAATGCTTTCCCTGAGAGAACGTGCAAACTGCATTCGTTATAGGGATGCGGGAGAAGTCGCAGTCAAACGTGTGACTGCCAAGACCCATGATCTTTGGGTATGTGATCTTTGTGTAGCATTCGATACCTTTTCTGACTGGTCTGGGACATGTGGAACTGCAATGATCCACACACTCAAGGAGAGTGGACACAGAATGGACAATGAACTCGCTGACCCGTGATTTGATGTCAGAGGAATTGATGAGATGCTGGGCTTGTCCATCAGGGGAAATGACATTGTCCTTGATCGAAATCCAAAGAATGACCTCTGAGAGTGAGTCACGACGAAGTTTGCTGAGCATCAAACGGAAGGTGACCAGATCATCGGCAGTAAGGGAGAGGGATCCCCAGAGCTCAGGCTGGGGCTCCAACTCTTGCTGCCATTCGCTGTGGAGTCCTGCAAACATTGCAAAATTGTGGGCTCGATATCCGCTTGAGGGGTTTGCGTCACGCCAGTTTGCGATAAATCCGCGGATGATCTTGATTCTCCTGATAGTTATGTGTCAGCCACTCTTTGCAGACGATGGGAGCAGAACCTGGAGACAGAGCAAGATAGTACTAACAGTTCACCTGGTAGATCAGGGTAACGATCAAATGTGGCCAGGGCCTCTTTGTCGGCACCGTCACTGCTTGATGCGGGCATGGCGACTGTGAGATTGGAAGATGGCAGGTGAGAGCTACCAGGCAGAGTGCAAAGTCGTTGTGGTAGAAGCTGAAGAAAAAGTCGGAGTGGACCGCAGAAAGAAAGCAGGAAGGATGTGCGAAACCTGCTACAAGCCCAGGTGTTCAATCAACAGACCGTGGGCGGTGTAGAGTTGTCTGCAAGAGCAGCCGACCAGGGAGCGGGCAGAACCAGCCTTGTTTGCCTCTGGTTTCCCGCGATTGTTTTTGGCTTGCCCGGACAGCTACCCTGGGAGAGCTACCTCGGGACAGCTACCCCGCATTGGCTGGTGAAGAGGCTCAGAGTTGGCAGACTGACCTTCCCAGGGTAGCTGGTACATCTCAGTTAATCAGGAAACGGTGATGAGCAAGTTGAGCAAGGGGCCAAGCTCACTGAATGCCCATAGCCCGTCGCATAGCCAACACTGGCCACTGAGTGGTTCTCCTTCTTAGGCAGCTTTTTACAGGCACTTCTGGCCCTAGAATCACGCGCAAGGACATCCACTGGGTGAAAAGGTGCGTAAGCATAAGCATGAGCAACTTCAAGCTGTTCTTTGGTGTCCACTTCTCGTTTGTCTAATGAAGCTACCGAGGTCGTGTGATCACATCAAAGCACTTAGAACTGATGAGCTTCACAAACAGGCCGACATGCTGGACGACCAGACTACATCATCAACCAGTTGCCAGCCTAGCTACTCTCCTTGGCTGCCTCTGCTTTCTCAAGAGGGTCATCGGCAGCAGAAGTGGCCTCTGGGTCTCCTCCAGTTGCCGCAATGGCGTCTTCCAGTTCCGCCTCTGACTTTATGAGCCCATCCTGAGGAGCTTGCCCGCTCTCCTTCTTCGCCTCAGCCTTCTCGAGGGGGTCATCGGCTGCGCTAGTAACTTCGGGGTCTGTAAGGCTCATGGTCATTAGCAATGCCCAGTCGGCCAGTCCTCTCCCCAGGGCAGGCTGAAGCTTGTTTACCTTGGGTAGGTGCCATTGTGTCAAGTGGTTCGATTGGATTTATTGTAAGGGTGTTTTTCAAAGTCCTTAATTTAAGAGAGTTGAGAATTGTAAACTTCAACACAAGAAACAAAGTGGGTTGGGATTACTCTTAAATGCTCTCATCAAAGTTGGACAACTCTTGCGACAAGCAGCACAAGCCACCAGATTATCAGTCATGCGCCACGCCCTTGTGTGGCGTCGAAAACCAGCGTCATTTGCGGTCACAAGCTTGCTTCAATGCCCAATGGAAGTGGAGTGACGTCAAAACAGACCTACCGTTTGTCAGTCCAGGGGCAAGCTGGAAACACCCGATTGGTGACCTAATCTAAATCCTGCCATGCTTGGCCAGCTACTCATCCTAGCCGCAACCACCTCAGATGTTAGTCCCACCATGAGTGCTCGTCATACTGACAGAGCTCCAACTGAAAGAGCAACCTTGGAAGACTACCTGTGCTCATATCCACATCCACTGTGCCACATCAAGCCGATAATAAGAAGGAACTCCAGGGTTATTTGGATTTTGGTGCGTTTTCGTTCATTTGCGATACGTGCTAATATGGCAAATCATGGTACAAGCAACTCAGGTCCCAGTGGCCGTGGTTTTGACACCCTGAGGGATCGGAGACAAACATGCATTTTCACTGAATTTGCACCAGCCTACTCCACGCATTTACTGTCATATTGTCTGAATTGATGTTAGGTAGGCGGGGCCGGCGCAGCATTTCATTTGGCACGGCAGAAAGGTCGGGCCGCATGTAGCTCGATGGAGTGAGAGCCGTGTGCTGTCGTATATATGGGGCAATGAACAGCAGCGAGTCATCAATATTCATCGGAATGAACACGCAGGTCAAGCGGCTGGCGGTGACTGCCGTTCGTGGCAAGCAATACCGAGGGACCCAGGAAGAAACCTGGAATACGGCAGTTTCAAGGCCTACCAGAGCTGCCTACAGCCTGACGGCTATCAGGAATTGACGAGAATCTCCACATCATCGAGACAAAGCATAAAAGCCAGGCTCACGCTCTCCTCCATTCCTTTCCATAGAGATACTAAGCCGATCTCGAAGACCCAATCACTGACAAAGTCATCTGCTCTACCAGGATGGTGGCACTCGCCTGGAGCAATTATAAGTAATATGTCATGTGTCAGTCTTACCACTCCACTTGTTGGGCAAGGGACATTAATGTCTGGCCGCTGATGGGCAAACCAGGCCGAACCATATGATATCATCGTCAAGGTCAGACCAGTCGTCATGGAAATGCTTCCTTGTACTGAGGCTAACGGTTGCCTCGCAGGGGCTCTCACAGAAAACACTGTACAGCATTGTGTGATGGTGATGGTGACCGCTGAAAGCCTTGCAAATGGACTGAGTCCAGTCTTGGGTGCTGAATCGTAAGACATTGGTGAAGGGAGGTGGTTCCTCTGGGCACATCTGCCCAGGCGGTTGAAGGAATCACTAGCAGGAACTCGTATGCATCAGGGACGAGACCCAAATATGGAGTGGAACTTCACAAGAAACTAGCTTCACAAGTTAGATCGCTGAAATTTGCTGTGAAACCCCAAGGTTTCTGGAAGAAATCATATTTGCTAGACACCTTTCACCGATAGGGCCCCTTTTTCCCATTACCAGAATGCAATGCCAATGTTTATGCTGCCAGAATGCAATGCCCTATGCCTTTCTCTACCAGAATGCAGATATTGAGGTGAAACAAACCCAATTTGTACAAATGAATCCCCTTGAAAGTAAAAAGGCCGTTTCATCAATTAGAAAACGTGACAGAACGGGCGGTGGCACAGCCTGAAGTGTCAATGATGGACCAGAGCCCACAGTTGGACTGAGGAACCAGGCCGATGGAGCAGCCGGGCAGGATGCCAGTCAGGGTGACCGCCCGGCCGTAGTTGGCGGGACTATTCTGGACAGACCCGGCGAAGGACGAGATCTGGCCATTGACAATGGCGAATCTAGGTAACCGTCACATTAGTACTGCACAGTGGTCTGGTGCAAGGATGGGCAGGCTTACCCCTGGAGGTCACAAGTGCCACCCTGGCGAGCCTCAATGTCACGCTTCTCCGGTGCTTCGTCGAGTCTCACGACGGCCGTGTCCAACAGGGCGAGGTAGGCAGGGTCGACCTCACCCAGGGTGACTTCATATGTGTCAACGGTGGGGTACTGCTGGCGGGGCTGGAGAGCTGGGGCGGCAGAGACTGAGGCAACGAGGGCCACGAGCACATTGATGTAAGAGGGTTGCATTGTGGGCTGTGAGTATTCCTAAGTTTTCTTTTGGTGTGTTGATACGATCAGGTGTGATGTGGATCAGGTTGCTCGTCGGGTTGTCGTGAGGGAATGGTACAGACACTTATATACTTTTCTCTTTCAGCACCAAGGCATCGTTCTGCGACACGATGCCTACGGTAACGACCCGGCCTAATGCTTCCATATCTCTCTCCTGTGGATCCAATGAGACTCTGATACGGCCCCCAAGCCTCACCATTCCTCAGCGGGCATATGCCCGTGATGGAACAGGCACCCTCACCCAATCAAGTGCAAAGTCTATCTACTCCTGTAGCTTCTGTCTTCTTGTCAACAGGATATTATTTCAAGATTGATATACTAGTTCCAACATCATGGGGTCGGGTGGAGGACGGTAACGTTGGTGGGTTGCGGCTGCAACCTACGACGGAGGCGTGCTCGATCTCGGAGAGCGGGTCTGGTCACGATGAAGCGGAGACATTGCTACGGAACAGGGAAGCCGGTCCTCTATCGGTTTCTCTAGTATGATACTTATCAACATCATGTGTATATCATCCAACAATGCTTGGGCTCATGAGTGCCTTCTGATGTGCGTTTCGCGTCTCCCCATTTCATGGTAGCTGTGCTCAAAGCATACAAATCTTTTCAACGAGTGTTTTAAAGTCTGAAATCAACTCTAACTGACGCTGTTGACTCGCCAGACTTTGTAGAGGAATCCGTAAGAGCATAAGGAAAGCATGCCGATTGGCAACACTGCAGGTGTATTGACGCCGGACCTTGTTCGTGGCCAGACTGAGCACGCGAGCGAGGGGTGGCGATCTAACAAGACTTCCGTGATCTCCTCAACAGTCTTCCTTACGAATATACAAAGTGATTGTGTTGGTGGTTGCTAGCTCATAGCGTGTGGCTCGGATATTGGCTTTTCGACGTGATTATCTTGCAGGAGTCTACTGTCGAGGGGTCGACCACTCGATCATACCTCAGCGCCGAGGCTCGACACCAACCCGACCCTCGTACCTTCCTGATTTGGTGACAAGTCCGCTGAATTATCAAGTGGAGTTTTGTTCCCCGCCAGAATAAGACCCAAGCAATCGTATCTGGAGCGGGCATGCATGTGGTTTGCTATGATCGGGATGCTAGCAAGAAAATAAAACAGAAGCACTTCCTTCCACGCAGTGAAGACAACAAGCGTAGCCCACTATACTCCTTAGTCTTCCGATTGGCTACAGCCACCATCCATCAGAGGGCTAGGAACACGGCAGAGTGGAGATGCTAATGATTGAACCAGAATCGGCGTGGGCCCCTATCCAACTCATACCCTGTTGCGGAGGAGAGCTTGCCGCTCGGGCGGGCGCTGTTGAATCCGGCAGGGTGCAAAGCAAGGCTTTTTCCTACCAAAGGGAGTGGTGCCGGAAGTCCAGGCTCATCATATCGATGTCTGACAAGACCATGTGGTCTCGAACCTTGTGGCGGACAAGCTCATCCATCACGATATGGCAGCCCGCCAACACAATCACTGGCATATGCAAGCCTGACAGGCACGCCACTGAGCAGTCAGTCAAAAACCAAATTCTCCTAAGGGCACCCCCCTAGTCTACAGGCATATAGCTTCAGACGACGTCGCATCACTCCCCCTCGGCAAACAATAGTTTGTACTGGGCTTCTTCATTAGGCAAGGCAACAAATGCCAAGACCTCTCCTCTGAGTCTTGTCGTCACCTCGAATGGAGTTCGCCGAGACCAACCTTAAAGTTAGACTTATCTGATGTAACGGGTCGGAATACCGAATGCAACCCCCACGCCGTGCCGCAAGCCATTTTAATCGTGAACGGCTCTGGGCCCGGCTAGTGGCTAGATCGCGGGGCGTCTAGATCGATGTTATCTGCCTCCCGTGACCGAGCCGGAGAATATGCACGAGCTTCGAGATCGCTGGGCGCTTGGAATCTTCTTGGCCGGACTCCGGCCCTACCCGGATCAGCGGAGGCCCTAGAGACGTTCGCCCTCAGTCTGCATGGGAGGGCTCAAAAAGCTCTTCTTGAGAGCTAAGTTGCCGGGTCGAAGGCAATGATCGTAAAGTACGCTTCGCAACATCATGTTGAATATTCAGTCCCTCTAGCTTTGAACACGTTCCAGTGAGTCTGGTGTCATTGTCAGTGAGACTGAACGTGGATGATATTCTTGGAACTGCGCCCTGTCAATCCCCTGTTAGACCAATACTACATGGGATGGTACCCACAATTGCGGACAAAGAATTACTCGTCGGGCCGAAACTGTGAGCTGGGTATTTGTAGTGCGTGTTCCCCGTTACCCAAGACACGGCCGGCCTACAGTTCCAAAATGCTCCTTCTCTCGGATTCCGACACAGATTTTGACGTGTTCCGGTACCTGCACTCCGTCGGGTGTCCATAGTAGGTCAAGAATCACAATGAGCTCCCCCCAGCCTGCTAATGGAAGTGTCCACTGCGCGGATATCGGCAGGGCCGCACACCTTGGATGGATTCATCCATTGATCCGGTCCAAGAGAACTTGATCCACCGGGCCGAAGTTGGCTCTCGCGCCCCATTTCTGGTGGACGTCGTTGGTGGCCTAGGGTAGAAGTTGACCGAATTCAAGACCCAGTTCTCAAACAAATACGGCGTGAATAGACTTGCCTTTAAATAGTTCCCCTAGTCGCGGCTCACCAAAATGATGGACTGCAAGAGAATCTGCCTCGAAGACCACCGCAGTTACATCAGATACTCGAGGGCCTGACCAGACCAATGAGCGGCAGGTCCCTGTGAGTTCCACAGTGATAGACAGCCTATCAAGGAGCCGCGAGCCCACTTGATGCATTACATTATGCACAACTTGGTCGACCACGTTTGCGAGTCCATCCTTTCTCGCGTGGTCGAGGATTTGAGACCCGGTCATACCAAGTAGCTCATGGACGACGTTGTCATACCGTCCATGGGAACGCACAGCTGAGACGTGCTTATGATAACTCTCTCGTCTGCTTTGGAACGGACTGAGGCTCAACTGTCTAAACTCGTTGAGGAAGGTGGGCTCAGTCTAAAACTGTGAAAATGTCATTGTGTCTCTGCCACGTGCAGAGCATGTGAATCAGTGCAGAGAACAATAAGCCCCGCTAGTCAAAGTTCAGGATAGACGGCGCCCTTAGCATAGCCTGAGCTGCCTGAATTCATCGCTTCCATGCTGCTGAAACGAAGTGGATTGCCGGTGACAAAAACCAGGTCGCTGGCGGCCGCGGAAACGCCAAGACAGACATGGATGGCAACGCGGGGAGCGATGAGCCGAAAGGAGAACACCAGCCCATGCCTTTCCATTGCCCCTAGCTTCCCATGGTTCGGCCGCGGATGAAACCTTTTCCCTCCCCGTAAATCTTCTGCTGCTCCGGCGCATGTAAACCCTGGCTCATGTAGCAACGAAGCGGACGGTCCGGGAATTTTATTGGTTTGACAATGTGGCCCTGCACCGACAGGGCAGATCTTTGGTAAGTCAAACGTGCTCTGGCCATTCTCTGCAACAGCTATTGCAGCACATTTCCGGATGAACATTGTGTCCTTTTGCTGTCGGCAATTGCGATGAGCGGGTCTGCGGTATCAGTATGCGCAGGACGGCAAACAGGCTGAAAATGCCATACTCATCGTGGCACAGATGATTCCACACGATCGGCCGAGTGATGCCCCTGTCTCAGAAAAACGAGAGTTGCCCCCGTTTTATTACCCCTGTCAAAAATTTTAAAGGTTTATTAAAAAGTAGTCTTCTTTTAATAACTCTATTAATACTTAACTTAAAAATATAGAGAAATTATATTTATAATCCTTATAAAATTTTCTATAAGATTAAATTTTTAAAATAATTTTTATTAAAAGTTTATTTATTACTAAAGTTATAAACTAAACTACTTAATAGGTCCGTATACTTACTTATCTTATCAGCCTAATAACCTCTATACCTTATATAAAAAAGATTTAATAATAAAGATTTAAAAAATATTACTATATAAAGGTTTTAATAAGGATTATAAATATATTTTTTATATATTTTTAAGTTAAGTATTAATAGAGTTATTAAAAGAAGACTACTTTTTAATAAACCTTTAAAATTTTTGACAGGGGTAATAAAACAGGGGGGGGGGCAACTCGTTTTTCTCAGACAGCCAAAGTGGCTAATTCATTCATGCTTTGGAGCCCTGGACACGAGAAGTAAGCTCAAATAGGTAATCACGTACTAAGATAAGAGTTTAAGCCCGATTAATAATAAACGTCTCTTTTCGGTCCTGAACAAACAAAACGCCGAGCCTTCTCGTGAACCACAACATAGACCAGCGAAGCCATAGAACAACCAACAATAGAACCAACTACTCCCGTAAAACATGCCCTCTTATAATGGGCTTGTGCTATTAAGCACACTACCGCTTGCCTACATTATCTCGACTGTGGTCTACCGCCTCTACTTTCACCCCTTGGCGAAATATCCTGGGCCATTCTGGGGGAAAATTTCCGAGATCCCTTCGTACTGGCACGCGGTGAAGCAAGATCGCCATCTCTGGCTCTACCAGCTTCAAGAGCAATATGGTACGTATTAAGCTTGACTGAGTCACCTCCTTATTCAATGCCACAAGACTCACAAGACGTCCCAGGACACACATTTCGGTACAGCCCAAACAGCCTTCTCGTGAACAACCCCGACGGGTTCAGGTCGGTGTACGGCCCGAAAGGGAACGTGAAGAAGGGACTGTACTATTTGATCTGGCCACGCAATGTTGACACCCTGACTACCCTGAACGTGATCGACCACGAGGTCCATGCGCGCAAGCGGCGAGTCCTGAATAGTTCGTTCTCTGATAAGGCACTGCGGTCTGCGGAGAAGTTTGTGCTCTCAAACACCAACAGGTGGTGCGACCTCATCGACGGGAATGCCGAGCAGGGCGGTGGTGGCGACGGATGGTCCGCCTCCCTGAACATGACGGACTGGGTCAACCACCTGGTCTTCGACATCCTTGGAGACCTATGCTTCGGGAAGCAGTTCAACATGAAAGAGCCCGACAGTGAGCTTCGATACGTCCCAGAACTGATAGCCGGATTCATGCAGTTCATGCACCCCATCGCGTGGTCCCCAATCGCTGGATTCTGGGCCTGGCTTAAGCCCCGAGGCCTGGACAAGCTCCTGGAACTCGCCACGCCGCCCGCACTCAAGAGGTGGGAGAGCTTCGTGGAGAAGTGTCTGGCAGAACGCACCAGGGAGGAGCAGGCGCGGGAGGAACAGCTGCAGGCCGGCCTCGTCGCCGAGGGCGAGACGCGCAAGGATTTCTTCCACTACATCTACCACGCCGAGGACCCGGAGACGGGCACGCGCGGCTTCCCCAAGCACGAGATGTACGGCGAGACGGAGCTCCTCATCATCGCCGGCTCCGACACCACGGCCATCGTCATGGCCGGGCTGCTCTTCTACCTCGTCCGCAACCCTGCCGCGTATGCCAGGCTCGTCGACGAGGTGCGGTCTGCGTTCTCCAGCTCGTCTGAGATCCAGTCCGGGCCTAGGCTACAGTCGTGTAGATATCTCCGGGCCTGCATCAACGAGGGGCTCCGCATGACGCCGCCCGTCGCATGCGAGCCTCTCCGCGAGGTGATGGCGGGCGGAACAGACGTTGACGGGGAGTCCTTCCCGCCGGGCGTAAATGTGAGCGTTGCGTTCTACTGCCTCAGCCACAACAAGGACGTCTACCCCGAGCCGCACAAGTTCAGGCCGGAGCGGTGGCTAGTCGACGAGAAGGCGGGCATCACTGAAGAAGACGTGGCCCGCGCCGAGAGCGGCGCCTGCTCCTTTTCCATGGGTAGTCGTGGATGTCCTGGGAAATACCTGGCCTTGATTGAGATGACCATTGTCATGGCCAAACTTGTTTATCTGTTTGACATGAGGGAAGACCCCGACAAGAAAGTGGGCGGTGGAGGCCCAGGCAAGGGACCAGGTCGCGAGAACCCTGACCTCTATCAGACATACGATATCTTCGTGTCTCTGCATGATGGGCCCATGATCCAGTTCAAACGCCGGGGGTGATCAACAAGATCGGGAAGCTGATTGCTAGGGCGGATGGAAGAGGATCCTTCAATCCAGTGCAGAATGCACAGAGCGCGCATGGCCCTACATGGGTTAAACTGGTGTTTCCTTATTCGTTGATGTCTTCTGTATCGTCAATTCTCTCCTCAGCTTGTTGTTTCCTTTTTCCTTTTCTCTCCCAAGCATCCATGTTGGTTTAATGAGAGTATTGGTGAGGGCACAGAAACCGTCGGGATCCCGTCCGTAGAACATGTGAAAACCCTTGAGAAGTCCACGCTTACAAGCAGCTGCGCATACTTTTGACTGCCGACCTGACTCATGCTGTCAACATCGGCGTGATCCGCATCTCGAAGACGCTCTTCACCGCCTGCGCGCCAATACCAGGCAAGGCATTCACCATCCAGCTCTTGAGGTTCTCCCACGCCTCCCTGATCAGCCTCATCAGCGCCCCGAACGCAGAGCGGAACCAGCCCCAGACCGTGTCCCAGGGGATGAAGTAGATGGCGGCGGCGGCCCCGACGCCGGCGAGGGCGATCTGGCCGGGCCCGGACAGGCAGAAGAGGCCCGCGCCGATCCTGATGGCGCCGTCGATGCCCGACTCGGCCACCTTGGTGGCGACCTGGATGGCGATGCCGCCGGCGTAGCACTCGACGACCGAGGCGAGCGTGGCGGTCCCCGCGGCGACGTCGAGGAGCTTGTTGACGGGGCTGCGCCACTTGTTCCACTCCGGGTTGCCCTCGCACTTTGCCTCGCACATCTCCCTGAAGTGCTTGGCGACCTCCTCGCGCTGCTGCTTGGAGATCATGCCCATGGCGTCGCGCGCCGTCCACGGGATCCCCATCGACACCTGGATGATGACGTCCGGGCCCAGGATGATGTTGTGGTCGCCGACGTTCTTGGTCTGCCACTCGTCCAGGCGGATGCCGCAGAAGGTTGAGGCCCCGTTCACCACGAGCTTGCTGTTGCCCTCGACCGTCCCCGGCACCTTGGACACCTCGGCGCACCGGATGATGTACAGGTTGTCGATGTTCTCCGGCACGGTGAAGGTGGACGTCTGCAGGTCGACGTAGCGGCTGATCAGCAGGAACAGCTCGTGGACCTGGCCGTCACTGGCGGTGTTGTCCATCTCCTGCTGCAGGCTCTCTGGCGTGGTGAAGCACATGGCCGCCTTGGCTGGTGATGGGTAGCATGTTAGTGACATTTTGGGTAAACAACACCAGGTATGAGATACCTAGGTAAGGATAAGCATGGCTACGTACCCTTCTTCATCTTCCACCATCGCGGCTTGGCCTTGTTCCTGAGGGGCTCAATGGTGCTCTTCCTGACCACCGGGAGCAGGACAGCCCCCTCGTGTGCCTTCCATCGCTTAATGCCCTGATACACTTGGTCACACTCCAACTGAGTTGACGAGCGGACCTCCTCCACTTTTGACTCGCTTGAGCTCTGCTTGGTGAGTGAGCTCTGCTTGGACAGTGAGCTTTGTTTGGAGAGCGACGAGGTTGTCCGTCGGACCAGGGTCATTGCAGACATTTTGTGATAGTGCGTCTGCTACCGGCGCAGACTTGGATTGAAAAAAGAGTGCTGTTTTCCCTCGAGAGAAACGTATAACAGACCAGTGCTAGGATTGTTTGCTTGATGAGTCAATGGGTCCGGCTCCAGGTTCGTGGAATGGCCATGGAACGGCGTTCAGATAAAGACTCAATGCCCCCTGCATAGCGATGGGGTCACAAGGACCGTCCCGGTAATTCCGCGAGGCCTTGGTCGACTCCATTTCAGGTCCATGTTCAAGAGAGGATATCGTTGTTGCTGTCCATGGGAATGGCTTACTTCATTGGGCTAGGGGGAATCCTGGTGGAGGCCAGGGGCCACTTCATCGACACGTGTATGGTTGGTGGTTCATGCAATGCGGGCTCCACTGCTTACTGTCATCGCAAGGGAATCCGGGACAACCCTCTCACCGCTCTGGGTCTTGTTTCTCGACGGCCCACTGACACCACAATCGATAGGGCAGCGAATAGCGCGGCTCAAGGAACATTATGATTCCTGCCCAGGTTTCCCGCAGTGGGGACGAGGGATCGTGAGATCTTGGGACAGAAATGTCCGAGGCACCGAGCATGGGTTAGGGTTCCAGTGGTCTTGGAAATGAGAATCATGCGATGTCCGTTTGCCCCAATTCGGAGTCACTTTTGGGGTGGTTGTTTGCCACTCACGTCACGAGACACGGAATCCGTAGTCCACCTTAAGTGGCGATGCTTGATATTATTGGATTGAAGGGATCAATGTTCTGTAGTTTCCAGCGGCCTCATTCTCCTATCTACCAGGCATTGAATCGCCCGCCCAGACAGCGTCCTATTCGCAGCCAAATTGCCCAGGTATTCCTCTCAGCATGGGTATACCTTTGACAGCAAATCGCTTCGAGATGTGAAAAATATCTGGGCGAGGGCGATGGGAATGAGCGACGAAATGATTTGAAGGACGTCTGCCATGGGATTAGTGACTGAGACAAGACAGAGAGAGGTTCTCGTACATGTGTTCAGGGAAAAGGGAACTCTGGGTACCTGGGTAGCTCTCACTTATTCCCTGAGCGAGGCAAGACTTTTTACCAAAGGAGTTTCCCTGCTTTTCCAATGAAGACATCTACTGCCTTGTTGCCACAGCAGGTTCCAAAAATCAACCACTCGAACCTTCTGTTGTGAAGGACGGTGACCCAAGAGTCGTTCTTCCCACCCACTTAAGACGGGCAGCAGAATTTGTCCTCCAAGTCCTATCAAAGCAAAAGTTGGTCAGCCCCCTTCTATTCCAGACAGCTGAGAAGTGCTTTCTATTTTTGGAGGTGGTCTTACGTTGCCGCAGACCATGCAGGTTGGCGCCCAAATGGCCCGAGTACACTGGGTACAGTTCGCGAATGAGCAGCAGCGTAGTGGCGCCATGGGGGCGAGGGCAGCTGCAGAGACGAGGCTGCTGGCCATTCCGACGGCGACGACGATAGCGATCTTGACGTTGTTGAGCTGCATGTTGATAGCTGCGTCGGGTCAGATGTAGTGTTGATGTTTGGTCTCGTGGTTGCTTCCCAGTGTTGGTTACGGGATCGATCCACTCTGCGGCTGGCGGGTTGATGGGTGTGAGGTCGTTCCGATGGGTGAAATGGTGAGGGCAAAGACGAGGGAATTTATCTGGATTATTCGCCGCGGGAGCTGTGCTGTGATTCACCCCGAATAGCGATGCATCGCAGTGACGGGGACGCTTTCCTAAGGCACGGCCGGCTTCCGTTTGGATGTCATTCAGGTCGGCTTCACCCAAACGAGGTTGAAGCCACACCTGTGGGCTCGGGATGGGATGATCGGAACACTGTGTTGTATTGGGAATATGGGTATAAAATTTATCAACCACGCAAAGCCTAAGAGCTCATTCGGCTTCCTGAATCCATGGAACCCAGGATCACGGCTATCATGTTGCTGGGCTGCTTGTACAACCTTGGAACCTCGCGACACCCGCCAATCACACCATAACGACGGTACAGCCGCGATCTCGCTCCACCTCATCTACTGCTTGGTCTTCTCCGAGGCATTGTCCGGCACATCCGTGACCTTACCCTCGATCGGCTCGCTGAAGGCGTCGGCCTTCTTCATGCCGAGCATGCCCTTGGTGACGCGCACGATGCTGTGGCGGCCCTCCCACAGCGGGAAGATGCCGACCGCGCCGGAGCTGCCAAAGATCCAGATGATGCCCACCGTCACCCAGCCCGTGAAGAAGGGCTTCGAGAACACGTAGCCAGACCCGTACATGGGCATCGGCCACAGGACCAGGAACGACACGGCCATCACCACGGTGAGCCACTTGGCCAGCTTCGACGCCTTGTTGAGCTTGACCATGTCCTGCTCCGGCGCCATGAGCGTGACGCCCGGCGGCGGCGTGCTGACGCCGCCCTCCAGCCCGCGGCCGCCCTCGTCGCCCGAGGACGAGGTGTACGCGTCGTCGCCCTGCTTGATGGCCGCCATGCTCGACCAGTCGTAGTTGTCGGCGCCGAAGCCGAACGTCAGGATGGGCACGAAGACGAGGGGGCTCAGCAGCGCGACCACGTTGCCCGCCAGCATGGGGTTGTTGGAGCCCAGGTTCTCGATGGAGAGCACGCCGTCGAACTCGCGCGCGCAGGTCACGGTCCACGCGACGAGGGCGCACGCCAGGCCCAGGATCGGGGACCCCGCGGCGGCGATCCAGTTCTGGCGCCGCCAGAAGAGGGTCAGGGTCGCTGGGATGACGGCGGCGCTGATCATGACGCCCATCCAGAGCTGTGTGTATGTGTGGTTAGTGTCGGAGGGCAGGTTCCATGGGATGGGACGCGGCGATGACTTACGTAGAGCCAGCCCATGGAGATGCCGGCGTGGTACATGCCGACGGAGAAGCCGGCCATGATCAGGCCATAGGCACACACGGCCGTGTGCGAGACGGCGATGAGTCGCTTTCCAGGGGCGGCTGGGTTGATGTACGTCCTGGGGTGTTCGGTAAGTGGCTGCGTCGCCAGGTTTGACTCCACAGGTAACTCACTGGTAAATGTCATATGTGACGATAGAAGAGACCGCGATGAGCTGTGCTGAGAATGCAGAAGTCACGGCCACTAAGCCACGCGTGTTAGTGTCCGCCACGACCACAAACCGAGCCGCGGGAGTGCTATCTTACTGAAGATCATAATGAGCGTGCAAATAGCACCCGATTTTCCCAGGAGACCGATGGCCGCATAAGGGAGCACCAGGCCCGCTGTGATATCAGCAGGCAGCATGCGGTCAGGATACGTTGGGAAGGCCGGGGTGCCCTCGAGGGCCAGGGCCGAGAGACCCATCGTGGTGGCACAGAGCCATGGAATCGCGAACCAGGCGAGACCGCCGATGATGTACCCGGGGAGGGCATGGACAGGAGAAGCAGCGATGGCCTTGTTGTAGTAGCCTTTGGGGGTGTCTGTGGTCAGTCACCTGCCCAAAAATACGATTGGACATGCCATCAAGGAGCGGAACTCACCATTGTCCATGAACACAGTTCCGAAGTTACCTAGTACAAGTTAGCAGACATCTTCAAGTGAGTATGACAAAGTCACTGTCTTCCGGAAGCTCTGCGGTTGCGATTCTGTACTCACCCACAATGTTGATAACGAAGAAGATGGCACCCTCCTTGGATCGCATGGTGAGATAGGAGCCCTCCGCATTTCCTTCAACGGGGTGTGACGCCGACGCGGCCATGAGACGGTCGTAGACGATCGAAGGGGATCCCAGCTCGCTCCCCGTCGCATAAGCAGTAAGAGCGAAGATGAGGATGATCACCAGGATGATCACGGTGTGAACATAATCGGTGAGGAAGGTGGCCTTGATTCTAATCATGGGAGTCAGTGTCATGCCCGCTTCGGTCCCTGCAGTTGCAAGCGGAGACATCTGGATATCACGAGCTTACCCGCCAAACATTGTGTACAGCACGACACCCAGGGGCAGCAGGAAACAGGCTGCCTCGGTTGACATGCCGGTCAGGGATGTCACCACAGCTGAACCGCCCACCACCAGCATCAGGGTGACCAAGATGTTGGTGAAAAGGCCAAAGCAGATGAAGACGCAATGCGTGGTTCGGCCTGTACAGATGTTAGCAAGTGGGTCCCTCCTACTCACGGCCCTGATCAAAAGTCGGAAGCAGAACTAACCATATCGTGCGCGAATGACCTCCAGCACAGTGTGGGCATTGGGAGCCCGTCTCTTGAGCTCAATGGCAAGCGTGGCGAATAGGATAATCTGGACTGTGGCACCGGATGCGTACTGCGAGTGGAGGTCAGCATCCCCGCGGGCTGAGAGCCTGGCAAAAGAGGTATGGTGCGGTATGACTGACCCAGAAAGGACCGGAGACTCCATATCGATACGCCACTCCCGAGGACTGTAGTAGCGTAGCGGCCCAAGTCCAGGATGAGACAACAGCAGAAGCGACGAGGCCAGACTTGACCGTCCTGCCGGCGGTGTTGAACATCTCAGAGGTCTGAGACTCATGATTGTATCTGCACCGCACCAACACGTTATTCAGAAAACAGTTCGCAGCCAGAGAGCAGTAGGGAAATCCGGGCTGTCGAGGGGCATGGATTGGCAGAGCATCTTACCTCTTCAGAACCCAGGTGGTGAGAATCATTCCCAGGGCAAACAGAAAGCCGAGGCCGACAATGATGCCGTAGCCATAAGCCTGGCTGAGAGGGGGGGCTACAGCGCCCGAAGCTGGACCACCGCCACCAGCCATGATGACAGGCTTGCGTTCGGAATGTTGAGGGCGACCGTGCGCTCAGAGGGATGGACCGAGTTGTTGGGCCTAGCAACGAGCAAACCGTGCCTCACAGGTGTCCGAATTTCTATAAAGCAGAAGTGGTTCGTCCGCCCGCGCCGCACCGGGGAATCGGGAGGAGGGTCGGCACGGTATTCTTATGAAGCGAGACTCGGAAGGGCTGAAAATATTCGGAAGCTTGTGGAACCAGAGTGCGAGCCCGCCCTTGTGTCACTGCCGGGCCATGCAAGATGCACGCAACATGGGTGTCTAAACCTGGGGATGATTTTCCCAACCCCCGGAGATGTTCGCTCGCGTGGCTGGCGATTGGCCATGATAACGCGGGATGGTCACTTACATTGGCGTACATTGGGAGCTTTGGGGGTTGCTCGGGTGGGTCCAGCAGGGACAAAGTGTAGGCTAAGCTTTGTAACGGACGACATGATAGGTAGAGATAACGGAAAGCCAAAAAAAATGTCTAGTGGTCGCCGGTAAGCTTCTTATCACGTCCGTCTGAGTGGCATGGCCGAGCTATAACAAATTACCGTGCGTGATTGAGGCCGTGTGTGATAAGAGATAAGATAGACGGGCGTCTAGTCGGAGAGCTTTTGGAGCGGTCTCAAGGGTTCCTGCAGCAGTGAGATGGGGGCCGGCATGCTCAGGTAATCATAATCCAGGCTCTGCCAAGGGCCTTGTGGTGTGCCAACATCTTCTACTGCGAGACTACCCTGTGGTGGTTGTGCGTGGGTGCATGTAGTGAGATAAGCAGTGATGATAACATTGCTGGACTTATTACCGATAGCCTGAATATCCTGTCCCTTAGGTAGAATTGCCCCACACATATACCCTTGGCGTACCTCGTCAGGTGGCCGGGAACGGACGAAAATCGAATCGAGGGACACCAAGACAACATTTGAAGTCTCTCGTGCCCTGCTCTGCCATCGAGGCCATCACTGCCGGTCACTTTATCCGTGTTTACTAGCACGACTGCACGACTCGGTATCTATCTTAGCCTTGCCGCGGCTTTGTGGCGGTCGCGGTACTTGGAGAGACGCGAGGCGGCCGCTAGTCCGAGATCGATATCGCCCGGGCAAGGCTTGAGTTACTTGAGCGCCTTTTTCGTCCACTGATCACGTGAGCAGACGCGTTCAGGCGATGTTGTTCTCCTTATTACTGAAAGACAAGCGCCAGGCATGGCCGAAGAGACGGTAGTCGAATGTTGTTCAGGGCCTTTATGAATATGGGCCCCATCAAGTCGTATTTGATATCAATGATGAACGCTGTTAGACATGGTTGACTTGAAGTGAATGTGTCCGAGGAAGGTGAGGGGCTGCTATATCACCCACGTAGACTAATATCGCGGGAGCCTGGCGTATTAGACCATATATTTCCGCTGACCAGGCCGATGCTTCAGCGACAACTCCAACACCCCACCACTGCGCACATCACGCTACTACTAGTGGGTAGCTATACAACCAAATTGATCCGCTCTGTTTCTAAGAGTACAACACGTCGAGCATGGCACGGACGGGACACACGGGACCTCATCTGAAGCCCACGGCACCCGAAGGCTCAGCCCGCCCACGGCCACTCCTCGGAACCAGCTGGGACCCAACGGCCTTCAGCGTGGAGGTTGCTGCGATTTACGCCGAGCAGGTTAATGAGGCGCCGGAATCTGTGATCCTACTGCCTTCAGAGTACTTTGACCCACCATGCGTGGAGCTATCCCCCGGCAGGAGAGATGAGCCCGACGCCGAATGGCGCCATTGCTGGTCCGTCGGGCGCTGTTGGAAAACCACAGTGGCCTACGAGCAGCTCCTCGGCAGCTGCAGCACGAGCAGCATCAACAGCGATGGCGCACAGCCCCATCCCCGGCTTGCTGCCTTCATCGGTCGGGACCCATGGACCTCCCTCCCCGTCTTTGCCAAGCCGTCAGGGCCACCGCTGGGAATTTTTATCACACAAAACAAGGCCGCGATGTATGAAGAACACAGCGGCGCTGGCGCCAGCCACAGAATTAGACCGTCCTTTCGCCCCCTTGCCTACAAATGGGCCCTCCACCTCGCATCCGCCCTCGACTATGTCCACGCACAGGACATCATCCTCGGCGACCTCACCAGCGAGCACTGCTGGCTGTCCGGCAGCGGAAGCAGCTCGCTCTCGCTCTTCCTGGTCGGCTTTCTAGACGCGTGCTATAGAGATAATGTCACCGGGATAAAATACCTCGGCGGGGCTTGCACCGGCGAGACATTCCACCCCTTATGCCCACTGCAGCCTCGGGAGCGGGGTGCCCGCTCCCGGGAGCCGGACATCCAGACGGATCTGTTCCTGTGGGGCTGTGTTGTCTATGAAATTATGGTGGGGCGCTGGCCGGGCCATGAAGTCCCGGGGAGGCCGTGGCAAGATATTTCGATGATGATCCCCCGACATGAGTGGCCTACGCTGGAGAGGGAGTACCTCGGACAGCTGGTGAAGGGCTGCTGGTCGGGAGAGGTCACGTCAAGCCGAAGCCTGCTGGAGCATCTCGTCAAGTTCCTGCAGACGGAGGGCTGGCAGGTGGAGGATGGTGACGATTTGCAGTTTGATCCGTCGCCACTCCTCCCTCAAGTCACTACTAGTCTACCCAGGCACCCTGAGCAGTACTAGTAGACGGGCCTTGCCCACGAACCAGATCCGCATCGGCCTGGTGGGGCAAGGCTGTCTCCTTGTGGGGCCGCGGCAGATGTCGATACACGCCGCGTCGTCGGGGGTCCGACCCCAGGAGAGCCGTTCTCGTGCCCCAACAATGCGAGTTTCTGCAAGCTCTGTTAGGTCGGATACTGCCGGCTTCAGGACCGCTCTATCTATACACACCTCCTCACCTTGAAGTCACCTGGGCAGCCGGGGCGACCTGCGGAACAGTTAAATCGCTGGCTTGTCCCCAGCCTACCACTCACTACACAGCCAATATGTGTTCACTCTAAGAGTCGTATCTTCCGGGGACGCCGCGCATGGTCACTTAAAAGCACCTCGGATCCGCGGTGATGCCTGTTTGTGCTTCCATTCCAGGTTTTTATCACTTTAACGGAGGAAAGAGAGAGCAACGATAATCTAGAACTCGGCTGGAGATGTGTTTCTGAGGCGGGTTAGGGTCACATCGTTATCATTTGATCGATGCAATTCTGCGGCTGGGAGAGGCGTTACGGGCGGAAATAATCAGAGTCCCTCCGCAACCACTCGATCTTATGCAGCCCTGCACGTATGACCCACAATGACGTCTGTTCCAAAATGCGCAGACTTCCCAGAGTAAGAAGATAACAGGACGGATGGCTCGCCGATGTGATGGATTCCCCTTAATCTCGCACGCGCGCTCATGTTCAAAGGACGCCCGAATCTGCTGCAGTGAAGGCTCTTTAGTTATCCAAGACGGCCCGAACTCTGTCGACCTGGATTTTCATCACTAACAATGGCGGCCGGACCGTGGCCCAGGGTCTTCGGGCATGAGTTTCGCTATTCCCACAATCTCTGGGTCTTCCCCCTCGCAGCAGGCATCTCCTGGTTCTCCACGCTGACCATCCTCCTCGTCCGCTGGCTGGCCATCGGGCAGCCCCGGTACCCAGGCCAGGTCAACCCCGAGATCCCCTTCATCAGCGACATCGCGGCCTTCACCTTCCAGCCCGTGTTCATCGCAGGCTGCGCCGTCACGGGAGTCACATTCGCCGGCACCGTCTTCGCCGTCCACCACGTGCGGTACTCGCCCAGCTTCTACGGGCTGACCGACGACGCCGAGTGGAGGCAGAACACGAGCTTCGTGGCCTTCTTCATGGGCATGTTCGCGTCGGTGTGTCTCGTGTGCCTCAGCATCTTCGATACGTTTGAGAACAACGACGAGCACCGGTATATCCTCATGTGCACGTTTGGCGGGCTCGGGATGGCGGCTATCCTGACGGCTGTTGTGTGGTGGGACGAAGCCTGGGCCAACACGGCGCGGTTCCCGGGCTTGCGGAAGTGGTACGTTGATCTTACTCCCCGTCCTGGATCGCGGGTGCCAGTCGTGGTGGTGCTGGGCTGACCAGGTATCGGAACCCTCTTTTAGGTGTGTGCTGAATACGTTGCTGGTGGTAGCCCAGACGGCTCTTGGTGTCTGCTTCACCACGTTTTTATGGATGGGTCGCTTCCGCGAGGCTGGGTTCCTGGAATGGTCGTTGTGCTATGTGGGCTCCGTCTGGCTCGTGTCCTTTGTCGGATATGTCAGGTGCGTTCATCGAAGCCAAGAGACGATAATGGGTACTGACTGTCCACACAGGTTTAGAGGGGACACTAGCGGTAACGGTATCGTCGGCGAGCGCGAGCCTTTATTATATGCCGCGGCTTGACTTTCTTCTGGGCGTTGCCAAAGGCGAAGACTGTTCCCCATCTCACGAACTGGCGGAGGGGTGGCCAAAGAGGGCCTCAGTGATAGAGAATGTTCCGTGCCGTTGTAATGTCATCTTGAGTATGACGGCATCAGACCTCGCAGACCACTGATGATGGATGAAACCAAACTGCCCTCGCCTTCAAACCCAGGCCGTGCGGCCTCGCGCCTAGGCACGATCCTCCGTGGGATGACATCAAAGAGGAACTCCCCCGTCTCGTTGTCATACGGCGCACGATCCCAATTATGTATCTCCGCGACAGAACCTTGCCCATGAACATATCCAGTGATATCTTTCCGGAACGTCTTGGCAATCTCCCAAGGGTCCATGTCCTGCCTCTTAACCCGACCAGGCGGGGCGTGCCAGACCACAGCCCCCGGAGCGCAGTCCACAAGCATGTACGGCAGGTCACCGGAAGGGACGTGATCCCTCGGGACCCAGCCCTCCTCCGAAAACACCACGGAGACAGTCCGCAGCCCGCTCAGGGCTCCGAGGCAGTGGATGAAGGTGATCGCGCCGTCCAGACCGGACCCCAGCATCCGGGCGTCCAGGGCCAGATGACGCACGCTCGCGGGCGGTCGTCTCCAGGCGGCGAGAGAGTCTGAACAGAAGAAGGACGGCCAGTCCCGGCTCGATATGTAAATGGCGTCCAGCTCCGGGTCGAAGTCCCGGTATGGGTCCAAGCAGGCCCCTGCCCCGTCAACGTGGCGGAACTTGAGCTGCCTGCGGGCCATGCGGCGGGACTCGCGGCACACATGCATCAGAGTGTTCCAGCTGAGGTCGATGGTGATGGAGGCTGGGTCGCCATTGTTGGGGTCCTCTGTCCTGAAGATGTGGACGCCTGGCTCTGGGGCCTCGTCCAGGCTGGCTTGCCACACCTCTCTCTGCAGCTCGAGCGGGAGACTGGCGAACTGTGGGAATGACGTCATTGACGTGGATATCCAATGCTTGGTTTGAAATATTATTATGAGGAATTATCCGGAGAGGCCTGAATGAGTACCTAGGTACTCCGTAGACAGGGACGTTGTGTTGGTCCGCCGCCAAGTATCCCGACGTTTACCTTGCTTCCGATAGGCGGCCTTGGGGACAAGTACCATGTATTACAGCCCACTCGTACTAATTACATGCTGGAGTACGCTGAAAAATATCGGCCCGATGTGTATTGGGGTCCAGGGGTCCACTACAAGGTCCGGGTTATACCCGCCGCGAACCGCATCGGTTCACTGATAATATGTAACTCTGGAAGCCTGCAGGCTGGTGAAGAACGACCACCGATACCGCGTCTTTCGCAATCCCAATATTGCGCCGCGTGCCCTCCTCGCGCCCGGGGACCAAAAGCCCTCATGATTCACCTTCATAGTTCAGTGTCTCTAGCGCGAAATGTCATTGGGAACATGGGTGAACCTTCGAGACACTGTGGAATCATGTTTTGATTACAGATAGAGCGTCATGATTTCAAAGTAGCAGCATTCGGTGCTACATCATGCAGCAAGCCTACACTGTATCACCTAGTCACTGGCAAGGCGCGGCCGCGACCACGTCGACATGGTAGCATTGGACTGCTGCACATGCTGTATATCAGGAGGCCCAGAGAGGCTGAAGAAACTCACTTTCTCCTTCAGGTTCTCACTACCCGGCTTGCAGATGTAGGGATGGACCGTGACTCCACTCGGTTTATTGCCCTGCACTATGGGGGATGACCCGGCTCTTGGGAAACATGAAAAGTTCCTAACTCATGATCTACAAGTACCTGACTGCAGTCCAGGTGTCGAATGACTGCGAGTCGCTGTAAGCCATCGTACGGCTCACTAGCTACCTTACACTTGAGCACCACGTAGACAGCTTATTTCCCCTCGGACGAAATAGCTGGCTTCGCTCGCAAGTGTCTTGGAGGAAATCTGGCGGCTTATTCCAACGGCCACTCGGCGACATCGGCTCGTTTGACCGACAGGCCGACGATTCCATCGCCAACATAACCATCCACAGCCTCTCCCGCAGCACCATCGCGCAGGAAACCGACGCGGAACAGCGTCCAGTCAAGGTCGCCCCCGTCAGCTTCAAAGACGCCAGCGATATCAACTATAGCTTTCCACACACGATGTGCCATGGCCCACATCAAGGTGGTGAGACACCAACGAGCCAGGGTCGCTTTGTCGTTCGGGTCGTAGACGCTGAAAGTGCTGAGTGAGATGATGCGATGAGTACCTTCAGTCTTCATGACCGAAAGGATACGCTTGTAGGCTGGGACGAAGATGGTGGCCGAGGCTGGGGGCCTGGAAGGGCCAACGACTGAGATTATGGCATCTTGGCCTCGACTGGCTGTAGTCAGAAGGGTTTCATCGTCTATGGAGCCCTCGAAGTTCTGTCATCCGGTGACATGTCAGCGTCGTGCCTCGACTGAGATTGCCAGGGTACTCACAGGCCCCGCCCTGACCTGAATGGCTGCATTGCTTGCCTGCTCTGGCAGCGTACGCCTGCCAAGAACACTGGCTATCCAGCCCGGCTCAATGCCTCGCTTCACGATGAGTTGGCCAGTTGAGCTTGTCGCGCCGATCACCAGGAGTTTGCCCACAGCCATTATGGTGCGGCGTTCGTGTCCAGCTCGCCTTATTGACTATTATGATTCATACGGATGGATAATAACTGAAGCAACTTTTGGTGTGTTTGAACTTTTCCTCAGCTCTCTGTCACCAACCCAGCCACCCAACAGTGGACAAACTGTAACCAGTTGGCCCTACTTTTGGCCCCCAGCGTGCCCCGATACCTGTGTTGCCATGAAAACCACCTCAGGCTCGGAGCGATATTGCGATGCAGCCAAGGGACATCTTTCCTTGTGTGATGCAGCTTGGCGTTGGAGGTTGCATGACAATTCAAGGTCCCATTCCATCCAACCGACAACCCAAAAGCATGTCAGCATCAACTTCATGACGAATCACAAAATGAAACCCTGAGCATCTCTCACCCGCGTTGTGCATATAAAAGTTCTCACGTCAGCGGTCATAAGCGGAAATACCACGGACTTTCCTTCCAATCCTGCCTCTGAGACGCCGTATGCTCGCACACTTGCATGGCTTGGATGTGCCCAGGTGGTCAGCGTTGACAATCCGTTGCGAATCATTCCGACTGCAGTAGGTCTCAAGCCTGACATGCATCTTGCATCCGCCCTTCTAATGGCCTTCGCTCAAGTGCTCGCATCTTCATCGCCGCTGCAGGGGGCCATGGAAACATCATTGTTTATGGCAGACGGGTGTTGATGGAACAGTTATCAAGAATCCAGTTGGAAATTGAGTGTCAGAAAAGGTTTCAGTGCCTTAAAATACGACGATACAGACTTCATGTATGTCAGAGTCTACTCGGTGGTGTGGAGACGATGTTCCCGCCTTGGATTACTATTCAGGGCTTCACACAGGCAGCCCGCAGATGGCCGCAGCATGCGCCAAACACACGCTCCACCCATGTGCTTCCCGATTTTCAGGTTTTCTTGTGAACATCGAGATCACCGTACATATTCTCAGCACGGCGCGGAGTTCCGAGTGTGACCATGCTGTAGTGAGCTTATAATAAGCCTCGATCAGATCAAACAGAGAGAGAGAGAATAACCGACTATGCAGTGAATATCTGGGCCTGTCCTCGAATCCTTCCAGTTGAAGTTGAACATATATGCAATTCTTCTTTTTGCTTCTCCTGTTCGACAAGCGCCAACATGCCATCCATTGTGCAGAGGCCCGGGGTGGCTGAATCACATGGGCCACGGCTAAGCACGAAACCCAAATCACTCTGGCAGCTCCTTCAAGAAGGCCTGGAGGTAAACCCAGACGGTCTAGCCCTTGCCTGCCCACAGCATCGCGGGGACTCCTTGTCTGGACAACAAGAGTTTACCAATGGCGATATTGGTCCCGGATGGAGCAAGGCACGTAACCAGTTTGAATGGTCCTATTCGCAATTATCGCAGAAGGCAGAGAGCCTGGCCCACAAAATCCTGGGACTCGATCTAGCCGTACAAGGCTTCACGATTGCACCATTCTTGACAAGCGGCCCAGAATGGGCGCTTTGGTTCTGGACGGCAGCCAAGTTGAACATGCCCATCGCTGCCGTGGATCCAAAAGTCCTATCCGGCCATGCAGCAACGTCGCCGTCGAAAGACATACAGGATGCCTGCATCAAGGCCCTCCAACCACAAATTGTCATTGTGCATGACGACTTCGCCGCCGTCGCCTACGACGAGGCTAGTGGCCGCAACGACCAGAACCCAGCGCTGAAGATCATCGCGGACCGCCATTCGAGTTTGGCCCGTCCATTGAGTCTGAGGGCCGACGGCTGGATAACCCTCCAAGAGCTAATATCCTCTCCCGTGTCTGCTTGCGCCAATGGAAATCATGAAGAGTCGGCTGATGGAGGGGAAGTGCCAGATCCAGAAGCCATCGCGCGAATCCTCTTCACAGGTGGAAGCACGGGAGATCCCAAAGGCTGCCCCCACTCCCATGCAAACCTGTCCGCCGAGAGCGAGGGTTTCAATTCAATGCGCGGGCTGACACCGGAGTCTCGCACTCTGATTCAGTCGCCCGCGCATCACATCATGGCAAACGCTGCAGCCCTTCTCAGCTGGCGGGCTGGGGCCGCGGTCATATTCCCGTTCAACGGGAACCAGTTCGATGCGGGACAGTCAATCAAGGCTATCGAGACTTACAAGTGCACTTACCTGCCTGTGCATCACAGCATGTCGGACGCCATCCTGCGGCACCCCTCTTTCAACAAGACAGCGGTTAAGTCGGTTCGGTTCATGCAGATCGGTGGCGCCTTGATCGGATCGGACCTCGCCGCACGATACAGGGACTCTTTCGGCGTTGCGGAAGATGGCTCCTCACAGCTTGAGGTGTTCCCCTTCTGGGGCAGCACCGAAGGGATGTACACGACCGCATGCGTGAAGGGCGATGCGCTTGTTACCGACAACCGTGGTGCCGACCAAGTTGACCTCGCAGAGGGCTCGTCTGACCTGTTGTCCGTAGGACGAGCCTACACTGGCGGGCGCGTGAAGGTGGTAGACCCCGATACGAGGACCACTTTGCCCCGCGGGTATGGAAGTCAATGTGTTGGAGAGCTTCACTTTGGCGGCGACACCGTCATCAAGAAATACCTTGGTGGTGTGTCGCCCGAGAGCTTCTACACAGAGGATGGAGTCTTTTGGTTCAAGACCGGCGATCAGGGCCGCATGGCCCCGGACGGTTCGATCTTCATGCTGGGCCGCTATAAAGACATGATCAAGAGGGGCGGGGAGAACATATTCCCACAGCAGCTGGAGTATACGCTGCAAAGCATCTGCGCCATCAGGGTAAGTTGCTCCCCTCAACATGCTGGCAGTATTTCTGACGGCTCTTGCAAGGCTCAAATTATTGGCATTCCAGACTCCGTCACCGGGGAGGCCTGTGTTGCCGTCGTCGACACATCGAAGTCCGAGCACTTTTCGAAGTTACAGCTGCAGCTCGATATATCCAAGCATGTAGGGCCAGAATTTATCTTCGTCCATATCCTCACGCTGGAAGAATTAGGCCTGGGTGACTTTCCTGTCGGCCCGGGCGGCAAAGTCCGCAAGCCAGTCTTGAAAAGGTTGGTCCTGGAATACCTGAACAAGAAAAAACCAACTGGCAAGTTTGTCAATGGTACATCCGCAACGGCGAAATCTGAAAAAAGCCAGGACTACTGGATCAACTTCGTGAAGTCAATTTGGGCGGACCTGCTCCATATCGACCGCTCCCAGCTCGAAGATGACTTTCGGCTTGAGCACTTCACGGATAGCCTCACGGCAATGAGGTATTGCTTCGAGGTTGAAAGACTCACCTCGAAACGCTTGACAGTCGAGGACGTCCGTGACTCACCAACTATCAGAGACCAGGCAAAGCTCATCTCAAGCGCTAGCATCGAGACGCACGGGGGTGGCAAGACGGGCACTGATGTCAAGCAACGGACAGGGCCGCCCACCATGGCAGATGTTCTAATTTGCAGGGGCCAGGAATCTAAGTTCAGAGAGATACAGGAACTAGCGAAGCCGGTCCTGGATCGAAACGGTTGCACCTGGGACCAAGACGTCCTGGAGTGCTACCTCACAACACCTCTGTGGCGCGGCTGCGTGCTACTCCCCCCCACGCGAACTCATAACCTGCGGTTTGCTTTCGAGGTACATGGTCTGGATTATTCGGAGCTAAGAGATGCGCTGCTCGAGGTCCTCAAGGTGCAGCCCCTGTTGGTCAGCACAGCGATCAACCTGAATAACCAGCTCGTGTTCCTGCAACTACGGCTCAGCGATCATCTGCTCGACAGGGTTATCACAAAAGAGCCGCAATTCGGCTCCGTGGACACGGCAGTGGAATATGGCCTCCATGAACCATTCCAGCTCGTCGCTCACCCACCGGAATTACTCGGTCGCTTCGGCATCTCACCAATTTCCGGTGAACATGATGGACCAGGACCAGTTCATGTCGTGACTATTTCCCTCTCTCATACCGTATGTGACGGCATGACCAATGCCATCATCATCCCCGAGCTGGATGCACAGGTGCGTCTACGCCTGGCGAAGAAAGCTGGTGAGGTTGTGTCTCCGCCCCACATCTCTCCCAGGTTCATCCCGCACAAACTGCACTGTGACATGTACGAGTCTCTAGACAACAGCCTCGCTGCCGAGACCTCTAGAAAGGTGATAGCGTCTCGTTACCGCGGCCTCAGTAAGGAAGCCGTTACCCCGTGGCCGATGTTTGACCATGACAACATAATGAGCATCTTCGGCACGGATGGACACCGAGGGACAGATGTTTACCACGGCGGTATCAACATACAGCGATCACGAAGAGTGCCAGGCATCCTTGAGCTGCAGGACATTCACGGCATCCCGCCCTCGGTGGCACTGAAGGTAGCCTACGGCCTCGCAATCATGCAGATGACGGGGAAGAAGATGTCACTGTTCATGGGCATCGACGCAGCCCGCCACTGGCCCTTCCAGGACGAGTGGACGCAGACGCAGCTGCCGAACCCGCTCCTCATCGGTGGCCCGACGGCAGTGCTGACGTGGGAGCGCCTCAAGCTCGAGGACGAGAAGGTCACCCTCCTCGACATCCTCCGCCAGACGCACGCTGAGGACTTGGAGGTGGCCCCGCACACGCACGTCTTCAACTCCTACGAGGGCATCTTGGCGCACCTGCCCCCCGAGGACGCTGCTTTCGTCCGGGAGTCGCGCTGCTTCGACCCCAAGATCGCGCTGAACCACGTCCCTGACGTGGGGCGCTTCACCGGGGCGGACGGGCTGAAGTCGCTCAAGATCAGAGGGGTGTCTTTCTTTGGCACCGGGTTCACGCCGCTGCAGTCCGGGTTTGACAGCCGGGACCGGGAGGTGTGTGTCATTGCTGGACTCGTGGATGACGTGCAGTGGGACGATCCGGAGAGGGAAGTCGGCGGGTTCGAGGAGAAGATCCTCAGGACGCTGGGCGATATTGTAAAGCCGGAGAACTGGGACGCCACGGCGTTTGGGTTCGCAGAGCCTGTGGAGGAGTGAATTCGGATCTTTGGCTGGCTTCATGATACGGTGCTGTTCTTCTTCTGAATTTCTACGAATGCTGTCATTCTGTCCACATGACGATGAGAGATCGAAGTAGCTGGTCGCGCCTTGTCCAATGAAAGGAATGGTACGACAGCAAAGTGTGAGAGTTGCCTTTCTCACATATGATTGCTTATACGTCGTTAGGATAGAGGCTTTTCGGAACACGTGAGCGTGGCTTGTGCGCTGTCGTGGTTTGTCACTCTCACTCAGCATTTGGTGTTGGGTTGGCAGCGGGGATCGCGTTTCCCAATTTAGTATCTGCTGTGTTTGTGGGGAATACGATGAAGACGTTGGCTCCGATTAGTGGGTAAAATCCGTACGATCAGTCGGAATGGGCCGCCTGAGAGATCAGAAGTCCTTGTCTCACCGATACAGTTGTGGATCCTGAACTGCGATCGCCGCTCAGCCCGTAGATGACGACGGAGCAAATGCATGACCCAGTTGCCACTTTTGCAGCCTTGACATTTACATGTGAGATCTTACCACGGCCAGCCACTCAAGTCAGCTCATTGTCTGGCTGAGTAGCCTCAGTTGCCATGACCAGAGCCAAGGGCTTGGGTCATATTTTCGTATTGTGGGCCCGGTTGAGTAGGATTCCCAAGTGGCCCCATTGGACAAAATGGGAAGAGCTGAACCAGGCTGCAGCCAACATGCATGATATCCACCAACACGTACAACACGGCAGAACTTAATGCTCAATGACATTGTCACAACCCGGTCCCCGCTCGACTTGCCCGTGTAAAATTTCCAATCACTCGTGCGGTTCAATTTACATGAGTTCACTGACTCCCAAGGTCTCGGGATTCCAATTCACTGTCGTTTTCCAGCACGATTGCCTGTCGAACTAGGCCATCATGTCCGGAACCAGCGCCATGGCAGACTTCGGTCTCTCGTGCCCACAGGGCGGGACCTTCTACAGCTGCAGCGAAGCAACCCATCACTTCATCGGCTGCTGCACGGAAAATCCATGTATCGACGGCACAGGGTATTGTCCTCAGACGTCTCTACGCTACACCAGTTACAACAAGGATAGCTACCGTTCTATCCTGCCCCAGAGTTGCGTGGCTCCGTACAACGAGAGCACCTGGTACACTTGCTCTGAGATCGACTCCCCTTTTATGGGATGTTGTTCGTCCAACCCCTGCGCCGACGGCGGATGTCCTCAGAAAGACCTGCTGGCGGCCCAAGTATCCGATATCGAAGAGAATGCAGCACCGTTCATGGCCTCTGCCTCGTCATCAGGTGGGGGTTTGTCAAAAGGGGCGATCGCCGGCATCGCGGTGGGCTGCGCAGCGGCCGTCCTCATTGTAGTCGGCATATTGTTCCTGCTCTACAGGCGGCGAGAGAAGAGGAGGCGGGATGAGCTGGCATCCAAGGCTCAGCCAAACGCAGAGGCAACCCCCGGCGTCTATATGCCAAGCCCCTACCAAGGCGAGTCTATCATCAGCTCGTCTGCTCTCATCGCTTGCTAACCCCCTCACAGACTCTATGGGTAGTCCCGCCACATTCCCCGTATCCCCATATAGCCCACAGCACCACCCTGAGCACAACGCCTTTGGCATCAGCAACTCTCCCGGCCAGGTGCCATATGAACGGCCTGTCTCCACTGCTCCGACCTGGGTGTCCGGCCACACGCACACGCTGAGCGATTACCCGTCAATAAGCTCCTTGGGAACGCACACATGGATGGAGCAGACGCCGAAGCCGAACCTTTACCCAGTCTCCGAGATGGACGCCACCGAAATCACGAGGCCCATGTCCGAGCTCGCCGGCTCGGGGCCGCTGGCTTCTCCGACCACAGCTTACAAATCGGGGTACGAGAAGGTTGCCACGATTGGAGAAGACGAGGAAAGTCCGGAGAAGAGGAAGTAGCCTTTGCAGGGCCTTCATATTTGATGTAATGATCTATGGGATAATTGATGGGACAGTATTGTTAACTGGTATGGCTATGTCGCTGCGTCCTCGTGTATAATTGGCAGCATTAACCACCAGAATTTGAGAACTCACACGGCCCGACACCCAACTGTGCATCGAATGTAAAGCGCTGCCTCGGTGTCCACAAGATTTACCATTTGTAGCGGCCATTGCATTCAAGAAACCCTTGCCACCCGAAATCCAGTAGACCCTCCAGTGATCTTCTTTCCGTCTCGAATTGGCTCATTTCGCGACAGAACTATGTATAGGCGTGATTTTCGACCCTGACGTGGTGGACAGTGGTTCGTTTCCAATCCGGGCACTCCTATCCGCTATTTCTGATTGAGAGTATGGCTGCGCATGGACTTGCAGAAGATCATCTATTTTATGTGGGGACATGTCTGCTGGTTTTCAGTGTTTTGACTACATATTATCTGATTGAAACAAAAATTATGGGAAGGTTAATTGGATGGAGAATATCAAATTTGAATTGATTTACTGAAGCAAAATGCTTCGTTCGCAAGGAACAACACGCTACCAATCTATGAAAAGAAACACAGCGGGTATTCCCAAGGGCCTAGTACCTCCGGGTGTAGTAGCTGGGAGGGTAGATGGGGCTCCAACCGCCCGAGGCAGGCCGCGGGATCCATTGCATTATGTTTTGATTCCCCCAGTATTGCTGCTGCGGGCTGGTGAGATAGGGGCCCTGGTAAGCATTGGTAAACAACATGGGCTGGAAACGTTGGTTGCTGTTCCAGACGCCGTTGTATGTCGGCGGGAAAGAATTGCCAGAAGAGGAAGACATGTTTGATGGCTTTTGATGTGGATTCTTTAGGAACTTTTGTTTTGTTGATTACCTTTCTTGTTTCCTTGTTCTGCGTCTAAACGTATGTTGTAGATTGCTGAGCTGTGGAGAAGTCGGCAAGCTATTCAATTGAATGCGGGCTACTTATACTTGGGTCGAACTGTGGTAGAACGAGGGCTTCTTACGATTCTCGACTTCCCGAGAGTGACATTGGTCGAGACTGCAGTCACTATGCACGGAGTTGGTCACCGATTGCGAGTCAAATGCTTGCCACACTGCAAGACCTCCTTCCATCACCAGTCCTTTGATGACTGCATGTCTTTGGTCCGAGTCACTTGAAGGGTGCGGAGCCTCTTACCTGTGATCAATGGGGGTCTCACCATCTCCCAGCTCAGCACCAGCTCCACGCTTCTGAAGCCAATCCCAGCCTCGCGAGAAAGGATGGACGGATTTGGAAGTGACGCGTGCAGACTGCGGGAAAGAATCTGTGGAGTCCGTCGAATAGTGTTTATAGGCACTGCCTTGAACTAAGGCCCAACAATCCTTGCCGATATTCACCGCGTTTTGGGGGTACTTTGATTCGCACTGCACCTGGTATCGATTTCCGTGTTTCTGGCTGTGTTGAACCGAAAGTGGAGACGCGTACGGGCCCACACTCGTGCAGATAAGAGCTGACCAACAGGTAGCAAGGCTGCCGGACACCGGTAACTAGTCTAAGTATCATCTCTTTGATGCCCCGGCATGATTTATTCTCCTGTGCTTGGCTTTTCCATGAGATGGGGCGACCCAAAGTGCCTGGATTCGACATGCTCGGGCGAGTCACTCGCTGGAGCAGCGTGGATGCGGCGGGGGGCTGATTTATGCTCTCAGACCGCAAGGCTGCAGCTGTCTCGCTGGTGTAAGCAGGTCCGGTGGGTCTGAAGTTTGAGACCAAGCCATCCCTTTTCAGGTAATGTTCGATAAAAGACAAACCCTTTCAGTCGTAACGTAACCATAACTAGTCTAGAATAATATAAGATCCGCTTTAATAGGTTACTGGATGGATTTTAGCTTTTAAATGGGCTTGGAAATTCATGAATTCCGCCATACTAGTATATCAGCATGTATGCAACCACAACAAGCCCACATGCGTGTGGCTCCTACAGGTATCTTGACCAATAAAATTTTGCCACACGGTGGCCAAGCTTCCGGGGAACGGTCACCGCCCATCCGTCTATTACATGGTAATTTCAATTTCAGCCCTTTTTTCACACAAAATCAGTGCGAGTGCATCTGCGTGGGCCCCACTAGCTTCCTGCTTCCCCGAGCGTCGCCATCCACGATCCACACTCTCTCTGCCTTGAGGCTTCGCAAGTTCTCCTTCGCAGGCACGGGTTCTAATATCCTTCCTCCCAGCAAACAACCAACTCAATACTAGTAACTCATGGCTGCACAAGCTCATCCACACTAGATAGGTCCTTTCTAAGTCTACTTAAAGAAGTGCCTAAATAAGTAGTATTTAGAATCTGAATACTATTCCTTTAGGAATGGTGCTCTCTTTGATATTGCACAAGCTTAACCCCTTTAAGTATTGAAATTCGTGGTTTCTTCATAGTTGGGCGTAAGTCCACAATTTCACCATCCCTACCCTCCACACACCGCCATCCTAGACTTGCAGCGGGATGCACAGGCCCTGCGTCCGGTCAGGTCAGTTAGCCTCGTCAAAGCCAGGAGTACTCAAGAAGCCTCAGGCAGATTCTATTACCGCAGATTTCGTGGCGGATAGCGCGGTTCCATGTGTACGTGGCTCTGTGCTCCCTGGCTCCGCGAATGCTTCACGAGAGTGCAGCCCGGTGTGGTGCCTTCTGCTCTGCTATGGTACCTGCGCAATGCACGGCCTAAGACGCCGCCCCCCTGCGCGCTCCGCTAGTAATCTGCTCGGTGATCCCTAGTTACGCGTTTGAGAAATTGTCTCCATCGATGCCTTCTGGGGGCCAACTAGTAGTAGCTCCCAGCGCGCAACACCGTGCAGACCAACCACATCAAACTCTCCTGCCTCTCCTCCCCCCTGCGTCTGTGACATGCCACACCTGCTGCTTCCGTTCGCTGTGTGGTCAATAGCATGCCAGCTTGATGCCCATACCCGCCCCACTGCCCTCTTCCTTTATTTCTCACCCTGCAGTGTCCCGTTGCCATCGCGACCGGGCAGTAAACAATAGGGGAAGCCACTCGCAGCAGACATGAGGGGGCAGTGTTGTTGACTGACCTGCCCCCCTGGCCGCTTGACTCGGTCTCTGATGCGTCTGCACAACCCAATTCGCATCTGCCTCCTGTCTCGGGGTGGTTCGTTCCTGAATTCCAAGGTTATTATTCATCCCGAAGGTTTACACTCTAAACGGTCAGAGATCCAGCTTTATTCTTTGTTCTTTTTTTTTTAAAAAAAAAAGAATCAAAGCCGGGATCAACTGGTCAAGAAAAGCCGAGGGTGAGTGAGCTCATAGCCGCAGCCTCGTGCTGCGTTCCGCAAAATGTCCGTCCCGAGCCGGGCAGTCAAGCTACTGGATCGATACCTAGAGACAGAACGAGGCAGGCGGATCTTCAGCAGTGGTTTTCCTGCCCAGACTTTTCTGTACTGGCGGCCAATGTGGCAAGGGTGCCAAGAAGTTTCAAGTGACGGCACCTGGGCTGTTCCTTGCCAGTCGTGGGCCCGGGAGTCTCGACCTTTCCCGTTCCTTGAAGTGTGCCCCACCCTTAGGCACTCTTGGACGGAGTGAATACCAAAACGTACGGTCTTTGGTTCAATAAGCCATGTAGCAGTAATTTTGACGCTCGGCGGAACGGGCTCTCTGCTCATGAACTCCAGATCTCAGATTCACTCTGCACCGAGGACTCTCGGGGAGGACAACTTTTGTGCCGCAGAAAATTTAGCTCAAAACAGCCTCTTTGACGAAGATTGCACATGTGATTAGCATATACCAAGTGCGACAACAGTTGTCGTCGCTGAGCGCGTCTATTGGTCTGTTTGTTGTTTACCGTGAGATGAGCTGTGCCGTGCGGTCCGGGGGTCCATGAGGGTCATCTCAAAGAGGAAATAAACAGCTGCCGGCGGCTGCGGACTCCTTCTCATGCCCCTTGTGGTCGTGAGCTCTGTAAGCGTTCTCGGGTGAGGGGGCAAAACTGCCTCCCGTGTCGCCTTGCGTCTTCAACCTTTTCCATTGGGTAAATGGGCATGATTCCATGGGCTTCCCACAGTTAGAAAAGCTAGCCAGATAGCCTGGAAAATAAGTTGATACTGCTCAGGTATCGGGGTGTGATGATGTCCAGTGACCCCCCCCCCCCCGGGGGGAGGGACGGCCCTTAGGTATCGGGGCAGTGAGGGCGCGGTCAGAGACTTGGGAAAATGCAAGCTGAACTCATGTTTTGCTAAGCCCACGACCCACCCCTATCAACCCCCTCGGGAAACCCAAACGGAGAACGCGTGCCGATAGCTCCTGAGGTCCTCCAGTCCAGGGCACACCACGTCCAGTATAAATAATGCACCTGTCACTCGAAACTCCCCTTGACTGCCCTGGAGAATATCCAAGCTGGAACAAACAGACAGACGCGATACACTGTCTCCTGGTTCACACATTCCCTTTCTTCTGCTGCCCTCTAGAAATCTCTCAACCTTTACTGGTACAGGATGTCCACTAAAACCTCTGTTCGTACCAATTTCTCCATATCACTCCCAATTAATGCGAGTTGCTATCAAAAGCATCTCCTAGAGCGGGCGCGAGTCACAATACTCAACGGCTATAATGCTCTACACCGTTACCTAGCCGGGGCCGCCCATAGGACTGCAACCGCAGAGGAGGTATGTCTGCCTTCCCTGATCAACCGGCATTGACTGACATTGCACATCTACCTATCTAGCGCGATCTCCAAGATGTCCTCGGACCACCAGGGATGGAAGCCGCCGAGAACCCCGAGCGCCAGCCAGAGCATCCCGTACACAATCACAACACCCCTCACGAGCACGCCGAGCAGGCTGCTGACCTGGAAGCCGCCGCCCCCAGCCCAGCAGAAATTGGGTGGCATAGGAATATAGAGGCAGCCTCTGTCAGTTACAGGTACACACAGATATGGGTGGCGTTGCTTTTTGTCGGAGTTCTGGCTCTGATTGTGACGCCAGGTCTCGTCCTCGGGATTGTGATGGGCCAGCTGCCACTGGGAATAGCGCTCTCAAGCGCTCTCGCAACAGTTATCAGCTTGCTTGTTGGTCTCTACTACCATCTCAACAAATGAGGTCAAGTCATATCGACTGCTGTGTCCCTGGTATGCCGAAGGGAAGTCAACCTCTCGAAAATAGGTGTCATCCACATCACTAAGAGAGGGCAAGCTCATGATGCCCAGGTGGTCATGTACAAAAATGGATGGGGTAGCCGAACGACGGTGTTGGCGTGTTATGCTTTCTCTATAGACAAATGGTACTGCGATTTCTAGAACCCAACATTGTAATCCTGTTGCCGTGATCACTACTTATCCAATGGAATTTTAGACATGGCTTCTGTCGGAGAATTGCAGAGCAAGCTCGAACTTGTGATTTGAAAAGCTGCCTATCCTAGAACTGCCTCGATCTTTCGGGATACCAAACTGATCTGGTCTTCCGCAGAGGGGCATTCCAAAACCTCCTCGGTCGTCACCATGACACCCGATTCCATGAAATGACCAGCAATGCCAGCTGCCGAGACAGGGTTGCCCCAAATCTGGAGGAATGCTTTCTGTACTGCGGCGCACTTCTCAAACTCGACATCATCGATCCCCAAAATCTGTGTCCATGCTGATCGAACGAGTTCCCTCGCCGCCGTGGCATTTTCGCATACTCCCGTCTTTGCACCGTACATTTCGCCCACGTGTGGCGCGGCTGTGGATAACAAAGGCGATTTAGGCTCCCTCAGCCGGATCGAGTCCGCTGGACATTGCGACACCAGTCCCAGATACCTCTCAAATGCATCCATCAAGGCCTCCGCCACATTCTCAGGGACCCTGCGCTTCGAGAAGGCCATCAGCGCACGGGTCTCCTGACCAAACGGCTCAACATGGAGAATAACATCCGCGCGGTCCCCAGGGTCCATGATCTCGGTGAACTTAACCTCACCAGCAGCTTGGGCGGCGCCATCCCGAGCATCAGCAGAGCCGCCCTTCCCCTTCTGCCCGTCGCCGTCGATATCCAAGCCCTGGAACACCAACAGCGACGACAGCCGCGTCCAAGTTGGCCAGTCGGTGCACTCCCGCACGATCGTGTTGGCACCGAGCATCTCGAACCGCATGGACTCGAGGTGCTGCGCCTGCAGGTCCCCCAGCAGCTCGGCGTACGTGCCGAACATGCCCACCCGCGCCCGCACAGGCACGTGCGACGAGCAGCACCCGACAACGTCCTGGGCGTTCGGCACAGGGGCGTTGCGGCCCCACGCCGTCGCGCCGAAGAGGATGTCGTCCTGGCCGGTCAGCTCGGCCAGCGCCAGCGCCCAGGCTGTCTTGACGACGGTGGCCCTCGTGCTGGCGGTGTGCCCCATCTTGCTGCTGTTGCTGTCCTGAAGGGAAGAACGGTCTAGGTCCAGCAGGCGGGTATCGACTTTTCGCATCAGGACGCCGTCCACGAAGTCTTGGAAGCTCGGCATGCCTGACTGCGCCGCGATCTGGGTCGGCTTGGCGCCGGCGAGGAGCTGCCGCCAGTAATCGATTGCTTGGGAGGATTGCAGGTGTCGTGCATGGTAAAGGTAGGCGCTGTAGCTCCCTTCTATGTCCTTCAGCCTCTGTGCACCGCCCAGTAGCGTTCGGGCTTCTTCGCTCAGGATTGCGACGGACTGGCCGTCGTATTGAGCAGCGGAGAGGCGTATCACGAGCCTCTCGATTTGGTCCCCTTGTGACAGAAGCTCGAATGCGGTCTGCGGTTCTGCCATATCAACCGGTCTGCCTTTATCTTCCTCCATGAGCCTCGTGGTGGCATCTGCAACGTTGCTGAGGCGGAGATGAGAGCGTATCGGTGGTCGGAATGATCGACTAACGACCTGGTACAGAACGCCTCGGCGGGCCATGAACCCTGTTCTGAAGGTAGTGTCTGAACAGGCTTCTGTCAGTATCCACAACGAAATATTTAGAACGGCAATATTTACGTCTTGCAGCCCATGTTTCGCACAGATTTCGGACTTTGTCCACGGGAAGCGGAACGGTAAAGTCGCATAGCAGCCAATTCACACCCGAGTGCCGGGATGCGAAAGTCGAAAATGCAACGCTAGATGATTGTAAGTCAGTTGCTAGGAAGACGTCTTCTATGTCCTCGATCGCTTTGTGACCAGCCGCCTTGGAGCGGATCTCGTTGAAGTCGTGGCTCTCCCTTATTGCATTGAACGGGACATACGTCCTCGCATCGAAGTCTTGTTGCCGGTTGCGTAGAACCCTCGAAAGATCTTCCAGTTTAGGATGTCTGAGTACATCCTGTGATGACACCGTGTCAGTTCTGCTGATCAAGTATCGACTTTTGAGGGAAAGTGGGTGTCTTCAAGGGCAGAGGCAGGAGAACATACAGGTACTGAGGCGTTAAGGCCGACCTTCTTAGCCAGGGAAACAAACTTGATGGCTTTCGCTGAATCGCCACCCAGCTCAGTGAAGTCGGAGTCTCGGAAAATGGTTTCAGCGTTCAGGTCCAATACTTGCGCGTAAAGTCGCTGAACCTTGTGCTCAAAGTCATCCCTGTACCATGGCATGTTAGACATGAGCCGTTTGTAAGAAAGGGTATGTTGGACCTACGTGACATGATCGTGAGCGAGCTTGGTCCCAGAGAATCTCGCCCAAGTTGCATGGTTGAGTTGATTGCCGAGGCCCTGTAGAGCTTTGCGGTCGAGCTTGCCCTGTGTTGTAACTGGCATAGACCGCAATGGAATGAAGGCTTGGGGGATGGTGATCGACTTCAGATCTTCTGCAAGCAACGCCTTGATCCTCGAAATATCGATTGGAGCTGAGTCCAGATCAATGAGATTCGTGGCCTGGGGCCCTACAGAACCACCAATCGTTCGGGCGTAAAAGGCACAGAGCGAGGTCCGCGAGCTTCCCTGCCACGGCAGCTGCAAAACCTCCGCGGCCACGGACTGATATTCAGGCAACAGTCGACTGGTCGTGCGATTGAATTCACCGGTCAGCCTTTGTGTTTCCGAACAGAATTTGGGCAAGCACTCACGCCACTTTATGTTCGATATCGCCAAGCTCGATTCGCTGGCCATTCAGTTTCACCTGCTTGTCGATTCTACCATGAATCTCGAACGACTGATTCGGAAGCTGACGTACAAGATCTCCCGTCTTGTAAACACGTCGAAACTCCTGCTGCGTCGAGTCGTGGAGCCAGGTGGGATTGTCAATGTACACGGCGGCGGTCTTCTCTGGCTCGTTCAGATACCCTCTTCCCAGGGTTGGGCCGCGAATGAGGAGTTCACCAAGCGCCCCAGCCGGTAGAAGCTGGTTGTGGTTGTGCGGATTGACGACGTGGCCCTGGCACGCATTTCTGAGCGCGCGGCCGATGTTATTCGCTTGGGGATGCTGCCGCGTGTAGATGTTGTACGAGAAGGCACACGACGCCTCTGACGGACCATATCCATTGACGACATCCAGCCCTGCAGACACCCACTTCTCGACGACCTCGGGACTGTTCGCCTCGCCACACAAGATGACGACCTCGAGGCCAGGCACATCGCGCGGGTCAAGGATCTGTGCCACGGTCGCTGTGAGCTCAAGGAAGTTTGCTCTGAGAGTGTTGATCTCGGCTGCAAGGTGGTTGATGCGGTTGTATTCAGACGGTACGCATATTGTAGCACCTGCAATCAGAGTGCTGAGGATATCGAAGTTGGTAGCATCGAAATTGTAAGAGGCAAAGTGAAACAGACGCGTGCTTGGTCTCAGCAGCGCCGCCTCTTGCTGTGCCAAGGCGTCGGTCACGTACGCAGCATGCTCCGTCATCACTGCCTGTAGCCAGACGTGTCAATATTACGATCCGTGAACCGTCAATTGCCCTGATAACTGGAAGGATGGAAATGGATATGCGAGAGTGAGCACCAACCTTAGGAACACCAGTTGAGCCTGAAGTAAAAACCAGATAAGCCAGGTCTGATGGCGTGGCTGGGGATTCGAAGTAACTTTGGTCAGGAGAGGCCTCCAGCGAACTAAGGAATTCCGAATCGAGGACAAGCGATGGTCGACCAATTCTTGTTACGAGGCCATCGTGTTGGCGGCTTGTGATGACGAGGGGAACATCTGCTACTGCCGCACATTCTCTCAGGAAATTGATGGGACTCTCGGCAGAAAAGCCAACGTAAGCACCTCCTGCCTTCATGATTGCTATGACGGCAAGAACTGCCACTGATGACTTGTCGAACAGAATCGGCACAATGTCTCCCTTCTTGATGCCCAGTGACACGAGGTGGGCTGCCAGCTTGTCGGAGAGTCTTGATAGCTGGGCGTAGGTGAAGAGTGGGCCATCCGTTGCGACAACCGCTTCCTTATCCGGCGAGCTCCTTGCATGCTCATCGATATAATGGTGGATACATCTGTCAACTCGAACAAGCTCTGAAGATACCCAGCAGTCTAGGACTGTGCGGTTGTGTGGACCAAGGACGTCCAGGTCAAGTAGACGTGTATCGCGAGGCTGACAAACGAATTGGGTGACGACTTTGACAAACGTATCTAGGAAAGCCTCAGGAGAGGACGCGAACTCAGATGCCGGCGCATGCCATATTGTGACCTGAGTGCCCTTGATGACCACAAATAATTGTGATAATTTCCCACTTGGCACGGGCGAGACTTCCATCCCGGTAGACTCGATATCTCCAATTAAAATCGGCGCGTCCCCAGTGTGAAAGTCATTTCTGAGATCGGGAAAGCTGACGAGGCCATCGCGGTCCAAGAGTTTTGCGTGATCGGTTCGACTGGAAGAGCAAGCCGCGTCTATTGTCGTGCGCTTGCCAAATGTTGCCGAGACTTTCGACACTTGGAAGACTTCTTTTTTGCCGGATGGTTGGACCAAGCTGCAGCTGACATCTGATGAGCAATTGTAAAGACTTTTTGTATAACACCATGCTGTGCTATACAGGCCACCGAGATCAATTGCCAGATTCGCACAAAAGTGAGAGGCTTTGTCCACAGTCTCCTGCGATAAATACGCTTTCTCGAAATCGAAAGCCATCATGATGATGATAGGACAAAAAAAAAACACCAATTGGGGCTGAAAATCCAGACGATACGTGAGCTACATTGAGTACCTAGGTGACTACTCCAAGGAGTATAGAAAACGGGTCAATGTATACCCAATGTACACGAGTCGTAATCTGCGGATCCCGAGCGTGCTGCCCACGGCATACGGTTGCGATTAGTATGACACGGGGAAATTAGACTATGCCACAGCCGTCCAGGCCACAGGCCGAATTCTCTCGTTGCCTCGCATTCGGCAATTGCTGCAGTTGCTCCCGACTACCGGGAATGGAATCATAACTGTGACGGAATTGCTAAGATTTATGCCGTGGCTAGCAGAATGATCGAAGTCCACTGCGCGTACTGGTTTAGCGCCTTGACAGCCTCTCCGTCCGTGCCAAAGTCAAAGCATGGCGACTGGGAAACGGAATTTCCCTTTGTGGGGCCAACAATTTTTAACTAATAATCAGTGCCGCCCGACAATCTTTCATTGATATCAAGATATGGTCATTGGGCGCCTGGGTTATCAAGTGCGAATTCAGATGGCATGGTGTGTTCCTTTCTCCCAGGCACTTGTTCTTTTCTGTTGGCCCACCATTTTCATGGGGTTGGCGGTGAACGTACTAGGTACCCTAGGGTAGTATGGGCGGATAAAGCCACGATAAGTGGTTTCGCTATCGTTTACGAAACCCACCAGATATGGGTCGCCAGCGGATATTCCGATCTCACCTGACTCTCACGAGATAGATGCGACAAGATGAGCAAAATAATTTGCATCACAGGGCCCTAGCCTTGAAAAGTGTCCATTTTGGGATGATATTTGAGGCCTTCACGAGTCAGTCTTGGCAGAATCTGATAGGAGCAGAGCTGTCACTTGCCCTAATCAGGGTTGTACATAAGCCAGCAAGCTACAGCAACTGAAGTAGTAAAGATGCCCATTGTACTAACTTTTTTTCAATTTTCGCAGGCAATACTACCCAGACAACCATGTCCAGCGCTCTAAGTCAGCTTCCGCCGCCCAAGGCAGTCCAGCCCATGAAAGTCATTGGACTTGGGGCGAGCAGGTAGGTTCGACGACGCCAAGTCACGACGGAAGAGTAGCTGATTCGGCACTATAGAACAGGAACCATTGGGCTCTTCCAGTCTCTCAAGCTGATTGGATACCGGCCTTTCCATATCACAGAACTCCTTCCTCATGGAACAAAGCAGATGCATGCTCTGGGTGATGCCATGATTGCTAGTGAAACCGCTCAACCCTGGTCTCGTGAGGATTTCAACAAGCTCTTTGGAGACTACGATGTTAGTTCAGCCTCTTGAATTAAGTATCACAGACGGTCCTCCACACAAAATGATTTGAGGACTGACCCGTCTCAGTGCTTGGTAGAATGCCCTTGCTATTTTGGAACAGCGGGCCTCGAATTGTTCCTGGCCGATCCAGATATCAAGTTCATCCTGACGACTAGGAGTCCAGAATCGTTTTCGAAATCTCTGAGCTCTACTCTTGGCACATACTACGCCAAGCTAGGTCAATGGCCACTCTCGGCGGCGAGACACTGTGACGAATTTGTATGGGAGCTTGAGCGCATGTTCGGGCTCATGTGGAACCGGTGGTCAGATGGCTTGCACCCGAATCACCCCGAGGCACGTGCAGCATTAGAGAAGAACCTGAAGATCTAGTAAGTCTATCGTCGGCAGATGGAATAGCAGATTCGCAGCTATGGTTTGGCCCGGAGCTAACAGTTTCCCCTTCCAAAGCGAGGACAAGGTCAAGGCCCTCGTCCCACCCGAGAGATTGCTCGTACTCGACCTCAACAAGGGTTTCGGTTTCAAGGAGATTTGCCAGTTTCTTGACAAACCTGTGCCAGATGAGGAGTACCCGAGATCCAATGCCCTCGCGGAGTTCAACGCCGCGGCCGAGTACATACTTGCACCAGCGACACGGAAGGTGAACCTGATCACCTCAACGGCAGTCATTGGCGTCTCGGCTATCATTCTGGGATTTGCCTTGAGATGCCATCAGATATTCTCCAGGCGGTGACAGGTTCGGTACATTGGAAATGAACCTGGTAGGGCATGAGGTTCAACTGCATGATCGCAGTCACACAGTTTCAGCATTGGACAAAATTTTGTATAATATGTGTGCCAGCTTGCTGAGCGGCTCTAATGGTCTACATTCTTCCGCTTCATCTATGTATTCATTGTCCGTAATGAACATGCAGGAACATCAAAGCGCACCGAGTCTCAAACCGGAGCACCGCTCTACTGTGAAACTCGAGCCATGGGTCAATTTGAGGCCAGGTGTTGTACATGGCATGAACAAAAGCTATTAATGCTTGGGGTACGTCAAAAGAATCACCGAATCCCACTGGAAGGTCGTCCTCGCCTTATCACAATGCTGCCTATGCTGGAATCGAACCAGCTGGACACGCAGCATTGCAGGTACATATTCCATCCGCGTTCACAACACCCATCCCCATCACAATCTGGCTGCCATCCGGGCCCTCGATGATTTCTGCGGCAGATGTGGTACCATTTCCCGCTGGCAGCTGAACCCTGGCCTGCTCTTGTCCCCCAGACGCCTCAGCTACGGCGCCGACTGCCGTTGGTGTTCCGGGTGCCTGCTGTTGCTGTTCTGCCGCCACAGCGTTTCCTTGGCCTGCTTCAGACTCTTCCTCCTCCTCCTCCTCCTCCTCCTCTCCTTCACTCTCGCTTTCGCTTTCACTCTCACTCTCGCTCTCGCTCTCACTTTCCTCTTCCTCCTCCTCGTCTTCGGCGCCCTCGGCCTCTTCGTCTTCTTCCTCTTCTTGAGGTGGTTGTTCTAGCGCCGTCCCTGTGTCTCCATTGGTAGGTACGGGCACGACAGGTGGCACAGCCTCCTGCCGCTTGAGAGTCTTGGCGTTGCTCGTAATGACTTCGACTCCCCCATTATTTGCTTCGAAGGATCGACGGCCGACTCTTTCTAGTGGAATATTTTGCGCGTATATTAGGGTCGCAACGCTGGCGGCGAGGACGAGGGTGCTAGTTTTCATGTTGCTCTTAGAGGCGAAAGAATTCCGTCAAGGATTGTCAGCAGGAGTCTCAAGCTCAACTGCGAATAATTATTTAATAGAAGAAAGGCGAAGCGATGGTTGAATATGATAATCCCGAGAGAAGATGCATAGACTGGATGTGTGGGGACTCTCGAATATAAAGAACTCTGGCCACAAACAGCCTGCAGTATTGACAGTGCGCCACTCTTGGCCAATACGTGATGCCCTGCGGGATCGGCGTTTACGGGGTGCGTTTCAGACGAACCATGTCTCAGTCGGCGCGGCGGCCCACTCTCGTCGCCGCCGGGCGCCGCGTAACACCGGAAACAGCTAATCAAGACCCGGACAATTTCTGGAAGCCCACTCTTAACCGCACTTTGAAAACCTTGGAACCTCGCTTACTGCTTGGCTACCGCCCAAGGGGAATTCTAGTTACATTTGCCGAGCCATTGCACAAACCATTTCGGTGAGGCTGAAGGACACAGCTGTGGAACCAATTTTTATGGGCTTCACATGCCTTGTCCGACTTGTTTGTGTCCGACATGGAGATGCAAGACGTTCAAAGATCACGGCCGGGTCGTCACGGCCCGTGGTTTCGGGGCATCGGCCGTCGGCCGCTGTTGCGCTCAAGCGGGTTCCAGACGTCCGACATATTATTTGTATTGGACAACCACCTTATGTAACTCCTCCGTGAGACGACGTACATGATGAACAAATGAATCAATGCCTTTTAGAATCAGCTTGTATCAGCCGCAAGGACAGAAATCATACATGATGAATCCATTGGACCGATGAAGCAGCCCAGACATTATTCCGCCCACCTTGTTTAAGAATAAGGTTTGTACGTTGCAGAATGCCTTCAGACCGTTCAGGCCCCATTCTATTCCAATTCCACTTTCTTTATGGCCACCGAAAGGCGCCATAGGTGACAGATCGAAGTGAGTGTTGACCCAGACGCTTCCTGCTTGCATTTCCTTGGCGACCCGAGTAGCCTTATATCATTCGACCAGACGGAGGCGCCAAGCCACATGGTGGTATCGTTAGCTCGATTGATCACATATTCTTCGGTTCGCCAAGTCAGGGCGGGGATGATAGGGCCTATGTAAAGATTAGTATTATATTATAGATGTTAGGAGGAAGGGGCGACAGTGCTATACCAAAAGGCTCCTTGACTACAATACGCGACTTCTCTGGTTGTCGATTAATTATGGTTGGTTTGATGAATTATCCCTTTGCTGATTCCTTAGAGACCGGCATCTCGCCCCTGAGAGCAACCTCCCAGCCCTGCTTGGCAACATCATTAAAGAAAGTCTTTACTCGATTGTACTGCATCTTGTTCTGCAGCGGCCCATGTGTGACCCTAGGTGCTAGAAGGGGTCTAGAAAGGGGCTTGTACCTACCTAGGTAGTATTAAAAATTTAGAGAATCCTGGTTAGGTATATAGTTTTATATAGGCCCTATATATAAAACCTTGTACTATGTGAGTGGTTGAAAAAAACTAGGTGAGTGGATATAATTACTAGGTGAGTGGATGTTAGCTCGCAAGGAAGGTATTAACTATAAACTAATTAGTTTAATAGTTACACCTTCCCTTACATCGGTAAGAGTATACGGTTAAGTTAATTAAGTAAATAAAGTAGTATATAAATTTATAGTGAATATATCCTACATCCACGACTATATATTCAAGCTATTAATTAGAATTTATAGTGAAATTATTAAATATTATCTCTTAATATATTATCCTTCTATTTATTAATACTATACCTTTTAATATAAATAAATATTTATTATAAGTTAATTTATTATATTAAACTTCTATATTATTCTATACTTTATAAATTAAAACTTAAATAAAGAATTCCTTTAATAAAATAAAATTATAAAGTATTATTAATAAATAATTATTTTATATAAAATAAAAAAGTTATTATTTAATAACTATTTTTGAAGTATATATCTATATAATAATAAAATAACTATATTAAATAAAAGGATTTAATAAAAAGAGTTATAATTTAAAAACTTTAAATTAATTATAAGTAATATTTAAAAAGTCTTATATTAATAGAATGTTAATAGTAACTTACTAAGCTCGCTCTTCTACACCACCCTCTCAACCCATTCCTATAAAGTACTCTACTTCCACTATATTAATACAATGCCTATTAATAAAAATAAGGTTTTACCTACTATAGATACTATCTTATAATAGAAGAACTACTATTATAAAACTATAGTATTTACTACTCTTTTCATCGATATTAATATAGGCTAGTATATTAAATCTAACTATATATAAACTACTATTAACTTTAATAAAATAATTCTACTTATTATAATTATAAAGTATTAAAATATAGAAATCTTAATAATAAATTTTTATATATTATTTATTCTTTAAGTTTTAATTTCTATTTTCTACGCTAAAGGTATTATTTAAAAAATTAATATAATTTATAATTATAAAATAATTATTTAATTAATTACCTTCCTATTAACTTTATATTTAATGTAATTCTTTAAATAAATCTTAACTTTAATTTACTTAAAGTAGTTTATAAAGTAAGTAGCGTTATTAATTATCCTACTACCTTTAAGGTATAACGCTTTTAGTACGTGTTTAATATTTAGTATAACTATACCGATAAGCTATACTAATGTATAGTGGGACTGTTGCTGTATATAAAAGAGATTATAGTTAACATCTTACCTTTATTGCCGTATTCCACGCCTATCATAGCTGCCATTACGAGTACTAATGGTGGTCTACCGACTTCTTTCCGGAAATCAGTTGAACGGGGAACGATTGGCCCTGCAGAAGATCAATTCCCCAGTGTTCCACGGTTAAATCCTAGCTGTAGTCCAGCATTAGACTTTCAGGGCATTTTTGTACAAATACTCAACGGCGAGTGCGCCCCTATAAAGGCTGCTCGCCACGGCATCAACCCCGCCACTCTCGAGCCTTTGCCTGAGGTTCCTGTCGCAACACAAGGCGACCTCGACAGCGCGGTCGCTGCAGCCAAGTCCGCTTTCCAAGCCTGGTCCAAAATACCATACGAGGAGAGGCGCAGTTCCGTGCTCGCCTTCGCAGGTGCAATCGAGTCCCTGAGAACCGAGTTTCAGGACTTGCTCATATCTGAACAGGGAAAACCTGTAAGCCCAATTTGTCACAGCAAACAATAGAAGAAAGGGATTCCTTGCGCTAAACCAACCGTCAGATCCCACAAGCAGATGCCGAAACGGACGCGGCCATGGCCTGTATCCGAGGCATGGCCAATATACCGCTGCCGGAAGAGCTAATCGAAGACACAGAAAAGCGGACTATTGTTACACGGTATGTTCCTGTTGGGGTGGTGGCCGCCATCATCCCATGACACTTCCCGCTGCTCCCTGGGCGGGCAAGATTGCGCCGGCACTTCTTTCCGGGAACGTTATAATCGTCAAGCCATCGTAAGCCAGCGTGCGCTACCGCATTGCCACCAACACCGTTAGCTAATAGTTGAAACTAGACCCTTCACCCCGTACTCCGGCTTGAAGTTGTGTGAGCTGGCGCATCGCTTCTTCCCGCCTGGCGTGGTCCAGTCTTTGAGTGGGGATGATAATCTCGGACCATGGCTAACCAGCCACCCTGGTATCGACAAGATCAGGTTTACAGGGTCAACGGCGACAGGAAAAGCTGTCCTACAGAGTGCCAACCCGACCCTGACGCGTGTCACGCTCGAGCTGTACGTGCCGTCGCGAGGCATTTCGCTCCGTGAAATTTGAGAAAGTGACTAAATTCTCAAGCAGGGGCGGGAATGATCCTGCAATTATTTTCCCAGACGTTGATGTAGAAAAGGTAGCCAAAAACATAGCGACCTAGGCGTTCCTTAATTCCGGCCAGGTTTGCTTGGATCTCAAGAGGATCTACGTTCACGAGTCCATCTACGAAGAATTCAAGGCCGCTCTAGTCAGCCATGCGAGCAGCTTAGTATCCTGGGGTTACGCTGGAAGTTGAGGGTGGGAGAGTGATCTGTATTAAGTTGTCTGTCATCCTTGATGGCTGAGGAACCCCTCACGTCGGAACGGAGCCGTTGGCCGACTTGTTCAGCCCAGGCTCTCGGTATTCGGGACAGCGTCATCATTTGCTTCTCCACAGTGCTTGTTGAATATGTGGTGACGTGCAGTGGTACCTGGGTAGCTTCCTTCCAGCTACATGGGCCTACGCCGTCCAAGGGGAAGCAATCCTACCACCTCAGTCATAGTTCAGGGAAGCTGACGGGACATCCCTCCAAAGGTATTACAGTATCACGCGGTCCGGCCTACGGACCGACCCCAAATCTCTTCTCCCCGCGGATTGGTGCAGTTGACTTTGTGAGCGCGCTTCATTGACGGTTTTGAACATGTCTCATTGGCTCTCGGGGCTTATTGGAGGGAAACGTCTGTCATAACCTGTTACAAATCCGGATCTTGGCTCTGAAGGCACGTGGAGTTCGCAGCTGGGACACGTGCGCGTCCAGCGAACTCCTGCCGCAGCATGATTCACGCCGAGTTAGAGCGTGGACCTGCGTAACTGCATTCTCAAACGCTACCAACTTAAATATACCAAGGTAGGTACCTGGTGACCTTGAGTACTTGATGAGCTGACTGGAAATTCAACAAAGCTCCCGGGGCATTCTTATGTGTAGCCAGGAGCTGTAAACCTCGCACACGGCATGTTGTTTACCAAATCAAGACAGGCTTGATAACACTCCCGTCCTCCATATCCCTGACAGCTTTTTGGAAGTCTTCGGCCGGGTAGAACTTGACCAGCTTATCCACTGGGAACCTCCCAGCGCGGTACCACCTTATCGTATTGGGGATATACTGGGGAGCGTGCGAATCAATCAGCCTTCATATTGGCGGGAGGGCCTCTATTAGCAGCCTCACTAACCTCTTCCGGCAAAACGCCGCCTTCCATCGAACTAAGTATCGACTTCCCCGTCTGCCCGAGTGTCAGCGAAGTCTGCGAGAACAGCAGGAAGGATGAGGCCGCAGCTCGGCAACGCACAAACATGTATTTCACGATTGGAATTTCCAGACCTGCGTCCATGGGAGGGACACCCAGTAGAATCATCTTCCCCTGGTTGGCGGTGAACTCTACTCCTTCTTGGATGAGGGAGACGACGCCTGTCGCATCCACTGTAATGGTGGTCCCAGTACCTTCTGTGATGGCCCTGATTTCGTTGATCAAGCCATTTGTCAAGAGCGACGTATCCACAGTGTGAGTTGCTCCAAATGTTCTCGCGAGCTCTAGGCGTGCTGCAATCCGATCTATAGCAATGATAGTTCGACAGCCTCTTATTTTGGCAGCCTATTTTGAGATCGTCAACCACGTTTCAGCGCCACCGATGGAGCGTTGATGTACTATACCATGATAGCCGCTTGTCCCACAGCACCGAGGCCGATGATTGCGACCATATCCGAAGGCTGTGCCATGGCCAGGTCGGTGATTGTGCCAGCCCCGGTCTGAATGCCACAGCCAAGCGGCGCAAGCATTTTAAGCTCAGAATCGTCATCAAGAAGCTCTGTCACTCTCACGACAGATGTCTCCTTCACTCTCGTCAATTTTGAAAAGCTGGACTGTCCAAAGAAAGAACCTCCTATGGCCTGGCCGAGTGCTGCCGGTTCAGAACTAATAAAGCCATTCGCCGTACCGCCGAAATTGATGGACATGAACTTGTGGCAGTACCCTGGAGAGCCAAGTCGGCAATTGTGGCACTTGGTACAAAACGAAATTGACAGCAAGACTCTGTCGCCGCAGCGGACTTTCGTGACCTTTGACCCGATAGACTTTACATACCCAGCGCCTGGACATCGTGTACGTCAGCCATTTGTTCAAAGACCAATGAAACAAGTGGAAAAAGAACTATAGAAATTAGACAGACCTTCGTGGCCAAGGACTCGCGGATACGATGGGAGTCCAAGGGCGAGATCCTCATACGGGGCGCTCCCGCAAATGAAGTCAGTGTGACAAATTCCAGAGGCCACTATCTCGACCAAGACCTCGTCGTCTGAGGGAGGGGCTACGGCCACCTGCTCGAGTGCCCATTGTCTTTTGCCACCGGATGGCTGGTGACAGACGATTGCTTGTGTTTTGGTGTATTCAGGTGCCGCCATGACTACCTTTGGTCAAAGTTGTGAAAGTAATGCAGAACAATCTTCAGAAAACCTATGTATCAAGTACCAGACAGGTCATTCCAACCCCGCCCGACTTTCCATTCCAAGGTTTCTTGGAGTCGTTTCAAATTGGCGGAAAACGGCAGTCCTTTGGGCCGAGTGGAGGAAACTAAATTGACGGACCGAGCCAGGTTATCCAGTGCCGGCCGCTCAAGGCGCGGAGGCTGTCGAGCCTGTCACGGGCCCAGCCAAACGCTGGCTGCATCATCCATGTCTACGAGCCAGTACTTCCCCGCATGGAAGGCATACAAGTCAGCTGCTCCTGATGACATAAACCGTACGACTGTCGATGTGTAGGATCGTGCCAGGATTACTGTAGGATGCTGAGGTGACAGCGGACGTTACGGTGCACTGCCATTCGCGAGATGGTGTATCAACGGTCCGAGTGCCCGTCCATGCTTGGGTGCTGATGGATCTGGCGGGATAGGGGGACCATAGTTATTTATGCTGCCAGGCAGAGCACAATCGCTGGACCAGAGCCGTTCCCTGCAATCCTAATGCCGCCTCACACTGAATAAATCATGGCTACTATGATAACCACTGTCAGTACTACTGTGTGCATGCTGTCCCGTGTGGAGATGAAACTGACCTCATCCAAAGGCCACGAAGATCGCGGTCCCCAACGGGACGGATCGCTTGCCTGCACAGTTGCCCCCTTACTCACCGGCCAGTGCCCACAGCAAGCCAAAGCTGGCCGAGAAAGTCGGGAGCAAACTTAGGGACAAGGCCCTTGTAGTAGGTGACTGAGCGGGGCCCGTGGACAATCCATGGTGAGTCCGGGATCCAAATTGAATCGAACAAACGCTGGTGAGCAATTTGGTTGATACTGGTCGACAGATGTTTTTATACCGTCCGACGCTGGCCGCGGCATGGTCAAGAAATACCACCAACGCCGAACGTTGTATAAATACACGGCAATGTCCATCCTTGGGCTGTACATGTTTCACAAGCTGTCCACTTCTGCATATCAAGCCGCAGCCCTCTGCCTGCTGTCCCCTGGCGCTGGGTTCACTGCCATCCCGTCCCTCGCCTCATATGCGGCATTTCTGATGACCATGATCCTTGTTCCCATCTAGCTTTTCGTATGGTTCATGATGGGCGGAATAGTGTTCCCATTCGGCTTGTTGATCGCGAGTGCCGAAGGGGCAGGATACCTTGCAGTCAATAAACCTATCCTTGACAAGACCGGCTCAGTTTGGGCGGTGCTCTGCTTCGCGAGCTTGGCGTGGGTCATGAACTATGCGAGCCGCCTCAACGCGGCTGGTTTCACCAAGGCACAGGAGCGTAACAGATATCTCATCCCGGCCGTGGTCGAACAGATGACCGCCGTCGCCCGGGTCGCGCGAGGTGGATCCTGAGAAGCTCCGACACATTCAATGGATACTCGAGCGCGGTCTCTCACCCAAGAATGATTTCAGCTACTACGACATCATCGATCAGTTCCGTGAATCTGCCATTCGGTATCAGTTGTACAGCGCGGTAGATACTCTAAGCCTCTACCAATGCCACTACGTGCCTGGGTTCCACGGGTATGTCTCGAAGGCGTCGCAGAATTGCATTGAGAAGAGCCTGCAGAAGAAAGTCATGATGTGAGCCAAGCCACTACCTTTTTGGCCAGTTTTTCAACTTCTGACGCAGAAGCCAGGTACTGGAAATGGGAATCCATCTTCGGCAAACTCAAGTTTAGCGACTTTGATCAGATCAAAAAGGACAATATCGTGAGTGCAGACAACCCGTCCAAGTCTTGACCCTCAGAGCCAAATTGACAGCAGATAGATGGTCACTGGATATCTGGCCAGCGCCATGGGGCTATATCAACAGTCAATGGGCCACCGACGTTACCAGGAAAAGAAATTGCCTCGAGTTTGTGGTTGATGACGGCAAGCACTACAAGACTGATTACGAAGGCCTAGCCGACGCTCTGAACAATAACATGACAGAGAATCCGTACTTTCTATACCCTTGCGAGCCGAACTGGACTTATTCTTTTTGCAAGTGAGGCACATCCAATCCCAGAAAGTAAGTTGAAGATGCGTCAGGCTGACCTGTGATTCTGCAGCCTCACTGGCATGGCTGGCGTGACAATCTCTGATCGCATTCTGGGCCGTGATCTTGGCTTGAAAATGCGCAGCCGCTTCGAGCGGTGTTTGGGAGGAGGTCACCGAGTGCGACGGGCGCAATTTGCCCCTCCGCAGCGAGTTCACTGGCCTCACGGTAAGAGCGATCTCACCATACCCCGCCCGCTATCAAGGCGCATTCACTGAGTTTACCTTTCCTCCCCACAGATTCCAAACTTCTGCGGAGTGCTCACTGACTGCATCAACGCCACGCTCCTGACAGCCTATCTCCCCCTCATAGCCCACCGTAACTGGGCAATGATCCGCAAGGAGAACATTTGCTACAATGAAAAAGGGGACGGGCTTCAACGAAATCTGAGTTCTACCATCGACTTTAACCTCCACAACTGCCCTGCCACCATAGTCTGCAGCCACGGACTCTCCAGTGCTGACCGAGTAAGTCTCACCGGCCATCAACCTTTCAAAACCCAACTTGAAAACTCCAGGCTCCTTGCCGTTGTACAAAACCAGTTCAAGCTGCTTCCCATCCTCACTTTATGCCTTTGCAACAAGTACTTCGGGGAACGGGCATTCTTCCAGCAGCGGGCCCTGAAGTGCGTTCTCGGACGGGCCGTTGAGTGTAGCATTGGCCAGGTCTCTGTGCCTGATGAGGCGGGCCATGAGCGTGATGGCTTGCAGCGAGGCCGACAGTCCCACGTTCCGCACCGCACCTGTCGGCGTCTTCTCCACCGGGAAGAACCTGGTATCAAGCTACTCGAGAGCCTGCCTGCGGACCTTCTCGTCGCCGAACTCAGCCGCCGCGCCCGCGAGGAATACGCGGACTGGGCCCTCCCCGAAACGACAGTTACAAGGGTCCATGGGGTCGGCGCCTTTGAGATTGAGCACCTCCAGTTCATGTGATGTACCTTTTAGCTAACGTCGCAGCATTTTTCGTTGGTCTCAGTCAAGCATGTTTTCGCTGGCTTGACACGGACAACGGTGCCTTTGGCTGTATTGGCACTGCTGCGGGTATCGATGTCAATCTTTATCGTTTCTCCACTGCCCCCATCTGGTCAACGGCCGTACACTCATGGAACTGAAACTTGCCGTATGTTTCTAGTCATTTAGTAAGCATGAAATTCGTCTGTAAACACTGCAACACCGCAGTGTTGTTTTAAAAAGCTGGGCGTTAAGCGTTTGCCACTGTATGAAGGCGCCACATACGTTCCATACCTAGGTATGTATGGTGACTAGAAACGAAACCGCCTACCCAGGTGATTGGAGAAAGTCACATTTGCATATTTGCATGACGCAGTGGGAATCTGTCAGCCACTGGTGTGTTCGTGAAGATGCCTAGTTGAACAGTATGTAACGTCTAGTTAGGACTGATCGACGTTTGCAAAAGAAGTCTTCTAGTGACTTCTGCAAGTAACGTTGACTAGTAGGCAGTGAATTTATATACACATTTCCCTGTTTACATACCTGAACACCAACTCCTCTATTCCAACTGGGTTGTTTTCCAACCTTGGGACTAACTTTGAAAACGCCTTCATCATTTGCACAACAGGTGACTAGACCCTTCACTGGCCACCGTGAGTTTATCCCTTCACTTAAGAGTTGTGTCGAGCTTCAGTTGTGTCGAGCTCCACCTGATCGAGCTCTCGGAGTACTTAAACCCTCACATCCCACCAGATTCCACCCACTCCTCCCTCTCCTGCGACATCAACAAATGCAAACCTCCTAGCATCCTACAATCTCCCAGTCTCAGACACAGAACCTAAACACCGACCAACCCCTCCGCATACCTTCTACCATCTTCTTCTGCGACGTACCATGCCACGAGACGGCGGCGGCGGCGGCGGCAACCCGTCAACCTCAATCATGAGGTTCCCACAGTACAACAACTTTCCACGCGAGTTACGTCTGCAGATCATTGGAGAGTTCGTCAACGACCTCAATGTTCTCAACAGCCTCAACAGCCTCAACAACCGCGACAACCGCGACACACGCCTTTCACGTTTCGCCGGAGTCGACTCCGAATGGAACAGCGTGATCGAAGAAGTCCTTTTCCGCATGATCAAGATCAATAAGGGCGAGGTGCAGAGTTTTGCAAAGAACTGCGAAAAGCGTCAACATCTGTTGCAGTCGCTTGTCTTGAACTTGCGTCTTAACTCCTCAATCACGGGCCGTCCTGATGACCGCTCTAGGAATGCGAAAGTCGTCAAGCGCGAAGTCTCACAGGTGTTCCATGTCATGAAAGACTGGGGTCGTTCCGATACACCACGTCGCCTCCTGACCTTCTTCATCGCCCTCCCTGACAGGCACTGTGGCGCACGTAACATGTTTATGAACGCGATCGGGATCAGAACCATCGCCTGCGATTTCGAAGGGCTTCCCGAGGTACCGATCATTGAGAAGATCTTTTCCTTCCAGCCACCGGATGGTTTGCATTTCATCGACCACCTCACAATGGATGCCATCCACAAGAAGTTGCCCAACCTTGGCTCTCTGTCGCTGGATTTGCCAAGTGACATGCCTGTACACGAGACAATTGAGACTGCCAGAGGTAAGCACACGAATGATCCCCTGTGCCCCGTTAAGCTTCGCTAACAATAATTTCAAGGCAGATTCATCGCCACCCACCGTACAAAGCCGGAGCTGCGCATGCTGAGAATCACTCAGGATCCGTCCAGGCTGCCAGCCCCTGGACACTCGGCCTTTGTAATGCGTTTGCGGGAGGACGAACAAACAATCGCCACATCCCTGACGCCGATGATCCATCTCTGGGCGAACACCTTGGTGACCCTCATCTTGGAGTGCACCATTGACATACCGGAATTCTTGTCGACGGCTAGCAAGTTATGGTGGCCAAACTTGAAGACTATGTACCTTACTGCCATTCTGGATGAGTACGACGGTGAGGGTCATGCGGACTCAGACGGGTTGGATTCAGAGAAGGCGTACGGAGCCGCCCAAGAGGCGCTTCAAGGGCTCACTGCAGCTCTCCCATTCATGCGGAGTCTGATGGTCATTGACATCGAGTTTCGCGATCCGACAACAGGGTATTGGGCCTGCGGCTTTCGCGTGGACTTGAAGACCAAGATCAACCCGCAAGGCCTCGTCTATAGCCCGCCTCAGGCCATCATCAACCAATATTTGGCCAGAAGGCTTGAGCACGTACCCTGCCAGTGCGGTGCTCTGACGCAAGGGCCCACGCTCGTCGCGAGGGATCTCGTCTTGCCAGGAACGCTGGTGACAGACCTTCAAAACACTGTGCGGAAATACCGATACCAAGACCTCCAAGCGTGGTGCTGCAGGATCATCAAGCTGAGATTGGGCATACTCCCCTTCACACGTCTCCCCTGTACACGATGGAACAGGGATACAGGTTCCTGGGACTTCTCGTTCATGAACGACATGGACGAGTTCATTTGGCACATGGGCCAATTTTGGGTCCATCAGCAACGGTCGGACTTGATGAAGGAGATTTACCCGCAGATGTTCATGGAATCGTTGGATGCTGAGTTCGAGGAGAACTTTGGGTCTTGAAAGCGCAACGGAACCACCCCGAGCCATGCGATCGAAGCGTCCGCCTTGTGGACATGCTTTGGATCAGCCTTCGGCTAGACGGACTCGGGACGGGTGGAAACATGGCACAAGGACGGTGACGGAACATTATGTCCGGATACGGGACAGGCACACCGGAGTGATACATTTTTTGGACGACTGGTTTTGCGGTCATTGATGAATACCGCTGGAGAAAATTTGGTAGACTGAGTCTCGCGGGGTCAACGGACAACCCTTGGGGACCGAAAAGTACCTGGGTACATAAGTATGAGGGAGATGTTCCCCGAAAAGCGAGATAAAGCACTGTGTGTACTAGGCCATAGTACGCCTCTGGCAATGGAAATTACACCTGAAATATGTTCTGAAAGTTGTGGATGTTGCTATGGGCTTCTGTTCCCACCACTGTTTCGTTCATAGATACTGAAGCAAAAGGCTCTGGAATGTTATCAAGATCGATGAAAGGGCCATCATGAATGCTGCATGAGATGCGTCGCGCTGTGGTATGAACAAGCACCCAAGCCTCTGGCGTAAAGATCAGCTAGCGAGACGATCAGGCAGACAGAGAGTGACATGAGCGTTTTCATGTTAGGAGCTCCGTTGGCGAGGACACTCCAGCCGCTGGTATGGATCCATGGCACATAGCGGAACTGACAATCGGCGGCCACAACGAGGGAGATCCACAGGGAGAGAGGCCCCAATATCGAATTCGGCCATATCTCCGAGGTTCTAGAAATAAAGTACCCAACTAATTGTATAGCAGCTGCACGTTGGGCAACGCGGATGAAGCTTTTCCTTAAGGCTTCTACCTCTCGTCTTGACTGGAGCATTTCTGCGATCTCCTTGGGAGGTCGAGGGCCCTTCTCAGCACCGTATCCAGCAGACTCCACAGCCTGGATGAGATGACCTTTACTTATGTATCTAAGGAGCAGCTATCGCGGGCCATTACATTGACCTGTTGTAAAAGAAGATAAACGCGTGCATTGTGGACGTGGGGAATGTCTGAGAGCACGAGTTCGATGGTACTGACGCAGGCAGCGCAGGTGAGCCCAGAGAGTGATAAGACCATTGACGACGGCGTTAGCGAGTGCTGGTCCGGTTCTGCGCATTTTTCGTCATTAACTTGGTCGGCCTGGTTCAGCTTTAATCCGCCATCCTCGTTATAATGTATGTTGTCGTCCGAGTCGAGGAACTGGTAGGCCTTGACGAGCGAACCGATGCACAAGGCCGCGATGTAACAACATGCCATGGTTGATCATGTCGACATGAAATCTGATGTTTTGCGTAGAGGAATCTTGTCTCCATTCATCCCCGCCCTGCTGGATGGAAAGGGCTTGTCAAGGGGCAATTCCAGTCACGACCGCGGACCGCTGATCCGGCTGCCGCAGATTGCGGAGAACCTAGAAATGTCACGCGGGGATAGAACGGGCTCGCACATTGAATTTGTCGGATACAACATGATTGCAAAGAGGTAAGATTCTGGATTGAAGAGTCCAAGTCTGCAAAGCAAACGGTGGTCCGACCTGTGCCAGTGTAGTGCTCTATCAGGAGATCGGCACGGAGTCAAGAAAGACGATATGATGCGCAGGATAAGCGTGGCAGAGCTCTGGTGTTGGATAGAGACAAGTATCACAAATTATCCTGATGGCTTCCACACCAGCAATATCTGGTCCGTGTTGCTCATGTCCGATATCCCCTGAAATCACCGACAACGTCCTCTGGTGTGCCCTTTGCCCATTTGTCTCCTTGCTAGTATAGTCAATGGGCTGTAATCACAACACCCTAAGATTGTAACATTCGATATAAGCGTCTTGGCAAAGCCGTAGTATTAGTCTGAGCAGCCCCCACCTTCGGGCAAGCGGGAAGGCGGAATGATCGCATTGCCATTAGAATGCGGTGTCGACATTCCATCCGCGCGGATAGGTCGACCTTTTGCGGAATCGATATCGAGGAGAACCATAGGGCTGTAGGGGAAGCGAGTTAGTCGAGGGTAAGAAAGCTTAACAGATACCCTGTTGCGACCAGATACAGTGTTGCGAATGCATGCAGTTGACGTGGGTGGCTTGATGGACGTCGGTGTGGATGTTGTACTCGACTTAGGCCCCATATGGTCAGAGCACTTGAGGCACACCATGTGCGGCTCTTTTGGTCCCCTCCCTTAAAGCAACGTGGGCGTCATCTTGTCGTTTCGCATGTTAGCCTTAAGGCCCTTGAGCCCCGAAATGACGGGTGGCATGGCGGCACAGATGGTCAGAGACGATGACCTGGTTACTGATGACGAAGACTTGTGGCAAAGAATATGTACCATGCCAGACTCGTATGCCGAGAGATGGAGCTCCGATGCGTCAAGCACCATCACGTGTGTCCGAGGGCCAACTACCAGTTGGCGTATTGCCAGCATCGACTGCCACAGCATGCTCGGCGGCGCGACGGATTGCGTCATTGATGAGCTGATCCATCTGGTCATCGGGGATATAACGGTGACGGTTGTGGGCAAGGAGGAGTGCCGCGTTTTCAGCCGCGGTGGTAGCAGCGACAAAGGCCGTGTAAGAGCGCGAGGTTGAGACGGCAACAGCGATGGCGTGGGCAATGTCGGCGGCGACGAGAGTCTTGTCGCTGAGTCGAAAGGCTCGAACAGTCCCGTACATCGCGGTCTCGGCAGCAGCCTCGGCGGTCTTGAAAGGCGTGCTCTGAGGCCGTGGGGGAGTCAAGGTCCGCCTTGGCGAGCCGTCACTGCGCGGTTCGAAGTCTTCGACGGATGCGTTTGCGCTGCTCGGCGGCGCAGCTGGCCTCGCAGCTGGCCTCGGAGGGTACAGGCTGTCGTACGAGGGCGGGGGACGATCATCTTGCCTTGCTGGGCCTGGCTTGGATGTCGAGTCTTTGTTTCCCGCCATTATGCTGATAGTTATAGAGTCGAGAGTGGATGGATTGGGATGTTTTGCTCCAAGTTGGATGTTGTTTTGGCGGATCGGCTTCAGGCTTATATGTCCTCGGACGTATACGGAAAAGAAGTGAAATCAGCAGGCAGATAGATTCCAGTAGAACCGAGCTCCCAACTTGACGTCTCCTCGCTATGTTCGTATTGTTTCTCCAGCTGGCACAGAGGTCGACTTGATTCACCCGTCTCCCCAAACTACCACCAACCATCTAGATATTGTTGACTGTTCATGGGCCACGTCACTCGCAGCTGTTACTTTGGAGACGTAGGATTCTTACCGGCAACAACGGACGATACACCAGCACTAGCGCACGCACCGGTGCACAAATTAACACCACGCAAATCGGCGGTGTATCACTACCTCCAGGAGCTATGGGGTGTTGGCAGACAGAAAGGAAACTAGACCAAACAAGAAGAAGCTAGTTGCACATCAATTGCAAGAGACACGTCACAGTCGTGTACGATATCTAGGTAGGTGAAAGGCTTACTATAGATTGATATTCATGAAAAGTGGTGGTTTCGTTTTTAATCCCCATACATGTAAAATGTACGTGGCGCCTTCATACAGTGGTAAACGCTCAAGACCCAGCGTCTGAAGAAATACAGTGCCAATAACAGTGGAAAGAGAATACAGTACGTGGGCACGTGGCTGAGCCTCGTACCGCACAGACAAGGCATTCATGAAAAGTCTACCTAGGTATGTTCGAAATGGGTGGCTCGTGTCAAAGATTACAAGACATAGATGGGTCTTTCAACACAGTCTCGCCTGGGCTAACCCAAGTAGAGACCTTTGACTTCATAACGCTCCCGCGGTTTCGTCGCACACAATAGCTTAGTCCTGCTATCGAAACCGCGCCAAAGCGACCGTCCAAGTCCGCGTTTATCCCCCACTCCGAGCGTATTTGACACCACTTTTAGACCGTACCCATTTTATGTTGGTAAAAATAGCGCGTAATTGGTCTTGATGAGCGTGGCGACGTCATCTTCTTTTCCACAGCTGTACGGTGTAGCCCATGGGTTCGTAGTGTGTTTTTGATGAGTGGTGGGACACGCAGGCAGGATACCTATGATGCAGTGTTGAAGGCTTTTCAAATCTTGTGAATAAAGCAGATTTAGCCAAACTTGGATCCGGGCAGGCTGTTCCACAAGTATTCCGCTTCCCTAGCTACCTTCGACACCCGGAAACTCAGCATCCCTCATCGACTTCCAGCCCCCTCCCCCCCCGGGAGCTGAAATGTGCCGATGATGCTGAGTAAAATCCCGTCCCGATGCGTGTTCCCACCGCGCCGTCTTGGCAGGGCCGCATTCGGTCCATGGTCCGCGGCGCAGAGATACGCCACGGACGCGGACCGAGCTCGAGGCGGACCGGGGCGGACCGTCTCCGATCCCTGCTTGGGGCAACCAGGTGACCCCAACCAATGATGATGCGGGCCGACATGTACGGTACGAGGTACATACTTGGAGATTCATGGATACGGGCGATATCTTGGGGAGATTTGGGGAGGGGACGGCCAGCACTAAGTACATGAAGCACTTGATACGTGCTCAAGGAAACGGCCTGCTCAAGAGACGGAAGAACCGACCGAGGATGTGAGGCTCTGTTCATGCGCCTTAGATTGATTCTGGATCATGCTCTTTGAGGTATAAGATCCCTTCACATCTCCGAGGCCAATGTAAACCAAGTGCTAGGTTGTTTCTGGAATCGTGCCGGTGGCCAGGCGGCTCGGCTTAACAGCACTGACAGATCCTGTGTAACAAGTGATCAATGAGCATGATCGTGGTGAATTGTCAAGCCCTTTCCAGAGCTGGTGCACAGCCAGATCCACTATCATTGGAATCCCATGACGGAATGCGTCGTAGATGCCCGATGCTTCTGCTGTGGAGACTCCCGTGGTTCCCTTCTCCGGAGCATACGGCCGGTTCATGAGACGGGGCCGAATCCCGGGGATGGACCGCTCACTCACTCCAGCCCGGCCAGCTTTTAACATGATGCCTTGGCGCCAACTCACAGCATGCTCGAACTGAAATGACCACAAATGCTCCAACTCGTCGGCGCAAGTCAATAGTGCAGCCGCCATGGCCGCCGTGCGCATATTCGAGATTGGACCATGAGATGGTCTCAAAAACGTCTGAGAGACCGTCCCCGCGGACACCAAGTTGGGCCTTTTCTTGCTGCTCGTCCAAGTTGGTCGCAGGAATACCGAGATCTTATCAGCTGTGTACCTAAAGGCCCATCGTTCAAGTACCCGTCAGTGGTGAGGTCCTGCCGTCACATTTGATACAAAACATCCTTGCGAGAGGAGCCCGACCTCAGCTTGTCTTGCCTGGTACCCCCGGGCATCGAACGAGAAAGGACTTGCGCTTGCGCTACAACACAGAGTCAAAGGGGCAGCAGTGTTTTTCAGTCCTACTGGTGGTTCTAGTGGGGCCAACATAAATTATTCCGATGAACAAGGTCTTCACACAATGCGAGAGGTTACGCACAAGGCCAAGGAATATGGGGTGGCTATCTGTCGGGAAAAGAATCGTCTCTGGGAATTTTGCAGGAGTTGTCGCCCCTGGACGTGGAGGTTCCGGCTAATACCAATGACTCGAACAAATATGTTTCAGGTATATTTGCTGACCCCTAGATATGATGGCCTGACTCCAGCGACTGCGCTGCAACATGCTACGAAGAGATTGCCTAGGCTGGATGCTACGAGGCTAGCTTGAAGGAAGCATTTTCACACTCTCGGGGGATAAGCTTGGGCTGTGTCCGGCTGCTTTCTCTCAGCATGTGGTGCGAGAATGAGACCCTGCACTTGCCCGCCAAGTTATGTTGACAGGGCGGCCTGTAACTGTCGACGAGCTTCGAGAAACCGGCGCCGCTCACTGCTACTTTATGCAGCTGTACGGCTGAACTGGAGATTTCTGCGGACAGCCCTCTGAAGATATTACGATACCTGTCCCTAAGCGGTCCGCGCATGTCTCATGAGCTCATAACAACGTGTTGGAAGCTTGGCGGAAAGCCAGAGCAGCAGGAGCGTGTCTCTGGACTATTTGGTCAGATTTCGGCCAGGCACCGAGGGACTTTCCGGGGCCGCAGAATTCCACGCGCGGCGGAAGGTGGACTGGAATACTTACCGTAACAGTGACAACATCCATACTAATCCGAAACCTTCAAGTTGGCACTTCCTGTTGTGCGTGGAATCAGTTGCATTGAAGAAGGAAGTCTAGACTGAGCGTGTCCCGGGGGGACCGCCGTTCATGCACACAAACTGCGGGATATGCGCAGGTGCGCGTTCACTCGACTATGTCATCAATTGCTTCAACACTTCCTGCCTACCTGATCGATCACATGTGTCTTTGTCCGGAGGCAAGGAGTACTTTCACTCAGCCTAACAACAAACTCTACATGGCACAAGTACACGAGCCCGACGATAGAGAGGCTCTGGGAAACGAGGGCATGCAGCAATGTACTTCGTAGAAATATAGACACTGCTTGGCATGGCAAGGTTTGGGACTGGTGCAAGTTCCTGGTTCTCGAAATCAAAGTGTCGTGTTGGCACCAAGGATTCATGGATACCTAGGTAGCAATGTACTAGAAAAATTAGCCCTGCATCCAATTCGCAACATACACACATCTACCTTTACCGTTGAGGAACAATCTCAAGTGCCCCTGCGGTCCACAGGTAGGTAGCACCTAGAGAACCGAGTCCCAGCTGTCATTTGAAGCTTTCTCCTACAGGAGTCTTTTTCAACAACAAGGAAAGTTCAGTGGAATCCGTTGATGGCTTGGAAGGTGAGCATGACTGCTCCTGCAGAGCAGGAGCGTTGCGTCTCATCCTCTCGCCTGCTTCATTGCAGGGTTTAGGTAGCCACTTCTGTTAACTGGGATCAGAATCTGCGCCTCGTCTCCCGGCGCAGTTGTCCCTAAGGTACACGCTATCCCAACCGCCATGACCGGTGCTGTCTATTTCGCGCCGGACTTACAGCAATCGCAATGGATCTGAATGAAGTGTGCCTAGTGCACTGGTAGTGTCACCCTATCCATAGCCTTATAAAGGTGTCGTACGCCCCGCAAATAAAATAGAAAATGGATGGCCTCACCGTCTCGCTTCTCCTAAAATCTCTCATCGACTACAAACATGTCATCTTGGATTTTGCCCATCGCTTCATCATTTCCACCATGGGCTGCTTGGCCCCCGGTGGTACAACATATGATCCTCAAAGCCTTAATCGAGGACGGCTGCAGCCTCGCTAGGCTCGCACCAGTATCGCGTGAGTGGCAAGATGTTATTGAGGCGCACAATTTCGCCAAGATCAAAATCACCCCACTACGACTTGTCCATTTTCGTGCAAGGACCCGACGCAACAGGTTCCGAGTCAAATATATTTGGCTTTGCGTGGAACTTGACAACTACACTTGCTGCGAAGCTTCCTTTGGTGGTCGTCGATGTGTATCGCAGAGCGACTTGGACCTTGTCAAGGCAACGATTGGAATACTGTTCGCAGAGATCAGTCGATGGGCTCCCAACGGTGAGCTAGTTCTCGACATCAGTGTTCACTCGCCCAGCGATTCAAACTACCTGCTCAAGAATCTGTCCTTCAAGCCCGACGTGCCTTCGCGTGAGTGTTTGGGTCTGGGCGACTTGGGCGACTTGGACGACATGGACAAAGCCGGGCGCCTTTGGATCAGGATGCTTCCATCCGGGCAAGCTGTCAACTCAATCAAGAAGACGTTCAGTTGGATCCGTACCGATAGTACCGACGTTACGTCGCTGGATGGAGAGTCAGTGCATGAAGAGTCACCGGATGAAGCGGAGTGTTACTATCGGGATGTCGGATGGTTGGAACAAGTGCCCGACGTCCCAGCAGTGACAGGTGTGTTGCTACGCCAACAGACTCGCCGAATGTGGGATGGGCCCTTGCTCACGGAGATGCTCGACCATTTTCCCAATCTACGGGATGTTTTCTACGAGCCGTGGAGATCACTGGATCCCAAGTGGCAGGACTACAAAGATCAAGGTAGATCATCTACAATTACCTGCCTTGCACTATTGTCTTGAACCTCCATTAATACTTAACAATCATTAACGTTTCGTTTCGTTTCAAACAGACTACGACCATCTCATCGATGAGGTTACTCGACAAGGTGTGCGGCGGATCACAATCTTTGAAAATTACAACCGATACTACGCACCTCTGTTTGACGGATACAGGAGCGTTCGGACTCTCATGCCTGGGTCTTTGCATACCGAGGCCTCTAAAGCTTTGAATCGGACAGCTGCATTGGGCAGTCGCGAGCTTGAGCAGTTCTCAGCCGCATACCTTGTCAACGCAGCTATGTTCTTCGCTTCCTGCAGACCGTCCTGGACGTGGCCCAACCTCACGTCTCTGAGCCTCACCTCGTCATGGTTGGCTCCAGACGTGTCCCGGACTGAACTCGTCAAAATGCTTACTTCAGCAGCAAAGGTAGCTCATCGGATGCCAAAGCTTGAGACTATGGAGTTGTGGAACGGACGAAGGCGCCTGGCAACGCTCTTTCAGTACCGGCCAAAGCCTGCTACTATTACCTGGAGAAGCACATGGGAATTCGACCAATTGCCTTCTGTCATCTCCGTCTGGGAAGGTGTTGCACAAAAGCATGGCGCTGGAGAGCTTGCTGTCAAGAGGGAGCTGCTGAACCGTACTAACATAAAATGTCACGGTGATGCGATCCACTATTTGAAGCTTTCCCATCCGGTTGTTCGGCCTATCTCGTTGCAGCAGATCCGCACGGAGAACGAGGTCCATCGAACTTGGGAGAAAATGGACACGGTGAAGGCCCAGACGGAGAGCAACTTATGCCGCTGGGGCATCAAAAGAGGCCGCAGCGACTTGTGAGAACTCTAGTGGCCTGTTAATGTGTCCGGTATTGGACAAAGCTTGGGGAGAGGGCGTGATTCTTCATTCAGTTCAAGTGTTGATAACGTTACATGCGTGTCGGCAAGAAGACCGAGATATTTCAGTTGAAGTCTGGTTGTGCGAGTCTAGAAACGTGGCTACTATGTATGTACGTTATATGGAAACCATTGTGCAAGCAAAGCTCACAGGCACTCGTTCGGCTTTATATTGCTTCTCGGCACCGTTTACAACAGCTTCGACATCAAGTGGACTTTTATCGCAACGACTCTGCTTTTCGAGATCGGTTCGGCGCTCTGCGGCGCCGCCCCGAACATGAACGCCTCAATAATTGGCCGGGTGCTCGCTGGCGCTGGAGGCAGTGGCATTTATCTCGCGTCACTGCAATATTTCGCTACTTTGACTGAGGAGAAGGAGCGCGGCTTCTACATGTCTCTCGTCGGTGTATCCTGGGGCGCCGGCGCCGTCCTGGGCCCGGTCATAGGAGGTGCTTTCGCTGTGTCCTCAGCAACATGTCGTTGGGCCTTCTATATCAACCTGGTCATCGGAGCCATCTTTGCTCCGGTCATGATCCTTTGCCTCCCGTCTATCACTCTTGTCCAAGAAGTCAGTATTCGAGATCGGTTGCTTCGTATTGACTGGTTGGGCTTTGTCTTCGGATCCGGTGTCTGGGTCAGCTTCCTCATGGCCCTGACGATGGCTGGTGGACAGTGGCCCTGGAATGATGGACGAGCTATTGCTACCTTTGTGGTATTTGGTGTAGTTCTCGTCCTTTATTGTCTTCAACAATATTTTGCTTTCCTCACCAGCCCGGAACGGCGCGCATTTCCAGGCCACCTCCTTCGCGATCGCACGGAGGTGTTGCTCTATATCGTGACAGCAGCTGGAACCACAACGCTTTTCGTCATCGTTTATTATATCCCTATCTACTTCCAGTTTGTTAACGGTGATGAAGCTCTAATGGCCGCCGTACGCTTACTTCCGTGCATCGTTATCGGTGTAACCGTGAACCTCGTCTCGGGAGCGTTCCTTCATTTCATCAAGATGTACATGGTACTCTATCTCATAGCTGGAATATTTGTAGTGGCCGGCGGCGGTCCACTTGTGGTGTACCTTGACCCCAGCACATCAACTGGCACCATTTATGGTCTAACTATCCTCGTCGCTGTTGGAGCTGGACTCTCTATGGTACGTCTTTTGGTATTATGTGCCAGTTCAATGTGCCTTGAAACCTTTAAGCTCACTTTGAGATAGACATTGGGGTACACCATTGCCACATTGACCCTTCCGCCTGAACATGCTGGCGGAGGGCTCAAAATGCAGAATATTGTTCAGATCGGCGGTCAGGTGATTTCACTCGGAATTGCTGATCAGATCTACCAATCATCGGCTGTCAAAAAGCTCTCTGCAGTGCTCGCAGGCCAAGGCTACTCAGAGACAGAAATCCGGAGCGCGGTGGCCGGAGCGCAAAGCAAGGTGTTTGAGGAATTGACCGGGGAACTGAGAGACGACGCGATCGACGCAGTTGCCGCGGCTATGCGTCTGACGTTTGTGATGATTCCCATTGCCGGCGCCGTGCTCTTGATCGCTGCCCTCTGTATGAAGAGGGAAAGACTGTTTGGTAAGGCCGTGGTTGCTGGTGGCTAAGGCCCACCCGAGATGACGGTCTAATAACTTCTAAGGTGTCCAAGATAATAAAGGTGGGTGGGGAGCCGTTACACATGCTACTTGCAAATATGCTAGAAGGAAATTGTATGTTCTATGGGGTGCTTGTTGGCGCAATATTGTGGAAATAATAGAATATCTTCAGAGCAAAGCCTTCCATTGGGGTTCGAGAATGCCCCAGTTATTTCAAGTTTGAGGATCTAAAGTAATCACCAGCTTCAACTGCAGTCCATATGAAATCAACTCTTTTCGTCAACAGGAGGGTCACTAGGATTACCATATCGAGATTATTATAGCCTTCCGTCTGTGATAGAAGATGAAGTAGACTTATTTAGTGAATCTCTCTATATAAAATGCTTTGAAAGCCAAATGCTATCCAAAATACGACACATGGCCATGTAGGTGAGACCATTATGCTAGCTTCGAAATCCGCAGTATGCATTGGGCTAAATGGTTGTCTTGAAGTGGCGTCCTAGACTAAAATGTGCAGGTGTCGTCCCCAAGGGCGAAGCAGCACTCGACCCAGGCATCCCAGTTCGAAACATCGCATTCCTACGATAAGGTCAGCATGAAACTCCCTACACCGAAGCTTTTCTCGTGTGAGGGCTTACTCCATCGCTCGCCATGACGCCGTTATTTGCGTTCTTGTTATTACAGCAGGGTTTTGTATTGCTTGTGTAGTCAATCGAACCGGCGCTGTTTTTTCTGCAGCATCTTGCTAATGTGCCCGCCATGGCTCTGGGATCGTGGTGTTAGTAGCTTCTCTTGAACATTTCGGAGATTAAACCTACCCTGTGGCGAGCAAGAAGGTAAGGGTCACCGATGTGAGTTGCATTATGAAGATGGGGTTTATAAACTAGCTCAGGCGTTGACACTTGGGAGAACTATGATGATGCTACTGAGGGTGTCCAAGACTTATTTGGTTCCAATGTTCTGGAATCATCATATTATATACTTCCCTTTACCGCGTCCAAGGCGGAAGAATCCGCTAGTGTTTTCCACCTTGCAATCTCTTGGTTTTAAAGTTTACTAGCGGCGTTACAGTCACAGCCGCTGTCAAGACGGTGCCCCTTAGCCTTGTCTGTGCGTCGCAAGGCTGAGGCTACAAGCGCGAACTCATGGTACTATAATTGTACACCTCCACAGGGGTAATAAACTTTGTTTGGTGACCTCGCCCCCTAAAGTTGCTTTTGCTAGAAAGTTCGCCGAAGATTGACTCGGTGGCTCCAGCCAACCAATAGCAAAAGATACAACCTCAAACAACATTTATTACCCCTGTGGAGGTGTAGTTATTCAACACTGTGTCCTTTTCAATCGCTAGGTCTTGAGCGCTTACTACCGTATGAAGGCGCCATGTATGTCCTTGGATGTATGCGAAATAGAAGCGAAACTAGTTAAAGTTTACTAGAAGCGTTAGGGCATAATGTTCCCCGCAAGTCTCCCCTGTATTCAGCTAGAAATTAACTCTCCCATTAGTCCCATTTAGCAATTAGGTACCGTAGTGGCCGTGCCTCGGCTTCAGATAAGCCAAAACAGCCCTTGAAGTGGTAATTTTAGAACCAACTAATCTAGAAACTCGCATGATTCAGGGGTTCACAGTCTGCTAAATTATGCATGATATCTTTCTTCATGATTGTAGTATCCCGTATCCGTGAACAGCCTCTGAAATCACATAGGCATCAGAAGACACTGAATCCGAGGAGCGGCTGATAGTCGCCCTCTAACCATCTTCATGTACATTGTCGGTGTGCGAAAAGCTCCAGCAACGAAAATATTTAACAAAACAATGAAAAGTACTCGCACAACGGTCCTAATCTAAATTAAGAGGGGATTACACTTCCCGGTTAGCGGGCAGCTTTGGCGACACAGGAAATTGCGCTCTTTTTGTAACAAGCCTCTAAGATAGTTCGGAACTCTACTTTACCGCCCCAAAGGAGAAAAGGGGTACTCTTATATCCTCTACCACCAGTATCCCCCAGCATAACCAGGACCTCCTTACTTCCAAACAACCACCTATACTAAATAGATATAATAAGAACTTAAAGATAAAACTAGAAGTCCTAATACCTAACTAATTAAAAATAAAATTCTTAATATCACTATTTTAAATATTATTATTAATTTTTAAATATTTATTTATTTATTAATTTAACTTATTAATATATTAAATTTAAAAAAATAATTAAAAATATATTTATATAATAAAATAAAGGGGTCCTTTTTAAACCCTCTCTTTTCTCCTAAATAATATCCTTACTCACTTTTTTATCTTTAAAATTTATAAAAAACCTATTAATATAATAATTTTATTACTTAATTCACCTTAACTAGCCTAATTACCTAACTTTAAACTATAATAGTATAGGTTTTATACCTTATATAACCCTAATTTAATCTTTAATATTAAAAGATATTATTATTACCTTAATAAATTTAATAATTTATATAATTTTATTCTCTTAAATATAAAATATAAGCTTTTATTTCTATATATTAATAATATTTAATATATTAATAAATATAAAAGTTTTAATAATAAAAATCCTTTTATACCTTTTAATTTAAATATTACTTTTATACCCACTATAAAGTAAAAGGAATTAATAACCATAATTAATATATTATAAATATTAATCTATATACCTATATAGTCTTAATATAAAAGAATTATATTATAAAAAATTAAAAATAAAAGTAATATTTATTATTAATAAATTATTAAAAAATTAATTTAATTAATTAAAATCTTTTAATAAAACTAACTTAATAAAACTAATAAAAAGTTAATTAACTAACTAATTTAATAAGTTTCTTTTAATTTTATAAATCTTATAATAACAACTATAATATCAACTTTTATAACTCTCTAAACTTTAATAATATATAAAAGCTAACTTTCACTACCTTAAGTTAGCTTACAATCTAAATAAAAAAATTAATAAAAACTTTAAAATAAATAAAAATTAAAACACTTCCTTCAATAATTTAATATCCCTAATAACTATACTATTAATAATTAAAATTAAAATAATTAAAAGATTATATTATATAAATAATAAAAATATAAATTACATAATAAAAATTCTTACTATATAATAAACTTATTAAAAAATTAATAAATCCTCTTACCTATTAAAAATCTAGTATCTAACTAAATACTAAAATTTAAAATACTTAAAAGCTTCTAATAAACCTCAACTTATTTAATAAACTTATTTCTTTAAATAATAAAAACCTTATAAATTAATTACTTATCTTCCTTCTAATAAAAATATAAACCCACTTAAATATACTTTAAAATAATATAATAACCTTATAATTATAAATATAACCTATTAAACTAATAAACTATCTTAATATCTATTTACCCTTTTAATAATTAATAATAATAATAAATAGTACCCTAAAATATTCTTTCTAACTTAAAATTAATAAATACACCTAATTAAAACCTCACTAAATACTATATATAAATTAATACCTAACTAATAATTATACTAAATAATAATAAATAATTTAATAACTAAATAAAAAGTAATTTATTAATTCTATTATTTAAAAATCTTTTTATCTATTAATATATTTCTCTACTAAAAGCACTAAAAGTTATTAACTTACTACTATTTTACTTTATTAAAACTATTAAAAAGCTATTAATACCTTAAAAAGGTACTATATATTACATTTAATAAAAAAAAGTATTTAAAAAAGTATTAAAAGGTAATTAAAATAATTTTAAATAAAATAAAATTTAACTATATATATTAAATTAAAGCGCAAGTGGGCTAGTCAAGCGCCCAACTACAGGCCCAAGGAAGCACCTACGCGAAATAAAGGGAGATAGTAAAAATCTTTCAATTTAGATATATTTAAAAAAGAAATGAAAAAGGATTGAATTCTTCTAACTACCTAAAAGAAGGATAAATAGATATTTTTTATATAAGGTGTTTATAAATATAAAGGCCCTTACTAACTTATACCTCTACTAATATATATATATTTAAATATATAGGTGATAATATAAGTTTAATACCTATATAAATAAAAAATATTAAAAAAAGTATTAAAAAATATTATAATATAAATATAAAAATAAATAAAGTTAGATTTTAAAAATAAAATTAATATATTAAAAGCTATAAAATATATTATTATTTTTATAAGTTTTATTTAATTTTTAAATTATATTTTATATTTTAGTTTTTTAACTTTTATATAAGCTTATTTTTAAAAGTTAATATTATAATTTATTTATTAGTAAATATTATACTTTTATTTTAATTATAAGTAAAGCTAAAATATTTAAGTAAAGATGGTATTTATAATTCTTATAGTTAAAAAAATAGCTAATAAAGTAATTAAATTAATAATAGGCTAATATTAGTTATTATAATAAAAATAGTATTAATTGGCTTAAAGATTATAAAATTATATAAATTAATTATTATTATTATTATTAGTAATAAAAGGGATAATACTTTATATTTTAAAGGTATATAATAAGTACTTATTTTTTATATATGGCTTTTTATAGGAGTTATTTAGCCTAAAAAAACGCTTTTATATATATAAGTAATATTTAAAAGTATTAGTTTTTTTGCTTTTATTATAAAGCTTTATATAGGTATGCTTGGTAGTAGAGTTTTTAAAGAAATTTATTTTAAAATAAAATATAGGCTAGCAAGTTTAATAATTATATAAACTAGAATTTTAATAGTATTTTAAGTTTTTTAATAAAATTTAAGTTATTAGCTAATTATAAAGTAATATATAGTTATAATTAAAATTAAGCATTTTTTATAGCTAAATAGGTTAACTTTATTTTTAATAAAAAATTTAAAAATAGGTAAGTTAAATTAAGAAACTAGTTTGTAATTAGGTATAAAAATAGCTTTTATTTTAAGGGTATTATTTTTTTTATAATATTTGCCTTATTTAAAAACTTATAGTTTTTTAGGCTAGTAAAGTTAATAGCCTTTATT